AAAAAAAAGTTCTTAAGGTTTTGACCGAAGATAAATCCGAAGCCATCACCTGAAACTTTTCTGCTCTTTTTTAGTTTAGAGGGTGTTCAGAAACGCAAAAAATCAGTTTAGTGGATTATATCTATTCTGTACCATTTATATGTGTATTTGAGCTAAATAAATAAATCGCTTTAACCTACTTCGGATCAGTCACCCTGGCAGAATAAAAACAAGAAATCTTCTTTCCTTTCACCAAAGCCGAGCCAAGCCTTGGTGCAACTAAAGGCCTAGCAAGAGATCTTTAAAAAAAAATGCTTAATTCTTGAAGTAATTCTCAACTAGGTTCGTTGGAATTTGATAACCATGGGGTTTATTGCCGTCTCAGGATGTTGGAGTACTACATTCTCCGTTTGAACAAACACTACAACAATTGTTGCAAACAATTGTTGGCATCGTCATCATCACCGTTATCGAATCATCGAATTGCGGTGCTGAAGATAAAACGGTTGTACGCGATTTCGAAAGATCTTTTCACAAGCGCATTTTTTCTGGATAGTTTGACCGCCTTGGATCCCCGCGAAGTCCCTTGTGAAACATAAAAAATTGTTCTAATTTCATTTCTGAAGAAGGATATAATTTTCTGTCTTTCGCTCAATGTTTCAAAAATACTTTTAGCTCTGATTCATTAACTGAAAAGGTTTTTCGGAATTTTCAACGATGTTTTTCAAGAGTTGCATTCAGAGAAACTTTGTGGGAATTAAAGTGCTGAGCTTTTGAATGCGCTCCGTGAGAGTTTCGAGGTCGAAAAATCAGGCGAAACCGGGAGACTTTTTTTCTTGTTGCAAGAATTCATACTTTTGAACTGTGTCGAGGACATTCGAAGTACTTGCTTCTTCGAAAAACTCGGAAACCCGGAAATCTATGATAAAATTTCCAAGGAAGCATTGGTTCTTTTCGGTTATTTGCTATTGACCAGTCAATTAGAACCACAAACCAAGCATGCCAAAAACCAGGAAATCAACTCCGAAAAATTAGATTAACTGTCTCGATTTCGGCGTCACAAATGTTATTTGGCAGTTCATTCATTGTTTTGTACTCTTGATAAACTTCTAGCGGCTTTTTCAAAGAATGCGGGGGGCGAGCTACAATCTCTCATGGTCTGTTTTCGTTCCAACGATCATGTCCGCTTCTTGAATGAAAATTCCTTTTTTTTTTGGTTTAGGCTAACCAGAGATTGGCGTCAAGGATACAAAAATTAAGTTAAAGTTTCGACTACGAAGTCTCGTAGTTAGGTTCATTATAAAGGTGTTTGGTCGTTTCTTTTTGGTTTTTAATTTGAAAATATGAAAAGTAAAAAGCCGTCAAAATGATATTCAAAAAACGTATTACAATCAATATCAGGCTGATAAAATTGGAAGAGGCAAACATTGAGCAACCATAAACCGAAGATCAATCGCAGTGATCGATATACACTGAAAACGTTTACTTTCTACCCATTTTTAAAAAAATGGGTAGATTTTTATGAGGACAGCGTGTTTCAATCATCAAGAAACATAAACAGTTTTTTTGATTTAAAGTTTTTTTCAATAAAAAAAACACTTTTCTTTCAATGAATACTTTGAAATGGGAGGACTTTTTGGATACAATAGTCTTCCCAAAGTCCTTGATGATCAATAGAGGCTCTAACTCTAACAAGACCTAACAATTTATTAGAAAAATTCTGTATTGAAACTTTTCTGAACCTTTAAATTAAAATCCTTGCTTTTTCAAAAGTCCCTGACAAGGGTTTTTCAACAGTCTACGCCTAACCGGAAGCGGGTAATTTCTTGTTTCCCAGCTTAGTAAGCTTTTTGCCCTAAATAAAAATTTGGATGTGGTGACCGATTGGAAACGCGTCGTTTCCTCATTGCCAAACTCAGATTTTCCCTGGCAATGGCACGTAACATTTGTATTCGTTGTTCAGCGGATTTTTCCATGTCGACGTAGAAAATGTTTGTTGGAGCGACTCACACGTTCAGTCTTTTCAAGAGTAACTACGAGACTTGAAAATTCTCAAACTTGCGAGTTTAACCAACCAGTTAACAAAATTTTGATGGATTCGAAAAAGCGGCAAGATTTTTCAAAAATGTATTTGGAGCCGTCTGACAAATTCATTTCCAAAAGGATGATCAAATTTTCTTGAATTTTCAACTGGAAGTATTAGTTTTCAAAATTTGAATAAGATTGATGAATGTTTTATCATGTAGTCTTCCAAGAGCGGAAAGAGCAACACTCATCTAATAATCCGTAATAATCACTCTATATCTTTGAATTTTAGCTTCATACCATAATCACGATTAATCCAAATCCTAAGGCTTTCAATCCAATTTAAAAGAGTTTGTCACTTCCCTATAAACTCTGTAAACAATTATTTTTAAGACTTGGAATGATTCAATAAACTTTAAAAAAGTCACCCGACCAAATTTGAATCAAGTTTTCGGCATGCTTCCTCGTTATCTAAAAAATACAACAGTTTTTTTCGCCTTGTCAGAGATCAGTGGAAGTAATTGACAGCTGTGACATGTGCATAAGCGTGAAAAAAATGCTGGGAAACTGGACCTTTAATCAAGTTTTGGCACTACTCAGCCCCTAGAATACTAGGAAGCCACCTTTTCGAAGCGGTTTTGCAAAAAAAATAAGCAAATGAAATTTCTTCGCAAAAAGTTTTTGCTAGAGAAATAATGGGAAATTTACAAAACTTTTTCTTTCTCATTTTACGTTTTAGCACAAAAAAACTTGATGAGTACAAAAAAACTCATTTAAGCAGAAAAAAACAAGATATTTTATTGAAACTATGGAAAATTTGAGAGATTCGCGCTTTTATCTCCTTTTTACGATGAACTTTGAACCCCTGAGCCAATTATAAAGAGTTATCAGGGAATCGAAATTTTCTGGACCTTTTCATTATTTTTTGGCGTTTCTAAGAATCCAAATCAACGGGTACAGGGTAGTACCGGACTTTAACCTCGTAAATTTTCATAAACAAACAAGTTGTTTGAGTTCACCAGGAAAGGTTCTGTACCTGTTCAAAGTCCGACATTTCAGCCGTTTCGAGGGATCTATTTCTATGTTTATCGATTAATACTGTAAAAGTTCTGCTCTTTTTGAGCAAAAGTGTGTCAAAGATGGTTTTTTGAATACTGTGGAGGAAACGAATACTGTGGAGGAAAAGAAGCCTTTCCCAACTCTTCGAAGAGTAAAGTGACCTCCCTTGTTAGCATCCAGCAATTGACCCGAAAAGAAAGCTGAGAATCTAGGAACCAAAGATTTGCTAATCCTACTTCGCACTGTATCTTTCTAGCGCTAATTGCTTGACGTCATTGCGGTCGATCTGATCAGCATATCGTGCCAAATCCTGCGAACCGAAGAAAAAAGAAAGAAATTGGTCTCTTGCAAGAGATCACGACAAGTTCCGGCTGTCAACTTCGAGCAGCGTTCGATCAGTAGTCGATTGATCAGGGGAGAACTGACCAAATTTTCTCCGTCCAAACATTCGACCGCCGGCTAATAGATCACTTTTTCAGTGAGAAATGACTCGCCTTTCGTTTTTCTTGTTAGTTTGGAGTTTTAAAAAATGAAATGACTCTTCTACAAAATGTAGTACGAAATAGTTTCATCCCTTTTTTATGAGTCTTAGTTTGGTTCCCTGATTTGTATCATACAAATATTATTTTTGGTGCTTTTGGATGGGAAATTACGTAACAGGAAAGACGCAAATTTGGAGATTCCTCGATTTAATTCGTTTTTCCAGTTATTTGTATTCTTTCATTTTTCTTCTTTCACACACGGCTCATTTGTGGCATCTATTTTTGACAACAGGGTTCAAAACAAGAGAAAAAAATACACTAAAGAAATAAACGGGCGAGACTGAAAAATTTTCCTGGCCACTTGAACTCGTTGTCTTTTTTTTTTGGTTTCTCGAAGTTCCGGCTTAGCTAGTCGCAAATTAGCATGCACAGAAAGCGCAAGTGGTCATTTTTTGAAGAGCAAATTTCAAAAAACTTTGAATCTATGCTAGGAATTTCTTTGTACAACTCGGATATTTTGAGTGGTCTCATATTGGGAATAAGCTAGTGGTCAGTCGATAACGTGATTATTGCAATGGTTCGTCTCCTTCTGATGCAATTTTGTTTTATTTCATACCAAGGGCAGAAAAAGAAAGAAACAAAATTCCTTTGAAAAAAAAATTGTGCCGTGCGGTAGCTTCTGTTCCGGAAAAAGAAAATCAACATCATAAAAGTCAGTAATTTCTCAACAGATTCATCCAAGGTCAAAATACATCTCGCAATTTTCTAGCAAAACTTGCACTTTTCAAGTTAATGCTCCAATCTGAAGCTTATAACTGCTATGCTCGATTTAATCTTACTCGAGATGAGCTTAGGACACGAAAATTTGGCTCTCTAAAGAATTACGCTGCAAGATCCTTCCTAATCTTGAGGGTGTCAGGATATTCGTGTTGGAGTCCATCGTCGGGGGTGGTTACGAAAAGCTGACGTGCCGACAGTCACATAAAAAACCCAGTAAACTCAAAAACAAAAAAAATAGAACTGGTAGCAACCTGCAAACGGAAACTTATGATCTGAAGAACACACATAGGTCTCCAAGTTTAATTTTTACAAACAGGCTGAGAAGATTGAAAGCCGGTAACGTTGTTTTAGCCTTACCATGAACCTTTTTATGCGATTCTAACGGGCTGCTTAAAATTACACAATTTGTAGTATTTTTAGAGAAAAATTCAAAGTCCTGCAGAAAAACTTTTGAGTAATAGGATTTTCAAAACTTGCTCTTTTAAAATTAATGGAAATGAGGTCAACAGAATTGACGATTCTATCGGGTACCTTTTTTCCATCACGATATTTCTTCAGGAGTACTTGAAAGAATAAATTGTAAGCGTTCAAACTACCAAAGCGGGGCAGAGAGCGCTATAAATATCTCATGCTCCCATTTTCAGCGAAACGAGACGTGGTGCTATTTCCCTGACAATGCCACCGAGGTGCAACGAAAGGCGACGAAATGGTTCGCGCATCTTGACAGCGTTCCAAGACAAATTTCGTCATCACCATGTCTTCGACGTCACTTTCGCCGGCGCCGCCTATCTGCAAACTGTCGGTTTGCAACGAACAAATAAACAGCAAAGGTCAGTTTTATTTTGAGGGGGACCTTGCGAAACAATCTGAGAACGCAAGTGACTGGTTTATTTACAGTTGAATCAAAAATGAACCAAAACTACAAAGCAGAGAGAGTCGAAATAGTCGCTCTAGTATATTTTTTGCATGAAAGTATTCGTAAAGAACATCTTATTTAATCTTATATGTTCTTTTGCAAAAAAATTTATCAAAAAGTTCTTTTTACAAAGGAAAGGTTTTTCAAAATTAGTTTCCGTTTCAAAGTAGGTTATTTGATTTTTCTCGGTTTTTATAAGTAATCCAACCGTTACTCTTTTCTTTCATGTCTTCGTACCTTTTTTAATTGGTTTATGTGCCAATTACTTCTCGCCTCTTCTTCCTGGCAAAGTATGTTTTCATCCACTCAGAAAAAGAAGGAAGCGCGTGATAATAATAAACCGCGAATGCCTTATGATTTTGGAAGCGTAAGTAAACTACAACTCATCTCTCTGTAACTTCCGTCTCTGACTAAACCTTTCACTTGGCTTATCATGAGGGTAAATTACACGCTTTAAAAAGGCAACCGAGACCACACAAAACTCCGAAAACACTCTACTTAGACATGGGAACGTGATAACCAAGGGCAACTTACTGGAATTAGGTTCCCAAAACGTAAACATTTCTACAACTCACAAATTCACGCAACGTGTTTTCACGCTTCTTGAAGTTGAATCCTGAGTATTTCCGGTTCACTGAGGCTACGTAGGCATAAGAGAGTAGGGTTGATTCGTTCATCGGCCGATCTCATTTTATAGCTCTTTCTTATCGTACTGAACTCGGTTGACTCGGACGAGAAGATCATCATCGCACGAAAAGTTTCCGATAAGGCATGACTGAGAAACTAAGGGATAGAGAAACTGATAAGAGAGGCTGGACGGTTTGATATACGATGAGCAAACGCTGATGCAACCTGATCGGCCTTTCGCTTCGTAAGTTCTGAACCCATCGGACGTGCTTTGCTTCTTCACGTGACAGACGTACCGTTTTTGCAAGGCCAAAATGCATTCTTGGGTCGAAGTTCCGACTGGACACGACCTGCTGTTGTCTAGATGCTAAAGTCCAAAGCCATATATTTTTGTTGACAATAAGGCTGATTTGCTTGGTCTCTGGAGGAAGTGATAACTTTAATCAGGGCCTTGAATCAGCACGCAATTGACAAGTGACCTCGTTAAAAAAAATTTTTCGATTCTTTTTCAAACGATTTAACATTAATCCGGTTGACAAAGCCTTGCAAAAATCGTTGAAAATAACCCATTTTGAAAGCATGCCGCAGAATAGTCAGTTCGAAGGCCTTTATTAGGATATTAAAATTTGCAAAGACTTTATAAACCCAGGTGAACACTGTAAACGTTTCTCGGCCTTGACAACTTTTTAACGATGTTTATGAAACGAAACATTTCAAACAACGAACAGCTTTTTTTTAAATCTTCAATAAAAGAAAAAAGGATTTAATACTATTCTTGTTCTTTCTATGCTCTTTGTGCTGTCCGGATTGGCGGCTCCCTCCTTGTTGGTCAACTTTGTGTGAGAGATCGCGTTGACCGCAGCGCAGTGACGAAAAACGTCCAGGAAACGCTTTTTCGACCTTGTTTTCAGTGTTTTCCGCTTTCTTTTCATTTCACGCTTTGGTCAGAAGTTGGCAGTTCGAATCAAAATGAAGCAAGCGCCCATGTGACAGTCCCGAGGCCACAGCGAGTGTTAAACCAACCCAAACACTCTCCAACCACAGTTCGGTGTGTCGTAAAAATGTTTTCTTTTTTTTTCCACTGGTCATGTGGGATCTAAAATCGTCCGTCGTAGGACTTTAGAGCTGCCCAAGTTGGATCAAGTTTCCAGCTTACTGAAGTTCTTCTTTGCGTCAAACCGCTTGTTGACAACTTTCAGGTCATTTTCAAAAACCAACTGGATTAGCAAGTCTACAAAATTAGATCTTGTCACTTTGAAGCGTGACAAGATGCCTTTGAAAAAATAGCCTTGAGAAATACTTCGAAGCTTGCAAAATCTCATCTATCTTGTCACGTATCTAAAGAACATCTAAGACATACATCTAATAGTAGCTTGATTTTCAAAAAATTCGCTCTTAAAACGCTAAATTACTGTCAATTTAATTTTACATGAAATTTTGGAAGTTCTGTTTTTTTTTTCTAAAAATTTTGAAAATTTTCTTGGAGTTGTTTGTAAAACTCGGGTTTTCTTCTCGAAAACTCGCATGAAAAGGACATGTTACTTCAGGTTCTTTCTCAAAAGTTGAGCACACTTCTTTATTTGTAACCTAAAACTAAGCGAACTTTTTTTTGTCTTTTTGTAGTTGCACCAGGGGGTGCAACAGTTGGAGTGCCGTCCAAAACACCGTGGGAAAGTCTCGCGTCGTCGACGCTGATTCAAAAAGAGGCGGAGCTCCGTGGCGATTGCAGTTTGTGACGTAGCGCAGTTGCCGGCCAGGCGAAAGATCTTTGCAGCGAAACAAGGAGAAGAGGCGGACCGATAGGCGGAGCTCCGTCTGGACCGAGGTATATAAGCTTCGACCGACGATGGGAGGTCCAGAAAGCTTTCAGCTTACCAATCCTAACCTAAACATGATCCACATGCCAGAGTACCTGACGTCCGAAATGGACCTGCGATCCCACTGCCAGCCACGGAGGTTTTCGCGCCTCTCAGCACCTGTCCACCGCAAAGTCTAGCCGATTTTCATTCGCTGACCATCCCTTTAATGACGGGATTTCTGTACATGCCTTCACTTCATTAGCTCTTAACTACGGCTTTACTCTTATTTCGATTATCGGATCTCCAATGCGACGGGTCCGCACTACAACCTACGGGTTTCATCCAGCCAGCCAGCTTTAACCATCTTCATTGTTCTCACTTTTTTGTTATATGTACATAATGCGGCTTGAAAACCAAGTCGCCGATAATAAATTGATTTTTCTTATGCCTGTGTCCGATGTATGTTGCCGAAAAGAGCTGCTACGCTAGAAGCACAAAGATAAGACGGTCGCACGTGGTCGGAGATGCTTAGTCACAAAAAGAGTAAATACGAGCAATTCGGCTCCCGATTGGTCCTTCCGTCTTGAGTCACCTAGATGACTTTTAGAACTCCGTGTGTAGTTGCTTTTCTTCTTACCGAGGTTCCTGGCGAGTTCCATTTTCCTCTCAATGGGCGAGAGTAATTTATTGTGAAAATATCATATCAAGACTTGTTCAGAGGATAGTCTCATTCTTGATATGAAAACGAAACTTCAAGTTAGAGTCTGGAGGAAGCGTTGATCATCTCATATCTAGCGTTCACTCGTTCGATTCTCATTGGGCTTTGACAAAAATTCGATTCTTCGGTCAAAAATCTGCCCTTTGTCTTTGAGAAGCTGTAATTGTTCAAATTTGCGTGTTAGCTCACGGTTCCAGTTTCATATTAACATATTCAGAAACTTCGAAGTTGAAGGAATATTTCTGTCCGTCTCCGTGGATTTAGTTACATCGAGCTCCGGTCGTGCATTCTACAAAGTATCACATAGTTTTTCGAAAAACTGAAATCTGACTATTCGAACAAAAAGCTCTCAAACGTCGACCACTTGTAATTGAGGAGTTCAAGTTTTGAGTTATAGTTTTTTCTTCAATATGCTCCTCCAGCGCTCTTCGAGGAATTCTCAAATTGGATATGAATTCGACCGTAGACGGCCTGTTTACAAAAAATCTCAGATCTTTGTTTCCATGATTATATTCATTCACAATGACCACTTGAGACGGAGGTTTTCCTCATATCACTTTGGATCTTATCTAACTATATTCTATTTTCTAATTTTGGGAGTGATAACTTTTAAACAAACCCTTATCCGATCTCGACAAAGAAAGATGATTTCATGCTTCGCCATAACCTATTATTACCTCAAATTTTTTTATTTTTTTGTTAAAAAAATTGGAATCTTCAATAAATTGATTCGTTTTTTTATCAAAATATTAGAATGCATACAGCCTTCTTTCAAATGGTTTATTTTGAAATAAACTCTCGCCATTTTTCTCGAAAAGGCCAAACAAATTTCAACGGAAGTGTCGTCTATTGTTGAACTTTGAACTTTTTCTAAAAATCTATGAATATCAACTTTTGTTTTTTGTGATTATATGTTTCAGAGTCTTTTTCCGGCCTTTCCACATGGCCAGAAACCTCCCAAAAAGGTTATAACTAATCCTCAATTATACTGGAGTCCGAAGGTTGTCAGAATCACGCGCCAAAATGGAAGGATTCATTTAATCTTGTTTATTTTCAACACAAACACTAAATGTTGGTACACAAAGGATTTGCAACATTCTTTGTCAGATTATCTTTTGTCTCACACGTTCAGGCAACAACAAACGGAGAGAAGTGCAAATTTTTTTGGATTCGAAATAGCTACAATTTAAAGAAAGTATAATGAAACTGTTTCTTGGTCGCGTAATTGTAGCCTAGAAGAAAATTTCAATTATATTCATTTTTTTTGAAAAAAATTGTTTTGAAAGCCTTTCTTCAGCAAAGGCTAGTATTCGAAAAGTCATGTAAACTTGAACTTTTTCTAAGAAATTCAGTGAAAATTGAAGGACTAATAGATAAAACTAGACTTCTCGGTTGATCCTTGAGGTGCTCAACAAGTTCGTCTATCTATTTTGATGACAGCTGATTCCCACGTTTTTGAATGCTTTCGTCACAAAATAAATTCACATTGAACAATGGCTATTTTGCCGTCCTGCAAAGTTTTTCTTTGTCCTGAAAGAAAAGCTAGGTTGTTCCATTTAAGGTCAAGGCCGATAAACAACGGTTCAAAAAGCGACGATCGGAGCTTTTAATCTCTTGTTGCGTAACGAAGCACTGAAAGAAAATAGCCAAAGGCCTTTCGAATAGGAAACAAACATGGGAGCCCGATTTGAGAACACCTCGGCTATATCACAATATTGTCGCGGATCGTCCATTTTATTATATTATATTTCCGTAGTAATGCAATTCCAAACCTTTCCTTTTTGTTATGAATTAAATGGACCATGCTAGGGTGATTTCCCGTTTTTGGTTCCGTGAGAATATCTCAATTGATACTAAAAACAGAATTCAACGTGGAAATAATTGAAATGTTGACGTCAAGTTTATTTCGGCTATGTGTAGATGTGAGAATTTTTTTGGTTAAGTCTTGTTCTGTGATAAAATAAACCAAACTTCCTGTTGAAAAATCCCGTTGGTTTTTCATTCTTTGAAAAAAAAAAGGTGTTCAACCAAAATTCTGGCTTTGACTTGCGAATCGCCGCATCACAGACGTTCGTTAATCGAAAACTACACAGCTGCAGCAAACAAAAAGATAAAATAATGATAATCCCAAAATGCTCCTAATAAATCCTTGATCTTCCCGTGTACTTCACAGATTTCGATGAGCAAAGCTGTTTTCCAGGCTGCTAGACTAATTTTTTTCAGTTTCAAAGAGACCTCTCTGTCAAAATGTTAGCTTTTGAAAACTTTCTAGATAAAAGTCTTGTTATCCTCTGACAACATCACATTAAATTTTAATCAAAAACTCATCCATGAAGATCATCGAAACAATCACATTGAAATTGAGGTCTACACGTGTGTTGGGCTTTTTTCTGTATAGTTTTACTCTTAGTTTGTCGCGCAATCTTACGAAAAATCTTCTTGAACCGTCTTGTTGAGACAGAAGACCAAACCCACCGCCCCTCTGTAAACAGTTCAAAACTGCTCAAAGTATAAACTTGAGTAAATTCGAGAAACGGCGCTTTTCTAGTTGTGAACTTTCTGAACCGGCCATATTTACAGAATCGAAAAGTATGTGTAAGCTTTTTTTCAAATCTATACGACATTCCCTGATAAAACTGAAACTCACACGCGGTTCACACGATGATAAGAGCATTGATAGAAAACTAGAATCAATAATTTTTGACTCTGCTCTCTTTTTACTTGAAAGAAGAAATTCCACCGGAATGTTATGTAGATGCACTAATTTGATGACCCGGGAGTCAAAGAGAACTTATTGCTTCTGAATTTCTATTACTTCTGAAAAAAATGTTTAAAGTTTTTTCCATCGATCATCCTAAAAAAAAAAAAACGAATTTTGAGGACCCCCTGTTGAAGAAAACGGGAGATTTCTCTAATATAATGAGAAGCTTCGTCCGATTTTCAAGGCAGACACTTGATGAAAGATATTAAAGAGAAAAAATTTCAACTACTCCTTTATCATCTTGAAATCAAAAATATATCTCCAAATAACAACAAAAAAATATTTGATTTTTAAAAAAATATCAGAACAAAAAAAGGTTATGTTATGTAGACTACTGTTTAATGATACTGATGATATCATCTTTATTTTCCTTTTGTTGTTATTTCGGAAGTACTTCTTCTAGGGCTTCTGGATTAAACCCTAATAAAATGCCATAATCAAAACTGCAGGCAGGAAAAAGCGATTTAATCATTCTGATAAAAAGGAAATAAATTCTTGGAGGCTTTTGCAAGTCATAAGATTGTTCAGCTGATCCTGAAGTTTTCGGTTACCCGTATTCAGCACTTTTTCTCCAGTTTTATCAGTTTCTGCAGCGTGAAACTGAAAGTCGCTACGTTTTCTTTCACTGATTTTCAAACTGATAAAAAATTTCCAATCATCACTTAACGATAAGAATGAGGTGCGGCAAAAGATTGATAGTCCACTGAATGGAAATGTCACGGACTGGACGTGTATAGAAGTAACATTTCTAGAAAATGCAGCCGACGGAAGACATCCAAGCGCAGGAGTTCTACCACGGTCTAACTCTCCAACTCTGGTACCACGGCCTTTTGCCGCGCGAAGACATTCTGGTCCGTCAGCAAAATAATAGTGTAACCCTCACTTGACATCATGAGTGAAAGTTATTGTTCTTTATTAGTTTCAAACAGAGGAAAGTGCAACAGCAGGAAACAAAACCATTGGACACTTTGAACTTACTGAAAATAAGAGTTAGTGGACTCGTGTGGTCTTTTATCTTTACTTTAACATCCCGAAAGTTGTGATCCAATCAATCTCTGACGAAATAAATGGGAAAAATTGATAATTAATCAAAGAGAACTTATTGCGAAACTCATTAATCGGATCACTTTTGGAGGGCAAACATATGGGCTCAAAACTTGAAATCAAATCCAGTTTATTCTAAAAAATCTAAAATTTCTACTTTTTGGTGGAAAAAAAAACATTTTTTCGAATATGCTTCGCGGGTTCGAATTGGAGGCACATATCTCCTTCGTTTCTCGGAGTACATTCTATAAAAAACTTGAAATGTTATGACAACAGTAAGATTGACGTGATTTTCTCGCAACTCTTATTTTTAGTCGTTTTTTTTTCTTTCAACTTGAGATTTTCCAGTATCTTTCTCAAAGAATATGAAAACTCTTGAAACATTATTAGACTTTTGTGTGGTTTCATTTTACTTAGTACTTGAGTCTAGCCGCTTAAAGTTTTGCGATTTACTGACGCAGGTTTTTTGGTGTTTGAAAGTAGAAGCTAAGACGGAAATATCCTAGAGAAAACTTGATTAGACGGAGTTTTCAGAAAAGTCATAGGGAGCAAGAAAACTCGAAAACTTTGAAGGATAAACAAAACGATGTCAAAAAAGTATGATATTTCATTTTTGTTTAGATGATGTTAAAGAAGACTGGAGATTTCTTGGTACGATCCACGGAGCCGGTAGCGGGGGAAAAGCGTCAGTACGTACTTTCGGTTAAGATCAGCGACGTTGCAGAAGATGCCGGCGTAAGTTGCGTTCGAGGTCAATAGTGAATCGGTCTAACTGGGCTGCAGATCAAGCATTTTGTGATCAAAGAAGCAATGAACAAGTACATCATTGAGAGGATGGCGTTTGACACTGTCACACAGCTCATCGAACACTATCTCAACTCAGCAGAACCTCTCAATAAGGTTGATCTGCGCCAAGAATGAAAAGAGAACAAGATTTTCCTTCTAGAGTGAGACAAAGTTTTTGAATGGCTAATCACAACGTTTATTAGAATGTGGTACAAAATTTCAAGCGTTTTTGCAACTTCTTGCAAAGGCAATAATTATAAATAAAAGTCGACTTTATGCGATTTTTTGAGAGTCTGACTTTCCTGAATGTTTCAAAAAAAGTTCTATTTCATGAAAAAATGTGAAGTCGAACTATTTAATCCAAGCACACAACTTTTCCTTTTAAAATAACTGTCTCTAAACTTACTGAAAAACGTGCGCTTTCCATCGCACACATATATCCACCTTTTTTTGAATGTTCCTCCCATCACACATTTATTCAGTATTCAGAGAAAATTCTTCGCTGAATCTTGGGCTAATAGAAGAATTGTTTGTCGGTTCATGAAATATTTGTTGCTCAAGAAAGGCACGTAGAGCATCTCGCCCTTCTTTTGATAGTAGCAGATGATTTTCGACTGTTCCGACAATCACTGCTTCTCTATGTAGGAACAGGACGACGTCCAGCTTGTCCAGGGCTGGCTGGCGTCGGATCAAATCGCAGGCGAGAGCGGTGAATAAGACCGACCATTCTGAGGGTGAAAAAAAAAGAATGAAAAAAGTCATTCGAAAGCTAAAACAACCTAAATTTGATCGGAAATTAGTCTTACTGTAACTTCAAGACCTTCTTCAGGTGTCGAACGCAGTTCTGAAGACTCCAGTTCTGCGCGAGCCTTGGGAGAAGTCGCACGCCGACGTGCAGCTCATCAAGAAACTTGGCGAAGGAGCGTTTGGAGAAGTCCACAGCGGCAAAATCTGCATTGACGGCTCTTCGGTGGACGTCGCTGTGAAGCTTGTGAGAAAGGAGTGGACGTAAATTTCTAAAAAAGCGTGTCAGGCAAAACTCGAAACAATGACCAAGGAGCAAGTAAAGCAAATTATGCGCGAAGCGCGACTCATGCGAAGGTCAGTTGATTTTTCAAAAAAACTTTTCAGAGATGAACCATTAATTTTTTTAGCTTGAGTTTGAAATAATTGAGAAAAAAATAGATTAAAAAAACACTTTCTCAACATGGTTTTCCGTCAGAAACGCGTTGGAACTTTTTCTTGTTCCGAAGAATTCTTACGGCGATCTAATACCGGAGAACGAAAAAACAAAAACGAAAAAGAATTTTTCGAAAAAAAAGCAATTTGCAAAAATAAAAACCTTTGCGAAATCAGACCCAAGAAAAATACTGTTCACATGGAAGTATTTGCTCAAGTCATGAAGAAAAGATTTCGAAAACCAATGATTAACAATATTTAATAATATTGAATAATTTAAAAATGAAATCTAAAAAAAGATTTTTGGCGCGATCTTGACGTACGCTACTCCGCCGTGAAAAAGTCATTCATTTCTATATGTAATTTTTTTAAAAAAAATTTTTTTGTTAAATCAAGCCAATATTTAATCCATCTTTTTTTCTTGTGATCTTTGAAAATATGGAAAAATCACGTCTACGAAGTTGCAGATTTTCCGAATTCAAACTAGCTTTGCGCAAGCTGTTACATTCTGTCTCAGATTCTGGGATTCTCCTCTTTCTTTTGAAGATTCGATCACCCGAATGTTGTCAAGTTTTACGGTGTGGCGGCTGGACAGGAGCCGCTGATGGTGATTATGGAACTGGTGGGTGAAATGTTTCCAATGAGTCTTTTTCTTTCGTTTGCATTCTCAGGCAGACGGCGGAGCACTCGACTCGTTTCTGAAAAAGCAGTACCCGCCATTGAGCAATGCCAAGAAGTTGGAGATGATCATCCAGGCGGCCTTCGGTCTCGAGTATCTGCACTCGTGCAATGTGCTCCACCGGGACATTGCCCTTAGAAACTGTCTGTATGGAAAAGGACAGGTCCCGCATTTTAGACTAAATCGCAAAGTCGTTCCAACACAGTTTTAGGTGAAGATATCGGATTTCGGATTGTCAAGGGAAGGAAGCGTCTATCAGATGCCTCCGCACACAAGGTCTGTTGCGAGAAATCTCAAGAATCCCGCATTTTTTATTTTTTTCCCATCTGGAATGATGTTATTGAAACTTCTCAGCGGCTTGAAACTGTTTTTTCGCAGAGTTCCTATTCGTTGGCTGGCCCCGGAAACCATGACGGCAATGATTTACACGCAACAAAGCGACGTTTTCGCATACGGTATCCACTATGGAAGGGTTTTCATTCCGATTTGTTCAGGTATAATGTGCTGGGAAGTTTACGCCAACGCCGAAGAACCCTACCCAGGGATGACAGTTGCTGAAGTGGCTGTGCGAGTGAAAGGCGGCTACCGTATGCCTTTCCCGAAAGACACCCCCCTCGAAGTCTCTACCTTGATCCTGGTTCGTTGATAGCTTCTGTCGGAAATCGCGTTGGTTTCAGAATAAGTGTTGGCCGGAAGCCCATGCTGAACGTCTTTCGATGGCCTCGCTGGTCAAGGAACTGCACAAGATAGAATTTGTTAGATCTTTTGATTCTTCTTCGGCTGATTTCAAACACGATTTTTTTTCTTTTACGTTTTTGAAAGGGTTTATAAAGGGATAACCCTTTCGTAAAAGTCTTGAAAAAGCGTCAGAATTACTCTCTTTGGCGAAATCAAACTCTTTATTTATTATTCGATAACTAACCTGCAGAAATTTCAAAGTAGTACGCTCAAATTTTCGTCTCACAAGGTAAATTCCAGCTTCAGTTTGATAGGTTTTAATTTTTAGAGAAAGAAAAAAAACTTCAACTTTGCTTTTGAGCTGATTTAACTTGTATTCTACGTGGTGTTTTTAGTTTTTTTTTTTATGAAACCCACTAAATCGAAACGGAGTTTTTGTAGAAAGTTCCGTTCTATCATTTTTTTCTTAAGAGGCAGCCGAGCTTCAACACCGACGACGACTACTTTGCGGTGCGACGGCCGTCGCGAGAAACCTCTTCGAACAGTCAGTCGCTGTCGAAGGACAACCCCGTGGTCCGGAAAACCCGGTCGCCCGTCGTCAAAAGACGCGAGAAACGCAAGACGACACATTCCCAAAACAAGAGCAAAATGGAGACTTCCAAGATAAAGGAACATTCTAAGGCGGTCAGTCATCAAATATGACTATTTCATACCAGTTCCAAAAAAACAGTTTATTTTCCAAAAGTGAACTCAATTCAATTGGAATTTGAAATTCGGAATGAAGTTTTTTTTAACAGTTTCGTTTCGTAAAATGGAAACCCCGGTCAAAAATCGGCTGTTTCCTCTCGTTTTTGAATATTTCTGAATTTTTTTTCCTGGAATTTTCAACTTTTCATCGAAGTGATCTCATTCTTTTAAAGTGTTTGAGAATGCTGAAAAAATTAGGTCATAGGGAAAAACAAATCAATTAATGAAGAGATCACACAAAAAATTTTTTTCTCGACTTTTTTTCATATTATTTGCTCTAGTCTACTTTAAGTTGTGCAAATCACTATCATTCCTGATCTGATTTCAGAGCAAAATCGCGAGTAAGATTATACCCTTCCGAGCAAGAAAGGATCGGAAAAGTGTGGAAAGGGCTAAAGTGAAAGAAGGTTTGATTGCTTTTCCGGCTTCAGACTTCCCGAAAAATTAAGTTTTTTCTTTCGGAATTTCTTCGAGGTTTTTCTATGCAACCATCGAAGCACGTGTTTGAGTATTTCAAGATTTCCGTTCAAATTGAAACTCACATACCATCAAATGTGCTAAACTTGAAAGTTGCCAATTGGTTAAGGTCAAGTGGTGAGGTGGAAAAAAGAAAACTTTAAACGCACATTTCAATGAAAGCCACTTGACGAAATGACTGTTTGATCATCGATTATTTCTCTTCTATGCCGAAAAAGTTAGCATCCAGCAAAAAAAAAAGACGATGAAAGTTGCATTCAGAGAAAAGTTTTGACTTTTGAACTTTCTTGAGATGGAAACGTGTTTCGCAAGACTTGCTTTCTCAGAGATTTTATAGCGTAATCTAGAGATTTTTACAACTTTAAACAGCAATTTTGGTGGCGAAAGACAAATTTTAACCGTCCCAATATACTAAATTGGGTGCTCCATGTGACTTTTAAGTTTTTTTGAAGCTTATTCGGCCCTGTTAAACTAACGAGAACTTGAAAACCGTAACGCATTGTTTTCTTTGCCACATAGATAAGAAGTAGAGTCAAGGTTATCTGACGTGAGTTTTTCTCACAAATTAGAACTTGGAAACCATTTTATCTACGTGGAATATTTCCTAAAGATCGATTTCTGCAAAAGACAAGCAGAGATCAGAGTTACTCAGAGAAAAAAAAAGTGAGAAATATTTTTCCTAATTCCTGATGCTTGCAGATGCCCAGGAGTGAAAAGAGAATTCGTCTTGGCTTCTTTTTGATTCTTTTGTACGTGCTAAAGAACTTTTTTTGAAACTGAACTGTGGATTGAATCGGGGAAAACAACAGGGAGAGGTTTACACCCGATGGCTATCGTCGCGGTTTCGGCCGATGATGCAAGAAATGGACACCTTGGTCGAGAACAATCGGCGACGATCTTTGAGTCGAAGACGCTCCTTTTTCGAATCAAGTTTCGCATGATTGTCCTAGAGAGTTAGCCATTCATCACTGGACGCTATCGAACTTTTTGATCTATTCAGTTTTTATTTTCAAATCAGTTCTAACGCCTCTGAAAGATTCATCTTCGAGTTATTTTTTATTTTTGAGGCAGTTTACGGCTTGCCGATCCCTTTGATAAGTCGAAAGTGTTCTTTTGCGAATAATTTAGTATTGAATTGATAATTGTCAATCTTCTCTCAACTCAGTTCAAACGTCAAAGAATCTGGAGCGACTTCGGCCTAATCCCAGTTTCACGAGCAAATTACCGCCTTTGTGAAGAGTTTCCTTGAGTGGAGCCTAGACATGACAGAATAAAAAAGCATGATCGACAGCAGTCTTGAAAAGTCTAGAGACGTTTTGAAGGCATTCATTTTCTCGAGGCCTTGAACTGGTTGGCAGGACGGCCTTGCTGCTCGCTTGACGGCTCACGGCCAATCGAATTTGCATAGTTGCCCTTTGGCTATGTGTGACTTGCCTGACGTCGACAGTTCTAAGCGCCATTGTCATCTCACGGGGGCTGTTGACACACGTCGGTGTTGCCTTCTCATTCTTCTTCTGCCTCCGTGTTCCATGCTTCTCGAGGTCGTGTTACTTTGACATTACCTGAACGGTGTTCCCTTTTCCTTATATGATGTCAAGTATGCAGGTGAAGTTGAAATAGTTAGCAAGGCTAGAGATTTTTGTTGAGAAAAGAGATGTGGCAAATTGTTGTAATGTCTGGAAGGTCCTTAAGAGGGCTTCTGTCGACCTGCAAAAAAGAGGGATAAGTCTACGGAACTTCTCTTCGAAATGGTGTGAATAGCCTCTTTTTTCAGACTTTTTTGATCATTTTTTCTACCGCTTCTCTTTCAGCGAATCTTTTTTTTGCGTTTCTCTTCTTTTAAACACTTTCATTCTCTACAGAAGGCATTTCCGGCGGCTTTGAGAAACTAATAGAAAATTTTAGCAGTTTTTCAAAATCTCCCATACTTTGCATTCATTTTAATGATCAATTATTACTCTTCCGAAAGGTGAATATTCAAAAGGATAAGTTAGCGAATTTGGTTTCATGATCAATCTGATTGAGATGATTAACGCGAAAGACAGATTTCATACCGCCTCGAAAAAATCCGACTTTTTTCGTGCTGGTCAAAACAAAATCGGCCGAGTGATCCCGGTGTATTCCGCTTAATAGTTGTAGAAGCCATAATCAAAGGCCATTTTTTTTAGATAAAAAAGCCCATAGTTGCGAGATAATTTTGCTGGTTCTTGATGAAATTTTCGAGATTTTCAAAAATTGTCTGTTGTTTCTGTTTATTGCATCTTCAATGTAAGAATACATGTGCAATCGACTGATTTAAAGATGTTCTAAAATATTCCTTCATTTGTAGAGCCACTTGAATCTGATTTAAATTTAAATCTGCTCTTTAAGAAAACACAGAGGTCCAGTACAAACGAAGAAGAGAAGCAAAGTCCGAAATGACCGAAAAAAAGCCAGCCTGATCAATTACTATCGTACGGTGTAATTCTCGGCATGGTCGCTTATACATCGAAAACCCACAGCAGAACCGCCAAGATTCAATTTACCTTTCTCATTGGCGCTCCGTTTTTTTTTCTCGTCCTTTCACTAAGATCGTTTTTCATATCAGCGTCAAATCGTAGTTGGAAAACTTTTGCGAAATTTCTCTTTGTTCAAACTTTTTTTTCTTCGGTTTTTTCAGAAGACGGTATCGAAAGAGTCTTCGAATCTTGATAAATCGTTATTTTTTTTTCCTCTCCCTCTTTTTTGAACTTATCCTTGAAGGGTTTTTTTTTTTGAGATTCAAACGATTCCTTTTTTTAAATCGAAAGCCTAAGGACGCTAGGGTTCAATCAAAATTTCTAAAGAAAGACGCCCCTCGTTTCTCGGAACAATTTGGAAAATTATACGGTTAGACCTAAATGATTAGCAGGCAATTATGCCATTTGCCTGTGCCTCACATTTTACAACGGTTTTTTTGTTTCTTTTATTTAAGCAAAGTGTTTTGTGTTTCTTATTTTTAGAAGGCTTAATTTTAGTACAACTCGGAAGCATTTCAATAAATTTAAAAATTAGGAAAAGTTTTAAAATTTTGCGCACAGTTGACTGTTTCTAAAACTTATGTTTAACACACTGATATTGTTTTTTTTTTCCTTTTACAGTTTCAGGACATATTAATTAGCGAAGTTTGAACCCATGAAACGACGCAGGACAATTAAGGTGAAATGAGGCGATTTGAAACGGCAACTGAGACCAAAAGTGGACGAGAAAAAAAAACTAACGCTCATTTCGTTACACTGTTCAAAGAGAAGAAAAAATTCTTCGGCTCCATACTGGGAAAACTCGAAAACAAACTGGCGATAAGACGAGAGCGAAAGGGTCATCTGCCACACGTAGAGGTCGTTTCGACGCCCTCGGTGCCATTTCAAACGAGACGAACGCCTCAATTAACAGTTACCGTTAATTTTCCATGCTTTATGGTCGTTCTGGTAATGTTTCTACCTTTTCTCGGAAATCATTTTATGGCTCTTCACAAGAAACCCGTTTTTGAGCCATTTCTAAGAGCCAATCGAAAAAAGAAAAAAGAATTGAAGAAAAGCTACATTTGGTGACACCTCTGGAAAATAATATTAATAAAGGATAGAGTCTAGGAAAAAGTAGTTCAAATTCGGCTCCCTTGTAAATATTTATGTATGTAGAGTGTAAAAAGGGCAGTATACAGTTGAGGCTGAGAATCGAGGTTATTGTTTCATCATCAACTGTCTTGTTTTAGGAATCGGAGTCAAGATAGGGCCTTTAGGATTTTTTTTCCGAAATTTATCATAAAATTACCAACTTCTTCATTGTTTCTTTTTTTCGACAAAGCTCGTAAACCTTGTTTTATCCCATAGCTACGTACTCATCTCTATTAAAAAAAGTTGGGAAAAGATAAGGTCTTTAGGGATAAAAAACTATTCATCTAAATAAATGTATATACGGCTGCATAAAACTGTCTTTTCGTGTACGCCTGTTCTCTAGATAACCGTGGAAGTTACGGTGTTGTTAGTTATTATTATAACTCAGTTAATAATTGTTCTCCTGGCTTCTCAATTCATTTGAAGTTAGGTTCGTCTAGAGATTCTTCGGAATGTTCAGGCGAACGTCTACCAGAAGACATCTGGACTGTTGTCCACCTTTTTGGTCGAAGCAGCAATTGAGTCTTCACCAACGTCTTCCACCGTTGTCCCGTGTGCCTTTGACAAATAAGACGCGGAACTTGCTAACTTCTTTTTTCATTACTTTCTTCGAAACCGAGGGGCGTTTTGTGTAAACCACCTTCGCTGCCGTTGTCGTCATACATCCGACAGAATTGGCACTGCTTTTTCCGAAGTCCCGCCTCCGGCGACCTCTCGGAGGCGGCACCGCCGTTCATTTGCCACGCTCTTCGACCCGTCGCTAATTTATTAGACTTATTCGGTGCCGCTGAAAAAACGGTTTTGGCTTTGACGAACGACCGGTATTTTCACTTCGCTGCTGTAAGATATGCCGATCTCTTAGGATCAGTTGAGGATCGCCTCTGTCACTTTCCTTTCGCACTTGACTTTTTTTTTCTCAGATTCCGATCCTTTTTTCCTTTCCAAAGACTCCGTTTGAAAACTACGTTTTCGAAATTTCTCGAACTTAAGTAAAATAAAAATATCTCGAAGCTAGAAAAAATATCAATTTTCGCAACAGTTTTCAAACGACCCTGCATCAATTCTGGTATTATTCTCGGTTATCAAAAGTTATCTTCTCACCATTTTCCTCTTCTGCCTTTACATTTAAAAATCACATCGCCTTGGTCACTTTTTTCAGATTGGCTTCACTTCTCCAATCAACCCAAATTTTACTGCTTGGAGATATTCTCATGTCCCTTTGTGCTAGAGAACCAACTTAAATGGGCTAATATACGGTGAATATTCTGCAAGTGACAACTTCTCAACTACCAACTTTTCTTTAAAGAACGATTTATTAAAGTTAAGTTTATCTGAATTATCAGCAGAAAGTTTGAGCTGCCAGTTTTGGAAAAATAGGTTTTGTGCGCGCTGAAACTTTGTAGATGTTCATCGCGTACATCAAGAAGCACTGGCCGAGTTTCCAAAATTTCAAACTTTCCCTATATCGTTATTTTTTTATGATTATTTGGCAGTGTAGATGACCTTTTTTTGTGTAGTTGAACTCGGACCAAGTTCATCCCAACTGTGGGAAGCTGCTAAAAATCGGAAACATTATTTTGGCCACTCACTTGTTATTCAGCGCCTCTTTTGTCCTTTCGCCCATGCTCAATTTCGTACTCAACCCGGAGGCTCAAGTGTTTTTGCGGGTTCTCAAACTTTGAAACAGACCGCCTCCGACGAACGCCTGCCCTAATTGCGGTCGGAGCTTCTCATTGTTTCCGAAGGTCGACGTCTCCAGACAAGCCTCGCTCTATTAATACGAATGGCGATATTCACGCAAGTTGCCCTCTTCCTCCAGTGAAAGTTGTTCGTTTACCGCTTCTCACCGCCAACGCCGTTCTCGTTCCTTTTTGATCTCGACCTTGTCTGGCTTCTTCTTATGTGCAAGTCCATCCACTGGTCCAGGTCTTTGCATCTCTTAACTTGAGTCTTTCATCTCTCTCTCAATCCACAAAGGCTTTTTGGTCTTCATTTATCTTATTTACTATCTGCAGACATGCGTGAACCTCATTTCCCATCGTCATGTATTTGAAATTATTCCAACCAATGACATGATTTTCTGAATTCTAATCACTGTATCTATGTGATAACCTCCAATCATCAGAATCTTCTAACTTGTTGATCATACTGTGATTTCTTCGGACAGATACACTACGAAGTTCGAGATAATCTCTCTTTTTCAATCCACGGAAGGAATTTTGTAGCACATTGAATCATTATCGACTTTCATGCTTTCAAAAAGAGCCTTCTCTCTTTTCTCAAATTATTGTCTCGAAGCACTGTTTTTGATGTTCATGGTTTTTCCTAAAGGGAACAATAAGACCAACTTTTAGATGGCTTCAAAATTATCTCAATTTTACATGTTTCTGTACTGATAAAAAATAGACGTTGCGTTTGACAAAATTAGTCTTTTCTACGTTTCCTTTTCGACCAAGGTATAAGATCCGTAAACCGACACCGCGATAGTGTGGACAGAAAAAAGATCACACCATTGCAAATATTTCCAGTTGTCCTTCCTGACATTTCTCCACTATCCCTGCCACGTCGTTTAGATGAAAAAGGAAAAAAAAAACGGTTTTCGCAACAATCTCGTTTCCGTGTCATACTGGCAACTTCAACGTGTTTTGGCTGGGCGTCGAGAGCCCGCTGTTTGGTCGAGGCAGAGTCTCATGGACATATTTCAGATGCCTTGGTTCAAGTGGCTGAGTGCACTTGTCGTCGTCGTCGTTGGCGCGTCTATTGGACTCGTTGGTTTGTTGCTTTCTGTCTTTTTTGGCACACGAGTTAGCAAGTGAAGTGTCCGTTTTGCGGCCAAGGTGACTAAACTTGGACAATGCAATTTCGGGGAGAAAGCAGCGAAAAAAAACTTTCCTTTTGATTCTCAAGTTTAATTCTTCCTTTTTTATTTATCAAAACCTAAGACGCAGTCGATGCTCCAGACAAGCTATTTCATGAGTTTTTCTTATTCTAGTTTAAGTTGTTTCTAAAGAACCGAAACCATGGTTTTCCATTTCAAGAAGCCCAGTTTCAGTAGTCAATTAACAGTCCTATTGTTTTAGTGGAGTTCTATCCATTCATGAAATTTTTTTTTAACTGGAAAAAATTTGGTGCCACTTCCGGTGAACTCAATCAATAGTTTGATAATTTTTTTTTAGCTTTTTCTGTAATTTCTTTTTTTTTGTTGAGAATAGAATACGGTCTTCTGAAGTTTGAATGACTGCATAGTTCAGAAAAAAAAAGTTGCTTCCCACTGACATAATCAATTTTTTTTACGTAAATTCTTCCTTTCTGTATCGCTTTTGCTGAATGATGAAATTTCTAAGCTAATAAAGATAACTCCAGACATGTTTTAAGGAGGCGCGAAACTTCGTGAATGTTGATATTTTTTGAAAATCAATTGATTAACAAACTAAAAATCCCCTCAGCCGTATTTTGCGCTTTTTCGAATTACAAATGTAACTGTTTATTTTATTGCATCTTCAATGTAAGAATACATGTGCAATCGACTTTCATTGAGTTAACTGTGTTTAAATGGAGGCAGGAGCTGTGGCTTAGGCAGAGAATTTGTGAATTTCGCTCGTAGAACATCAGGTACAAGAGAGGTCGTAGGACGAAATACGGTGCCGGCTTTCCAAAGGCCGATGGCAAAGATTGAGTCTTTTCGCTGCATACAGCTTCCAATTTCACCTACCCCGGAGGGATGAAAGGCTTGGTCGACCTCGGGGGGACTCGAACCTACGAGCTCTCGGACTTTAGAAATGAGTCTTTACCAGCTGAGCTATGCCGCCCCCTTAAGTACAACCATAAGTAATCAATATAAATGAAAAGGAGAGAACAACTTTCAGCGGCCGACGACGACAACCCGGTAACGACGCGATTCCACTGTACGCGGTCCGGCTGCTGCGATCACCATGAATGGTGCCGCTTCTGGGCCTCCGTCGGCGAATGCAAAGTGAGCGCACTACTTTTTACGAAAATCGTGGTGAGATCTTCAGACGAACGCTGAGTGGATGGTGGACAACTGCCAGCTCGCCTGCAACTCTTGCCCTAAAGGTAAAGATTGCAAAAAATGGCCAAAAAAAGCTAACTTCGTTTCCCAAGTTGCCAGAAGTATGGATAGAAGGATGTGATTGGATTGGTCATATTTATGAGATGAAGCGCGCGCCAAACACATCTTTCCTTTGTACTGAAGTTTTTAGAGTTGAATCGAAAACTTATCACGTTCAAGGCTGGAGGTTTGATCTGGAAAATAAAACGAGCAATTTCCTTTCACCTCTTTTACGAGAACTAAACGGCTCATTTCTTTTTTCCTAAATAAGGATCTTTGAAGTTTGAACCTGAACTACTTCTAATTTGTTCAAAGAAAAGAGCAAAGTAAAGTTTTGCCGGTAAAACAAACTATCCAGAAACGGTTGATTTATGAAAAATATAAGTTTTTGTGATTTGATATTTTCGAAACCTTCGTTTATATCTTCAAAGAAAGTTTGAACAAAATTTCCAGAGCATTCCTAAAAAAAGAAAGTCAAAAAACTGACTGTCCTTGTTATCTAAGGCTGTGTGGAGCCCTATTTACTTCGCGAGTAAGACACCTGCTTTTTTAAAAAGTCAGCTCACTCTCCATTTGGAAGTGTTATTTTCATTTTTGCTTCGATTAGAGTTGAAGAAAAAGAGTTTTGGATGAGTTCAGGGAAGGGAAGAACGACGCCAGCCAAGTTCGCAGGGCGTCCGGCGACCTCACGACCTCCTCGTGTCCGACGGCCGCCATTGTCACGACCAACGCTAGTCAGTTTTCCTGTCGTTAAGACTTTATTGCTCGAGGAAATTTTGCAAATAAAAAGAAAATAGAAATTTCACCATTTTCTATCTACTTTCTCATCTCGTACTTTCTTTAGAGCAAGCGTTGATAAATTACAGCGGACAGGAGTTTTTCTTCTCAGTTCAATTTTTTTATTAGATCAACAAGATTGTTAATTGCTATGTTATCAGGGCAACTTGGGGTTTTGTTTTGTTTACAAACACAGCTAAAATGAAACGACCAGTTGTCAGAAGAACGTTGCCAAGGACAAAGACAACGTTTAAAGCGCGCTTTATCACGGTCGAGTACTCTTAGACACTGCGTGATTTACATTTCCAAAACGCATGTTGCCTGTAATAAGTGCAATTGTGTGTGAATTCGAGAATCGCAGAAAACGCTTCAACATTGTTTTTTTTTATTCCGACTGAGACTCGCGTCTCTTGCTTCGGAGAAAGTTAGAAATCAGAACTTGTCTTGACTTGATTTCCCTGTTTGAAGCATGGCAAAACGAAGAAAAAAATTCAGGCCCCTCGACCAGCGACACAAACGACGGCCAGCACAGCGCGTCCAAGGTTCTTTGCGATTTCTGATAAATGTACACAAGAGTGCTGCTTTTTGTTTGAAAGTGTCGTAGTCCACGAAGTGCCGTCGTTGTGATTGTAATGCTCCGTTTGTTTAAGCGTCCGTACTACGCTGGCGCTGCGCACAAGAAGGCCCAAGTTTGGAACTCGGCGAAATCCCGGAGGATTTTCTCGTCGCTTCCCTGGTACCACCGGGGTCTTCTTCACAGCTAAGGCGAGCACGCCTAGCACCGCCACTTCCAGCACTTCTGCTCCGAGCACAACCACCCCCTCCACGACAACTTCGACAGTCCCCACGACTTCTAAGACTACCACGACGACTACAACTACCACCACCACCACCACCACTACCACGACTCCAAGCACTACGACGACCACGACGACGCCCACAACTACGACCACACCTTCCACGACTACATCGACGACCACGACTCCAGAAACCTCGCCCTTCGTGCAACAGTTCATTCCCTCGTTTTCCGACGAGTCTGATTTGTTTGCCAACTCGTAAGTGTTCTCTGTGCTCCACCTTTGTTTTATTTTCATTTTTGGTTCTTTTTATTTTACCCTTCGAAACTCGCAGTTAGAACAATATCGACATCAGGGATCGAAGGTTTTTCATGTGCTTTCGGCATGGTTTTTTTTCCTCGAATTTTCAGTTTAGCCGTGATATTTTTTGATTTAAACCTTCAGGAGTACATATGGAGACGTTGGATATTTCGCTTAAAAAATTGTTTTCCATTCTGTCATTAATTTTTTGTCTTATATCAAGATTTTCTCTAAGTAACTTTTTTTTCGAGGTATTTTCAGATTCCGCGGTATTTTTTTTATCAGAGCAAGGTTCTGGGAAAGAGGAAAAAATCTCTAAAATAGAAAGAGTATCCACTTAGCATCGTAGGTCATCTTCTAGGACTACCTACTATGGTCATTTGTTTCAGGCGGCTCTCCTGCTTTATTTTTCAATTTTTTTCTGATAAATTTAGGTAAATGCAGTCTGAATCTATGACACACAAGCTGAAAATGAACAAAAATTAGAAAGAAATTGAAAAAAGGCAATTATTTGGTGACACAGGCTCCAGAAATCACATGTATCGTTAAAAGCCAATAGTGAATAAACATACACAAAAATGTTTTATTCTTTCGAAAATCCTTCGTCTCCATATGAACGAGAGTAAAACCACCTCCCGACCAAATCTCTGTTGCTCACCCCGTTCCAGAATCCCTGCTCGAAGGCCGCCGTCACCGCCGCCAGCACGAGTCGGTCGTCCACGCGTCAGTCTACCAGGCCGACCGGCGGCTCTTCGGTTCACAGTGAGACCCAACTTCCGACAGACGATCCGACCAACCGCGCGGCTACTCACCTTCACTCCACCGACCAGCACCTTTACCACTCCCAGCACCACTACACCTACTACCACAACAACGTTCACGACGCCTTCGACCACTACGCACCGTTTCTTCTTCTCCGATTTCACCGTGTTAGTTTCACCAAAAACTAAACTTTTTTTTTTCATTTTATTTTATTTTGGATTTTTTCAAATTAACATTTGCATTTTTCATTGTTACACTGCACTATTTACTTCACAACTCGATAAGGTGAATATCAACTAACGTCCATACCCAAAAACTTGAAGGAGGCCAACAGTGACCACCACGAAGTCGACATTCTTCGCTCCACGACCACAAATCAACAGCCGCTGTCGGGAAATCCTCGATGATCCGCTGATTGCTGCGGAAGAAATGTGGAGGGAGAGGCTGGTCGTTTCTTCCGAAGGTTCGTTCGAAGTCCGCCCACGAGAATCCGCCAATTGATGAAAATCATATTTTATTTTCAAGAATCGAAAGCAAGCAAAACAAGTAATATTTTTTAATACTATTTTGCAAATTCTGGAACGAAAAAATTTACTTCCATTTGAAACGTAAGTTCGACCTGAGATCTAACGCTCTAAAAAAAGTTTCCACTTTTTCGGTAGTTTATTTTTTTTCTTTTCGAAAACCGGTATGTTTGAAGATGCAGAAGTCTTATATGAATCATAGGGGCAGTAAAAAATGGGGTTTCAGGTAAAAGCAGTATCTTATATAGTTTTTCTTTGTGAATCGAATGGTGTAATCGAAAAAATTAAAGATGTGACAACTTTAGAAGAAAAACGCGATTTTACTTTCCCGCCTTTATTTTTGAAAAAAGCTTTGGATCGGTGCTCAGACAACTGATTACAGTAGCTGTGCACGCGATGTTGCGGACGTCTCATTAGACTCGCATTTTGTGAGAAATAACCGAATATCGGCTTCAAATAAAAGGTTTCTACTCTGAAAAATCGATTAAGAAAACAAAAAACACACATGGATAATAAAGGAAACACAGAAAATCGCAATCCCAATCGAAACCTGTGCAAAATCATCATTTTTCACCAGAAACGCATTTTTGCGATTAAAGTTGTAAACTATACATGAATAGAAAGTTTTTGTGACGAAAAGAACTTTAATGACAACAGAAAAAAAAAATTGAAATCTGAAAGAAACGAAGAAAAAAGCGAATATCCGGAAGATGGCGAAGCCTGTTGTCCATAGAGCAACTTTACTGCGAAGCGCCCTTTTTGCGGGAACTCAAACTTTCCTCTCTACGACTTTGAATTATTTTTTCTCCAAAAATAGGAAGTTCGGTACGTTTTCAAGTTTACCGTTCGATTCGCAATGAAAAGCTCTACAAAGTACTGCTTTGAACTGAAACACCGTTTTTTACTGCCCCGCTTTCAGACAACACGAGACGCCGAACCGTCGACCTGGACCAAGTAATCCGCTCGAACACCGCAAACGCCTGCGTGCCTCGTAACGACGAAACCGACTGCGATACCAACCTCTGTTATAACGTCCTTTACAGGTAATCGGACTGACTTGGAGATGAATGAAATGTCGACTTTATCTTTTTATATCTGGTACTTCTCCACTCGGTTTCAGAACGATGGACGGCACTTGCAACAATATGAGAGGCCAGCCACTGCGCGGAGCATCTTACCGTCCTTATACGCGTCTCTTGCCTACCGTGTACGACAACGAGCTCTCAGAGCCAGTTGGTGAGTGCGAACTCGAGAATCTCCTTCAAAATAGAACTTTTCAGGATCTCTGTTCCCGAACCTTCGGCCGTCGCCGCGGGAAATTACTCGCAAGCTGACATCATCGCGTGCTTCCGTCGAATCACCCGACTACAACGCCCTCGTCATGCAGTTTGGACAATTCATATCCCATGACATGGCAAAGGCACTTTCAAGTTAAACACAAAAGACCCAACAAGAGAGATTTCAGACCTCCTTGGTGCCTTCCTCGAAATGCAACGTTTGCCAGAACATCACCAGCCGATGCATGTCTGTGTCGCTGGAAGCAGATGAACCCAACGAGAGCTTCCGGAAGACGTCGTGCATCCGAGTCTCGCGCTCCTCGCCCATCTGTGGATCCGGTCGAACCAAGCCACGTCAACAGCTCAACGAGAACACAGGTAAATTGAGGAAAAAAGCAATCAATCAAATTTTTATGTCTTGTATCTTATTAATCTCTGAGGAAATATCTTCTATGCTCTTCCAAGAACCACATCTAGGTCGTAGTTGTTCAAGCGTATGCAAGAATGCAATATTATTTCAGTTTCACATTGTTTTTCTGATATTTGTTCCCCTAATAGTGCCTTGACGAGCTCAATGTTCGAAAAAAGAAGGTGCCGCACAATTTTGAAGTCCTTCGACTCTTGATGGAAATTTCAGAATGAAAAAAAAACAACTACAGCTTAAAAATTTTGGTTTCTTTCAGGGTACATCGACGCGTCGCCCATCTACGGCTCTTCTGTACACGATTCGAAGAAATTCCGCGACGGCGATTCTGGTTTTCTGAAGCTTCCCATGTTCAACGGAATGCAAGGTGCTTCAACCATAGAAGATCATGAAAAAAATTTGATGGAAAACCTGTTTGTTTTTCTAGTAAGACTAAAACTGCCATTGGCAAAGTTGAAGTACAAAGGTTGACAGTTGAAATATTTCCTGACAATCTTCTCGTGGTTTGACTAGAATTATTTTCATGTTGTCAAACTGTTGAATCAGAAAATAAAAAACCGTCAGTTCTAGTTCGACTTTAAGAACGACACTTTTCATTTTCAAGACTCAGTATTGAACTTATTTCAAAAGTTTCAGTTTTGCCTTTTGACCAAACGAAGTGCCGGAACCGTCGCCAGTGCAACGTCATTTTCACGGCTGGCGACAGTCGTGTGAACCTTTTCGTCGGCCTCAGCGCTTGGCACACCATTTTCACGAAGGAGCATAACAGGTACTGGAAGTGACGCCTCAGATGATGACGTCTTCAGGCTGGTCACCGCATTCAAGCGCCTCAATCCACATTGGAACGGCGAGCGACTTTACCAGGAAGCGAGGAAAGTCGTTGGTGCTCAGGTCCAGGCGATTGTTTACCGAGAATGGCTGCCAAAAGTGCTCGGCGCCTCGTTCTCAATGGTCGTCGGAGATTACCGCGGCTATGATCCGGAGGTTCCTGCTTTTTTTTGGAAAAAAAAACTGTCAATTGCATCTCCTATGTTGTATGAAATTTACATGTTGGATAACTGGAATTTAGATGTCGGGAAATGTTTGCTCTGGGAATTCTCGATGTAGCTCAAAAACGACAGAATAAATATCCGTTTCTCTGCATCAAATGCATTTTCTGCAGATTGATTCGACTGTGGCCAACGAATTCACATCAGCGGCTTTCCGCTTCGGCCACGGCATGATCCAAGAGATCTACCAAAGACTGGACACCTCTTTCCGCAACATATCTTTCGGAGCTCTCGAGTTCCAGAAAGGAACCCTCCATTCAGACGTTCTCGTTATGGAGGTTTCCAAGATTCCATTAGTTCTTCTAGTCGTATTTCCAGGGCGGCGTTGATCCCCTGATCCGTGGAATGTTCTCCCAAAACGTCAAGCGACCACAAAGAATCACTACGACTGTTACTGAGAACATGTTTGGCTCCACTGACTTGAGCACAATCAATATCCAGGTTGGCTTTTCTATAGACCATAGTGAAAAAAAAAAAATGCATTTCCAGCGAGGACGCGACCACGGCCATCCAGCTTATGTAAAGTATCGAGAACTGTGCGGAATGGGATCGGCGACCACTTTCGACCACGTGAGTCTACTCCAGTTTGGTCTAGATCTTACTACTCGAGAAAAAATCAACCTCGTTCATGTATTTACTTTATAAAAGTACTACTGAAAAATAACCTCTAAATGATCTTATTATATTTTCTAGTTTGCATTTTTCTAAAAATAAAAATAATAACCCTAGAATTCGTAGAACTTTTCAGTGACTCCAACTTATTAAACTTTTTTATTAGAAATTAATTATTTTCAGCTGTCACGAGAGATTCTGAACACTGGAACTAGGAACAAGTTGGAGCAGATCTACGGCTCTGTGAGTCGAATAGACCTGTGGGTGGGAGCCTTGCTCGAAGATCCCATCATCCGAGGTCTCGTCGGCCCCACCGTCGCCTGCGTCATCGGGCCTCAGTTCAAGCGGACACGCGATGGCGACCGGTGAAGGCACCGGATTATTCTTGAAAACGTTCTTTTTCAGGTTTTATTATGAGAATCCAGGAGTGTTCTCTCGAAGGCAACTTGTCGAAATCAGGAAAAGTTCTCTCAGCCGAATAATTTGCGACAACACACACACGATAACGGTGCGGAAGAGGGAAAATGAGATGAAACCAAGAGTTTGCAGACGATCCCACGAGAAGCATTCCGAGTAGGACACGTCGTTCCATGCAGTCAAATCCCTTCGATGGATCTGAGCAAATGGAAAGAAGTCTAAGAATTAAAATCGAAACTTGTTTTCCTATATTATCGACAGAGCTGCAAGTTTTCTTCTTTAACACAACTTACGGAACATTCGTGACGCGGGGTATGAACAGTAGCCATCACTGCTATTTTTTCTCAATGTTTTCCTCTTCAGAAAATTTCCTTTTTATCTCTTCGAAATATCTAAAATCGCTCATTTTTCTTTTGAGAATTAATAACGCGAAAATGGGTGCGCAAAGATTATCATTCCACTTGATGTTTTGAATTATACTTTTTCTCGGCTACATAAACAATTAAATAAAATTGATTTTTGAACTTGTTCACCCGCAATTAATTGATATCGATAAAAAGTATTTCAGTTAAAAGCTGATGTTTTAAAGCTTTGCTCGAGTTTGGCCAAGTTGTCGACGGGAGCAACGTTTGGCGGCGACTCGCTTTTTCGGCCGACTATTTTCACGTAGTTGATCGGAATCATGCCGATTCTGCTGCCATCTTCGCAACTGCAATATGAAGACTGGAAAAAAATATTCTTTACTTGCAACATAAAAGGCTATATCGCAGCGAACCTAGGCTATACAGCCGAAAATTCTTGCTGCGATCTCGTCAAAGTTTCTCTGCTATATCGCTCTTTCTTATGAACTTCAAGCTTTAAAAAACAATTTTTTTGCTTGTTCTCGAGTTTTATGATAAAATGAATCAATTTCGAGAAAGCGCAAAACGTTTGCGATTGCTCGTGGCTCACATGCGGCATGGCGTTACTCCAGCTGCGACATAGTCCAAATTATTGGGTATATTGACGAGGCTTGACTTAGATATCAGGAAAAAACACTTCAGGTAAGTGGAATCATTGAACGAACCTGGCGAGAAGCCATCCTCGAACTCTTGGCTGCTCTTCTTTGGGGGCCACTCGAAGCGTTTCTCCTTTCATGAAGCTCAACTCCTGCTCGCTTGAAGCTTGAAAGTCAAACTGTGCCTGAAATAGTCGAATTACGAAGAGAAGATTCATTGAATGAGACGTTTTTTTTTCCCAAAACACTTTCCCAAACCTGTGCCGTGTAGTGAGCGCTCGTTCCGGTTGCCCACTTTCGTTTCTCTTCTACCGCTTGTACCATTTGGTTGACGCATTTGTAGATAAGCCATGGACCTTGAAATCGAAAATAAAGGGTAACAAGAAATGGATTCGTACCTCCCACAGCTACTAGCCAAAACATGACGGCTGGCCAACTGACAGTACTCGAATTTGCAGATCCCAAAACATTGGAAGCTAAAAATGCAAGTTTGAAATTAAAAAACCCAATTTCGAGAAGTCCAGTTACCATACGGGAGGTTCGCGTCGTTCCAGGCGAGTTCGGTGACGCTGGCGTAATTGGCTGGCTTCAGCTTTAGCATTACCAAAAGCCATCTCCAAAAGCGGTAGAGCCATCGGAAAAGCGCCAAAGACACGACAACTTGAGTCAGCTGCAACCTTATCTTTTTTTTTTTCAAACAGCAATCCACACTCATTTTCTGCGAAAGTTTCAGTAAAAATCCAATTTCAATATGTTCGAGTAGCAAAAAAAAATTTTCATTATAATAAGGTAGGGCTTACTCCTTTAAGCCGTTTGTTTTCACATACCTCAAAAATTCGCGTTGAATTTTTTTTTTCAACTTCTTCGAGTGTCTCTGATCTGTATCCCACTATATATCTCAACCAAGTTCAATAAAACTTCTTTTGAATATAAATTTCCCTTTTCTTTTAATTTCTTATCACCGCTCTCCCACTTTTGTCAGTGGGAAATAATTAAATAACAAGGAAAAAAAATTTTTCAGTCACAAAAATTCCACGAAAATTGATTTGGTTCCCAAAAACGTCTCTGTTAAATTTTCAGGTGACCGAGTAGCTTTCAGAAAAATTAACTTCTTATTCCGACAAATGCAGACAGAAACCCCGAAATGCAATTCAATATCGCTTGCATTTTTAATACGACCGAATGCGCCCCAAAAAAGCTCTCCCAACGAGACGGGAGCTATTTCGCAACTGAAATGGAAGAAATGAACCCCAATGTCACAAACCTGCATTTTCAAGCGTCCGAACTGCTCTACGACGCCGATGACTGCACGAAAAGAGCTATAAACGGCATTGTGCGTCGAGTTGAGCATGTTGGCGACGGAGCTGACCGCCGTCACTACAGATTCAATCGACTGAAACGCGCCGCGAGACTGTTCTGCAACCATTGATACAGTTCTGGCAGAAATAAATGTCCCGAAAATGAAGCTTGGTTATTTAAAAACATTCTGCACATACAGTCTCACGCAATCGAGACTTCAACCGGTTATATTCGATTCATGGCTGACCCAAGCCAATATTTTATGACATGCGAACTTCCGAGGAAAGGTTCTAGGCAGGATAAGTGAAACAGTGTAAGAATAGTAGAAAATCGGGCGTTTCTACAGTTTTTATGTGCCATAGACCAGTCGCGAACGAACTGACGGTTTTCTTTTCAAAGCTCTCAAGGAGCAAACATGTTTCCTTTTCTTAAAATATTATACGCTTTCTTGTAAAGATGAATGAAAAATAATACGAGAAAAAAAAGAAAGAAAACTGTCTTGGCAAGATCAGCAAAGTAACGCGTAGGCGCAAAAAACAAGTAAACACAAAACGGATTTGAAAATTTTCGTGACAAATATTCATTATTTAAATAACAGAAAAAAACAGGATTAAGGATCATATTTAACTTCAGAAAAGAAGGTCGCAACATTTACTTTTTATATATATAATAATTATTTCAAATAACTATCAAAAAAATCCAAAGAGCTCTCAAAACTCGGAAACTTTATGAGCTATACCTTCAGCAAGACGTGCGAAGCTGCTTTCTGGAGGACCACCGTAACCAAATGATCCATTCATACCGTATCCCATTCCCCCGCCGTACATACCACTGTTATACCTACAAATTACCATTCTCATAAGTTTTTCAACTCGGAACCTACATTGGACCGTAGTTTCCCATGCCGCCGAAGCCACCGTAGCCTCCCATGTTCAATCCGTGGCCGTACAACGCGCTGTTCATCCCACTGTTCACCATCGTCTAAAAAGGACCATTCTCCCAAAGATTATAAGGTTTTTTTTTTCCCATACTTGCTCCCCAAAAGGACGCGGTGGAAGCGGTGGAGGCCGATTTGGATCCTGATTAGGCTGGCTCATATCTCTGATTTTCCACTAAATCCAATTAATTTCACCAAAAAAAGAACAGTCAAAAAGGGTGAAACAAAAAATGGCGCATCACGTTGTCGAAGGCCTTCCCAAGCCGATTGATAAGGCGCGATGTACCCTCGCAAAACGCCACATTGTAGCCTAGTCTACGCACCACTTTGCTACATGTTTCTCAAACCGTGTGTGATATTCGAAGTTCTTAAAGAACTCATACTGTTACATAACACCCTGAATGTCTCCATTTTTTCTCATCTATCTCGCAAAGCCGCTTTTTTGCGATTGGAGAAAACAATTATTACGGAAATGTATTATTTAGGATCAATAAATTAAAAAACGAGAAGACTAGAAAATTATGACCGACATAGAATTCCGAAAGGAGTTTCTGAAACAAACTTAAGCTTCCAAGTGAGAAAGAGAATTATTTTTCATCAGAAAATTCAAATTTTTTTCATTTTGTAGTGAAATTTCATCTTTCCGCGTCAAAGTTACGAGCCTCATCAGTACTTTCTTCACGAGAATTTTTGAAAAAATGGAAAAAGCATGCAATTGCTTTACAGAAAAGAGGGCTGTTTTTGAAGATGAAAAAACTATGTCAAAGGTATCTATTTCTATTTCACTCGTAAGATTGGAAATTTATATGCTCAAATATACCTTCTAAATATGCACATTTATTGACTTTTCATGTGAACAAGATGAGAAATAACAAATAAATCATGTTGAAAAGAAAGAAAAAGATCTCGAAGGTACCCATAAGTCGGATTATAAAAATTACTTTCCGCGTCCGCGACCACCACCACGAGGCGCTGCAGAACCTCCTCGTCCGCCTCTGTGAGGACCGCCGCCGCGTCCCATAGGCTTCCGAGACCGTTGCTGGTCTTTCTGTTGACGTCGCACCTCGTTGACTTCGTTTTTCACAAGGTCCACTACCTGAAAAAAAAAAATGCATTTTCTGATATTTCGTGATGAAACACATTAAAAGTCAAATACTATCTGATTTTTTCACAAAAAGTCGAAATTGTGATAATTTCTCTAAACGCATGCTTTAACATGTCACTTGGAAGAAATTAATTTTTCAAAGAAAATGCAAAAAAAAGAAGAAAATTAATTGCGGATTGTTATTCCGCCTCCTTACTTTTTTTTAGTGGAATAAAGTAATCGCGGACCATCGGATATAAAGTGAAAAAAACGGTGGTATGAAAAAAACACCAGCGAAAAATCAAACGGCGATTTTTCCGATTTTTTCATATCGCTAGGGAGCTTTCCGACGGCCACCTTTCCGACGAAACTTTTTCCGACTTTTTTTTCTCGATAAACTCTTCGTTTTCAAATATTCCTATATAAAGTAGGTAGTTGGTCCATGATTAAAACACAAAGAAACAGGAATAAAAAAATGTGAATAGATGTTTTACAAACCGAAAAAAATGAGGGAAAAAAAGTCGGAAAGAGATCCGTCGGAAAGGTGGCCGTCGGAAAGTTCCCTAGCGATATGAAAAAATCGGAAAAGTCGCCGTTTCAATTTTCGCTGGTGTTTTTTTCATACCACCAAAAAAACAAAGAGAATAAACCATACTTTTCTTTTTTGATAATTTTTTTCTGTTCGCATTTTTTCAGAAAATGTACGAGTATATACTATTTGCGAATCCTTCTTCAAAAAAAACAGGCAAAACTTTTTTTTATAAAAGTTACACTCTGTGTTGATTTTTAAACTTGAAACAACGTGAAAATGAAAAATCGAGACGAAAAAATTTTTAATTTCATTTCTGAGAAATCGGAAGCGTAGTGTGGCTGTTAGCTAAGGTTCGTGAAAAGAGTTGTTGATCAACAAAATTATTTATCAAAAATTTCATCTGCAAGGAACGGCAGACTCAAAACCGAAATTTAAAGAAAACTTGAGAACTGACCGTGTCTGGGATACGCAAATATTTGATGGTTGACCCTCTAATGTAAACCTCCGGAATTTTGTAGAATTTATCTCCATCCTTGAAAAAGAAAAATTGATTCGAGTACGTAGTTGACCAGTTTACCTTAGACGTGTAGATCACATCCCGAAGATGGACATTCATCCAAGTGTCACATGCTTGAAGATGTCCGTTATACGTCTCTCCATTTTTCAATTCCACCAACATAGGATGGTTTTGTGCTGTTCGTAAGAGCGATAATGGAAGCTGAAAAAAAAATCAAGTTATGGTTCACGTCTTACATGGGTAGGAAAACTTTTGGGTCGTCCGTTTTTGTTTCAATTTCTTTTCAAATTTATGTATTCAATTCGATTCCGCGCAATGCAAAAAACCCGTTAGAGAAAGGAAAAGATCACAAAATGTTGGAGAGTCAAAGATCATTTCGCGGAATCTATTGTTTCTCCAGTATTCAAAAAAGGAAACCCTTCCGCTGCTGAAAATTATAGGCCCGTCTCTTTAACCTGTGTGCCATGCCGAATTTTTCGAAGCAATTGTAGTGAGAGCTTTAAGAAATCATCTTTGGCGTAGCAAAATTTTTTCTAAAACTCAGTTCGGATTTTTGAACAATCGGAGTGCAATAACTCACTTACTGGAGAAACAAAGATACATTTTTGAAGAAGTTTACAATAAAAACAATGTTGCCTGTATTTACTTGGATATATCAAAGGCTTTTGACACAGTCAGTCACCGTGAACTTTTAACCGTACTTGAAGCTTACGGATGTAAAGGAAAACTTGGTCACTGGATTAGAGCTTATTTGACTAACAGGACTCAAAAAGTAAAAGTAAATGATAAATTTTCGGGAGATATCGAAGTCATTTCTGAGGTTCCACAGGGAAGCTGTTTAGGTCCTTTAATGTTTCTTGTTTACATTAACGATTTGGATAAAGCACTTAAATATAGTAAACTGTTGATTTACGCGGATGATTGCAAAGTAATGATTAGCAGTTCTGTTCCAGGATATCAAAACAAGCTACAAGAGGGTCTCCATTCTATTGAAAATTTTCTTGCAGATAGACAACTCATACTTTCAGCAAATAAAAGTCTCCATGTTAGTTATGGGAAACGAGTTCGAAGTGTTGCGAGTTACGAGCTTAATGGTACAACAGTGTATAACGAGGATTGTGTGAAAGATCTCGGAGTTATTTTTTTAATCTAACCTCAAAATGCATAATAATATTGAAGTTATCGTCAAAAAAACTATGCGTATTATAATCAACCTATTCCGCTATTTTAGCTTCTCGAAACAAAACTTCTTGACATGCTATAAGGCCAAGGTACTTCCCATTCTAGAGTATGGTTCGGAACTAATGTGTCCATTGACAAAGTCAGATATTGATCGATTAGAATCGGTCCAGAGGCGTTTCACGAAGCGCCTTTTCCCAAGAATGGAATATAATGAACGGTTTAAACTTTTAGGTCTTCAACCTCTTTGGTTTAGGCGTTTAGTTGAAGATCTGGTATTATCACATCAGTTTTTGCATAATAAGTGCTGGTCAGACTCTTCCATCCAGGTACATAACATCTTTGACCATCCCAGTCAGCTCAGAGGAAATGGTTTTAAATTAATAAAAACGAAACCTTCACTGGTTTTCTTCAATTTCTTATCACATCGCATTACTAATGTTTGGAATGACGTTGAACATGAATTACTGGGAGAGGAAGACAAGAAACAATTTAAGGACATGTTTTTAGTGTATGCAGAAATTGTTGGCGTCGAGCATATTCTTTCAAGTGTTCACAGATTTGTGCCATAATCAACTTGGTTTTAAATATCTACTTATTATGGTTCTATGTTTCTTTTCTTACACAAAAAACTTTTTTCTTCAAAGGTGGGGTTAGTTAATCCACCTAGTGGTCTTTTTCCCTCCCTGCAACATCACCATACCATCCCGATGTTGCGAAAAAAAAAACAAATTGAAATGAATTGAAATGAATCAAATTGAACACGGCATGAAATCAATATTCCCTTTATGATGTCAAAAAGACCCTGACTAGGGAACTACTCGGACTCGGGTACGCGTTTCGAGTTGAAACTTTTTTGGCTTATAGACCCTGGTAAGAGTACTTGGAAACAAGAGAGAATATCTGCTGAACCCCATAGGCTTCTGAGAAAAAGCTTTTTGAAAATGAACAGTTTAGGCTTGAAAATTATCAAATTTTTGCTTTCCTCCTTCTTTTGGCTGAAAAAAACTTTTTTAGAGTTTATCATAACCGGATCATTCAACGCGATTGTATTAAAATATAAAATGAGGTAAAAAAAGCAGTATTTTGAAAAAAATTTCAGACCTAATTTCCACATTTTCTACTATTTTTTTCTCAGTTCTCTATTGGGTGTAGCAGATATTCTCTCTGGTTTTCAAGTACAAACCATTGAAGTTTCAACTCGATCCGCGTACCCGAGTCCGAGTAATTCCCTGGTGAGTGAAAAAAAAACTGGAAATGTTGGAAAGAAACAAACAAGCCAGAAAATTATTTTTTTCAAGACTTAAACGAGAAACTCACCACCATCGTTGTTCAATTATAGATGAAGAAAAGCAGATCCAAAACAGAAACCTGCGAAAAATCTTTTTATTAAATAAACGTTGAAAAAAACAAAAAAATTCTCCTTTCAAGCACAATGGAAAAAGTTTTTAAAAAAATTTGGAAAATAAAATATGATAAATCTTCATTTTTTTTTATTTGAAGGAATATTTACGACAAATCTTTAACGAACCCCTACTGAAAAATTTTGCGCTCGTGAGGCTCAAAATGTTCTCAATATACAAAGCAGCCGAATGCCACTTCATAAACTCGTGATTCTCGAAATAGCGATTTATCAAAAAAATAATATTGAGGTGAAAATTTTGAGTATTTACCAAAAAATAAAATTAATTAGATCTGCCTGAAAAAAAAAGAAAGGAAATTTGGATAATGCCGTGTTCAATTTGATTCCGCGAAATGCAAAATGATCTCTGACTCTCCAAAATTTAGTGATCTTTTCCTTTCTCTAACGGGTATTTTGCATTTCGCGGAATCAAATTGAACACGGCATAAAAATTTTGAAAAAAAAACAAAGGAAAACTTTTGTAAAAACCGAATTGGCAATTCACCAACGAGTTAGATGTGCATGTTTGGTCAATTTCAAATCGAGCGCGCGCGCGCAATCCCTTTCGCAATCCGATGTGTCGCCGTGTCCAGTTGAGCTCTTTTTTTTCCTCTGGACTTGTATCTGTATCACTCTTTTAGTTCTTGTTAAAGCTTCTTGGAAACTGCTTTTACTCTAAAATATTAACGTTAAAAATAAAAGTTTTCAGCATTTTACGATTGAATGCAAAATTAGGATTTTCGTCAAACTTCAAAAGATTTTTACTTTCTTTTACCAAATATCAGCTCAGCATCATAAAATTTACCCTAATACCGTAAAAAATACTTTGGAAAATGAAATGAAAAGATTCAATTCATTTATATCACATAGTTTCGCAGTTTTGACGATTGTGAAGCCTTGCAAAAACGCCTTCCAAAAATTTTTAATCTGAAAAAAATTCAGGTTTTTGGAAAGTTTCGATGAAAATTGCCGTTTAGATAAATAGGTTATGAAAGGAATTTTTAAATTTTTATCATTGCTCCCATTTAGTAGCTCGGTTATTTTTTAATTTATGAACTTTTTAAAGGTAAATTCTGACGTCTTTATCTTAACAGTTTGTATTTGTAACCGATTCTCAGGTCTTTTCAGAAATAAACGATGTCGTTTCAAATTTTCTGACATTTCGCGCTTTTTTCAATAGAGTCGAAGGCCATTCCTCTTGTTCTCTCTCCGACGCTGTCTCTTTTCCCTCTCTTTCAAGTGCATTGTGCATACGCGCTGTGGTCATCTATTTCTGGCGCGCTCTTCCTTCGTACCACTTCAAACCTGCTACCCACTATTGCGTTTCGTTTTTTTCTTCTTTTTGATCGATACTTTTGCAAAGAAAATAAATGTTTTTAGTCTTGCAAAATGCGTGAGGTTATCTCTATCCACGTTGGACAAGCTGGTGTCCAGATCGGAAATGCCTGCTGGGAACTTTATTGCCTGGAGCACGGAATCCAGCCCGATGGAACCATGCCATCGCAGTCGACAAACGAGGGCGAATCTTTCACCACCTTCTTTTCGGACACGGGAAATGGACGATATGTTCCCAGGGCTATCATGGTCGACCTGGAACCCACTGTCATTGGTATGAAGTATTTGACATCAACCAACTAATTTTATTCTTTACAGATGAAATTCGCACCGGTACCTACAAACAACTTTTCCACCCTGAACAGATGATCACGGGCAAGGAAGATGCCGCAAACAATTACGCTCGTGGACACTACACCGTTGGAAAGGAACTCATCGACACCGTTCTCGACAGAATCCGCAGATTAGCTGACAACTGCAGCGGTCTTCAAGGATTCTTCGTATTCCACTCGTTTGGCGGTGGAACAGGATCCGGGTTCACTTCTCTCCTTATGGAGCGATTGTCCGTTGATTACGGCAAAAAGAGCAAGCTCGAGTTCTCAATCTACCCTGCTCCTCAGGTTGTCTTTGTATTACTTTTCAACTTTTCACCTGTATATTTTCAAGGTTTCGACAGCCGTGGTTGAACCGTACAACTCGATCCTCACAACGCACACGACCCTCGAGCACTCCGATTGCGCATTCATGGTCGACAACGAAGCCATCTACGACATTTGCCGGCGAAACCTCGATGTTGAGCGTCCTAGCTACACGAACCTCAACCGTATCATCTCGCAGGTTATTTAGATAGAAATTCTCCTAATATGAGTTTTTTTTTCAGGTAGTTTCGTCTATCACCGCCTCTCTTAGATTTGACGGCGCTCTCAATGTTGATCTCAACGAGTTCCAAACCAACTTGGTCCCATATCCTCGTATTCACTTCCCACTGGCCGCCTACACTCCCCTGATCTCTGCCGAAAAGGCTTACCATGAAGCGTTGTCGGTCAACGACATCACAAACAGCTGCTTCGAGCCTGCCAACCAAATGGTCAAGTGTGACCCACGACATGGAAAGTACATGGCCGTATGCCTGCTCTACCGCGGAGACGTCGTTCCAAAAGACGTTAACACGGCGATCGCCGCCATTAAGACTAAGAGATCAATCCAGTTCGTCGACTGGTGCCCCACAGGCTTCAAGGTCGGTATCAACTACCAGCCTCCGACTGTTGTTCCCGGCGGAGATCTCGCCAAGGTTCCCCGTGCTGTTTGCATGCTGTCAAACACCACCGCTATCGCCGAGGCATGGTCACGCTTGGACTACAAGTTTGACTTGATGTACGCCAAGCGCGCCTTCGTTCACTGGTAAGCTTGGATTATAGTCTCTTTTTTTTTGTTTAAAAAAATTGTTTCCAGGTACGTCGGCGAGGGTATGGAAGAAGGTGAATTCACGGAAGCCCGTGAAGATCTCGCAGCACTTGAAAAGGACTACGAGGAAGTGGGAGCCGATTCTAACGAGGCTGCTGATGACGGAGAGGAATACTAATCTAAAGTGGTTTTCCAGCAATCTGTTTTCTTTTTAACTTATTGTTTGAATCCACATCAATAAATTCTTGTGTAATTTTTCCTATTGAAATTTATTTCATTTTTATTATATGATCAAGGGTTGTGGCCATCAATTTCCGCTGTGTTTTAATCGATGAAGTGGGAAAAGTTCTTTTTCAGTCATTTGAGCAACACGAATTTGTAAATTGAAGCGTGGTTTCGAGAAGTAAACGTGTACATTAGAGTTCTCAAAACCAAACGTTTGAAAACATGAAAAAGTTTGTTTTCAACATTTCGAACAAATTTCATTTTCAAACATTGATCGAAAACGGCCACAATCAAATCGTTCAAATTATGGTCAAACGTTTTCTGGCCGAAAAACAAACGTTTGTTATTTTGACCAAACTTTTTTCAAACGAAAACGAACGTTTGGTTTTTCAACCAAACTTTTTTCAAACGAAATCAAACGTTTGGTTTTTCGACCAAACTTTTTTCAAACGAAATCAAACGTTTGGTTTTTCGACCAAACTTTTTTCAACCGATAAACGAACGTTTGTTTTTTTGATCAAACTTTTTTCGACCAATAAACGAACGTTTGGTTTTTCGATCAAACTTTTTTCAAACGAAAACGAACGTTTGTTTTTTTGATCAAACTTTTTCCGACCGAAAAACGAACGTTTGGTTTTTTGATCAAGCTTTTTTCAAACATTGAATGAGTGTTCGTTCCGATCAAACGTTCGATTTCGAAATTTCAATCTAAGGTCGGTTTCAATAAAAGTTTGAAAAATGTTTGGTTGAACGTTCGTTCAAACGTTTGGTTTTGAGAACTCTAGTGTACATCGTAGATTATATATATATATATATTATCGACTTTATAACAGAGGCACGCCTGTTAACCACTGAAAGTGAAACACGAGGCTACTGTCCGATTCACTTAAACTAAGCCGTATTTTCTGGAGGTGAACACTTTTCTTTTCGCCCGACATCTTCGTGATTCTGCGATGGAAATAGTTGGAAATTAAAGATTTTAAATAATCCCTAACTGATACGCAGAATACCGCAGGTCTCTCCAATTTTTCAAGTGTAGTTTGTTTATCATTTTTCCAGTGAGCTTGGCTTACACTTATGTCATGTTCATATTAATTTCCGCGAAAGGAAAAACTATCTCTAACTCACCAAGGATTATGTAGATTAAAATGCGGTTAATTTAAATAGTGAAAACGAAAAAAAAAAACAAATATGAAAATCTAGAACGATAAGTTTCCGTGAAATTTGATAATTTATATTTAGAATTCCGCGGAACTAATTTTATTCTGATAAAAAAACCTAGACTCTGAAAAACTTTGAAGGTGTCGTAAATAAAAACTCGTTGCTGTCGTGAAATTGTATGTTTGATACGTGAAGTCATTGGATTTATATATTTTTTTGAAAAAGTTCGCCCGTTGAATTTGTGAAATACGACCTTAAAAAAATATAAATAAATATTTTTATTATAGATAATTATATATTACGAATAATATAACCGCGGAACACACTATACATAGAATCGTGAGGCACTTTTCTGCAACAAGGTTGTAATCAAAAAATAAAAGATTATAACTTTTTTTGCATTTTACCCTGCAATTAAAATAATATTCGATGAAAGATGTAGAATAAAAATGAAATAATGAAAAAAAAAACTTGGTCGAGCCGTATGTGTAACTGTGTATCTAGTGAAAGTGTGTGGAAATCTTCAAAAAAACTAATTGGACCCGATGATAATTTACGTTTTTCTTCATAATCAGGAATTCAGATCTTTATGAGGGGTATCCAGTCGCTCCGTTCCATGTCGCAAGTTCTTCTCACAAAGTCAAACGCCTCTATCAACTAAATTAACTTTTTCATGACTTCGAACAGGCGAAGTACTTACTCTTTTCGCCACTATTTCTTGGTCACCGCTAAGCTCTTGGATGTCCTCCGTACTCATTTGCAAGACGGCTTGTCCATCAATCTCCTGAATTTTTCATAATGTTGCAATGCCTGGAAAAAAAAAACTCGATAAGCCCGTTATTTCGAACTTTTATTGAGAATAAAGTCTCTCAAAGTCCACGAAATTTTTTGCTTGTTGAAAGATAAACCGTAAAAAATTTCATAAATTTTTTTTCGAAACTCACATTTTTTTTCAAAGTTTTTACTTCTTCAATTGTAAGTTTGCCATTGGAGAACAAAATGGTGATCAACCTTTCAACGCTCATTTTAGAGAACCACATCTCCCCTCAAACCGATAGATAAAGATGGATAATAACTCGAACTTACGCGCTCTGGTTTCGTGCAGTCTCTTCTGAAAAATAAATTTTCAAATTTCGAAAGATGAACTCTTTTTAATATACTTAAAGTTTAATAACCTCTCTTTACCCACGGTGAAGATGACAAATTTTGATGAATACTGATAAGTGTTGTAAAATTTTTTTAATGACATAAAAATGAACGAAGAAGTTTCAAATGTCCAAAATTGATATATTCAAGTTTAAACCTAAAATATAGAGAGAGGTAGTGTGGATATAAAAGACCTTAAAAAAATGTAACTCACATCTGGATCAATAACAGTGAAAAATTGTAGACTTGAAGTTCATCTGAAACAACTTTGCTATTTAAAAGTTGAAAAAATTACCTTCAGGCAAATTTGGTTGAGGGAATCGTGGAGTTGTTGGGCGTTTTTGACAGGCGGCAGATGAACAACACGCGTCTTCCGATTTTTTTCATGATTACTGGAAGTTCATTTGTTTTTTTCTAAAAACATTTTTTTACTTCTTACTAGGGAACTACTCGGACTCGTAATCGCGGATCGAGCTCAAACTTTAGTGGTTTATAGACGTAAGTGAGAATACTTAAAAACAAGTGAGAATATCTGCTAAACCCAATAGAGAACTGAGAAAAAATTAGTAGAAAATGTGAAATTAGGCCTGAAAAATTTTCAGAATACTGCTTTTTACCTTATTTTTATATTTTTAATACAATCGCCTTGAATGATCCGGCTATGATAATCTCTAAAAAACTTTTTTCCAGCCAAAAGAAGGAGGAAAGCAAAAATTTGATAATTTTCAAGCCTAAACTGTTCATTTTCAAAAAGCTTTTTCTCAGAAGCCTATGGGGTTCAGCAGATATTCTCTCTTGTTTCCAAGTACTCTTACCAGGGTCTATAAGCCACCAAAGTTTCAACTCGAAACGCGTACCCGAGTCCGAGTAATTCCCTAGTTAGTGTTTCCTGAAGCAATAAAAATGTATGAATCCATCCGATTCTATAAATAAAAAAATTTAGAATCCGTACAAATAGAGATCAATAATTTCAAAGAACTTCTGAAAAGCGAATAGTATAACCAAACCACAAATTGAAACAAGTCTGGATTGAGTCGGTGGAATGACCTCGACGAATAGCTCAGGATCCAAGGTGGACCTGGCCAGGCCCATCATCAGTTCATGGTATACCGTCGTCAACGGATAAGACACATATTCGTCTTTAAAGTTCCGACAAACCTCAATAATGGATTGAATTTATCAGAGAAACATTTTTTTTCTTAAAAACCTCTTCAAAAGAAAAATTGCACGGTATGATGTTACGCGTTTTGTTTACAATTACATTGACAGCTGTAAATGGAGGGATATAAAAAAAACCCCAAAGAAAATATATACTCACTTGACTCTTCGAAACTCTCTGTCAGCTCCATGCTTGATGACGGGCACTGCTGATAATAAAATGATATAAAAAGATAACTGAGGATATTTTTTACCCAATCGAAGCCAGTTAATTGCTCAACGACTTCAGAAACGGCATTGAGATTATTCGACACCTCCAAAATTATTCAATGAGAAAGCAAAAAAAATAATTCCGCTATCAGTGATACAAGCTACTTAGTTCAATTACCCTCTGAACTTTAGAACGAAATTCATCAGCGATATATATCTGGACTTGAGATTTTTCACAAAAGTAATTTTTCTTTCTTTCTGACGCTCAAGCTTTTGATATGAGGTCTAGTTATAATATAGTCTGTTCAGATTTTGAATGTCAAGCAGACTTCTCTTCATTTTTTTATCTTTTAGGACAAAAAAGAACAAAATCGTCTCGCGCGGTAAAAAATCGACGCGAAAAGGTACCGTCTCAGTAGGGGCGGAGTTAGCTGGTTGACATTCAAAACTTGAACAAACTATAAGATGATCATTCTGATCACCGTTAAACAAGAAAAAAAAATCCAAAAAGCATGAAACTCAATCTTCCTTGTTTAAGTCGGAAATTGAGCTATATTCTGCAAAGATAGAAATGTATGGAAAAAAAAAACTTACGTCAGAAATCTCCACGTGCGCGCCACAAGACACAATCGAAGAGTCATCAGAGTCTATGAATTTGAAAATATTTCACGCTTGAAAAAATTTTTTCTGTATTTCAATAACCCTGAGTTTTATTATGAAACAGGAAGCTTTATTGTATAAATGAAGGTCTTTTCAAGTTTGAAGTATTCACCTCTGGACCGCGGCCTCTTGCGTGATCTGCTCATTTCTTGCTCCGTCGGTTTTCCAAGTACCTCCTCCAGGGGCATAGACTCAACGCTGTCTGTCGAATCGTTCGATGAGATGCTTCCACGTCTTCTTTCTTCTTTTTGGGCCACATCGACGTCATATTGTTCATCGTCCTCAACCCATAAAAACTCCACGTAAAAATATCATTGAAAAAGGTGATCAAAATTAAAGATACATCAAAAAGAAACGATCCGAAATCTTCACAAAAAAGTGCGATTTTTCAGACTTAAGAAAAAATTTCAGTTTTCCAATCAAAAAAACTAACATCAGAAATTTGCCGTGATACTTCTTCCGGGATATTTTCTTCGCTATCCTGAAAATTCGTTATTAAAAGACGTTTGAAATGCGAAAAAAAGTCATAATTTTGTTATCACTCACGCTTTCCGAGACAAATCCTCGAAGAACTCGAAAATCACGAGCCAGAGGAATGGCACGTTTTGTTAGTGACAAATCTCAAAGTAAATTCAATCAATTAAAAGAAAATCTAAAAAAAGTGAGGCAGAAAAAAAAACGAACGGTTTTGTGCGACCGATTGAATAAAAATCCCTGCCTTACTGGAATAGCCAGCTGGGAAAATGTCTTTCGAATAGTAAGGGACCTAAGATTCGATAGAGAAAAGAGATAAAAAAAAGGCAGAAAAGAAACCTGAAAGTCGTGTTTGGAAGACAAGCCATCAAAATGTATCGTAATATTGTCCTGAAATAACGAAAAATCTTTTTCGTTTTTCCTTACGGGCACAAAGTCTTTGTGTGGCTTTCACAGACAAAGGCGGACAAGACCCATTTTCTTTTTTTCCTTTTGTAAGTACACATCAAATAAACAGGCCATGTAGGAATTCGACTCCTTGAAAACCGAGGCAAGTCTTAAAGGCATAGGAACAGTGAAAAAAATAGGGTTTGAGACAAATTTGCCATTACTCAAAGTTAGAGAGAAAAAAGTTTGAATTCCCGCTAAAAGAGCGTTTTGCAGTAAAGTTGCTCTATGGACAACAAACTTTGCCATTTTTCGAATTTTCGCTTTTTTCTTCGTTTCTTTCAGATTCCAATTTTTCCTGTTCTCACCAAAGTTCTTTTCGTCGTGTAAGCTCTCTATTTATTAAAAAAAACTTGCAAATTTTGATCGCAAAACGCTTTTCTGGGGGAAAAATACGATTTTACACAGTTTTCGATTGGGATAGTGATATTTTGCGTTTCCTTCATCATCGTTGTGTGTTTTTTGTTTGAATAAATGTTTTCTCAGAGAAAAAATCCTTACTTTGAAGCAGATATTCAGTTTTTTCTTACAAAATGCGAGTCTATTGACACGTTCGCAACATGGCGCGCAAGGCTACTGTAAAGTGTTTCCCCCACACCGATCCAAAGCATATTTCGAAATTAAAAGGCGGGAAAATAAAATCCCGTTCTCATATCTGTGCTATTTTGAGTTGACCGTTCGATTCGCAATGAAATACTCTACAGGGAACTGCTTTCACCTCAAACCCCGTTTTTTTTTTCTGCCCCTATGCCTTTAAGAAACTGCTTAAATCTTTCCGAAATTGGTAATATCCCTAATACTGAACACACTTTTTCAATATTTGAAAAGTAAGAAAGTAGAACTATCAACTGTGTCGATCGCACTTTTTAATTTTTTTCAAAGCGACTTTGAAAATGATCGTGAAATGAAACGAAAAGATTTTTTGAATTGTCCTAATTGTAGAAATGTGAACTTTTTGTACTACTATCGATTTTTCGTATTAGACTAAACATGTATGACTTAAAGATAAAACTAACCCCATGAACAGCGACAATAGTTGCCGGGAAAGTCTTAAACTCGGTACGTTTCAGAGAAGCCACTTCCAACTTCTGACCGACTTCGAACAAATTACTTTTTGGCCGGTTCACTACTATCTAAAATCTCCAAGCAATGATAATTATTTCACAAAAAATTTTGAGTTGATTCTAGAGTAAGCGAAAAAAAAGTCAAGTAACCAATTTTTGAACAAAAACAGACCTGATTGAACCAGCTTTTTGGTGCGAAAAACTCGGGTGAAGAGCTTAAAATTCATCAAAAATGAATTGAAAAGAGAAAATGAAAACTTTTCTCTGTGATTCAAATGGCGAGGATTCTTCGGCGATGATTTTGAAACAGGCAGCCTGTAATATTTGTTGGAAAAATATAAAAATGACAAAAAACTCTATGGGCTGCAGCGCTGGATCATCGACCACAAAACGCAGGGATTTTGGTGAGTTTGGGATGAACTGATCGACTTCAACGACGATCCAAACCTGAGGTTGAAAAAAGATCAGACCATTTTTGTTTCAATACTTAATGGTTAATTTTTATAACTGGTTCTTTATATTATGAGATTGATCAGCTATCTGAAAAAAATCCTTTCTTATGAGATTGCTCGAAATTTTTCAAAAAACTCTTCTAGTTTTGAAGATCTCTGAAAGAAGGAGGGGCTTTCGAAATAGCCGCCAACGTTAGAGAAGAATTAACTGTTTCTTCTTGGACAAAAACATTCAGAGCGAAATTTATTCGAGCCGCAAGCTGAAAAAAGACGGAACCTTTTCGACAGAAGAGATAGTGGCCAAGCAATCTCCAACAGCTTCTGAGATACACTGAATTGTTCGCTCAGCAAAAAGAAAACTAACTGTTTGGATGACGACACGAGAGCCTGAAACCGACGCGGAACTGGTTAGTCGGCGGCTCGCGCGACTGATGGAAGGACGATGCGGGCGCCGCGGAGGACGCCGTTTCATTCAGGTAGGCCTCCCAGCCACAAAACTCTCCGCACTCCTCCAACACAGTGACTCTCATATTGGAAGCAAAAAATCTCTTTTCCGATATTCAACTGATAAAAAGCCATACGTTTTATTCACAGCTGCTTTTTCAAAAAACCCGTTTTTTATTTTACGTTTTATTTTTAATTTGTTTAGAAAACTGATTTCTCAGTTTTCGTTTTACCGCAATTATATCGGAATCTTGAACAGATGAAGGCCAATAATTAATCATGTTGGATGCAGCTACTTCGTAGAGCCCAAACAGCTGCTATGGACGTAGCGAAACAATTCAAGAATGTCAATAAGAATAGAAATCGCAAGAAGAAACGTTTATACTTGGATATTATTCACAAACTTCTGAATAAAAGCACAAAATACGCCTATCCACTCCCCCATATATCCTATGTGTTCTCACAATCAATCCGAAACAAACTTAGGTTTTATCGATTTTCTTTTAATAATCTGTTTAATGAAGTCCCTAAAAATCAAAGAATGAAAGAAAAAAACTCTAAAAAAATTTTTTTCAAATCGAGAAGGTCACTTCTATATGAACTCAAAACAGAGAAATAATTTCTAATAAGGCAAAATAAAAATAACACCAACCGTGATTTCGAGAGATTGCCCAAAGTAGGAGCTCGGCTTTCGCATTCCTGAAAATTTTCAATGAAATTTTTTTTCAAAAAACAGACAGCAAAAGAGACAGAAAAACTAATAACAAGGACTTGATTTTCTTCAAATGAAACAGAAAAAACGTTAGGAGGGGATTCCTTCTAGCCCCCAGTAAATGTTGTAATAAGCGATGGAGCGCACATTCCTTGTCAGCCTGCTCACTGTGTTTCTCCCTCGTACCTAATTTTTAGCCGAGGTTCAATGAAATAAAAATTTCGTTCACGTTGTTATTCTTCGGTTTCACGATTGGATTGTGACTGATGAATGTGTTTGCGCAGAACGGAACTGTCAGAAAGGGAAGTTGAAGAACACCAAATGCAAACAGTGATGTGGTTAAGATTTAAAAAGTGGGAATACAGAAAAGCTACCGCATTGAAGCTTTCATTGAAAAGCTTGATCCTTTGTGGTCTAAATATCAAAAAATATTCATGAAACTCCAGCAAAAAAAATTAGTATACTATCTTGATTATTGAATTTTTGAGGAATAGTCTAGCGAATGAGGAATAAAAAGCCAATTCCCTCCTTTTTTTTTTCTCTCTCGTCCTCTTTATCTGGCTGATGATTCCTGCTTCATGATTGTGAACTTATCGTAATTATTCTCTTGCAAACTGACTATTTAATTGAGATAGAATCAATTAATAAATGAGATGCGCGATGAAATATAAGTTGTTCACCAGTATTCCATCCGGCAGCTTACTTGTGAAGCTTTCTTAGCCCAAATCAGAAAGTTGAAGTTGGAATACTACCCGAATGTACACAAATAATATGGATATATCAGAAAGTCAAGCTAATTTTGAAGAGATTTCCACGATTATCCAAAGAGATTAAGGAGAACCTGAATGCGAACTAAAAGCCTATAACGTCATCGCTAGCCATTTTTCACGGAAAGCTCAGATTTCTGTTATCAACCTTCGGAAAGCATCTTTTTTTATGATATTTTAAAAAAATAAATACCATGAGTTCTACGGCTCAGATGAAGCTTTTTTTAGATTTCAGATTAATCAGGATACAATTGCACGTGTTATCAACTGCAGGAATTTTAATTGGAGATGCAATAAATGGTTTTTTTTTAAAATATGAAATGAATAAATATGAGAATATCTCTACGAGAAAAAAAAAATATATATATGACTTATATACTTCTATTAGCACATGTTTTATTACCATTTAAAAAAATAAGACAGATTTTAGGAGAAAATCATAGAACATAATGTGATCCCTCGAAGAAAAAAATAGTCAATCGCAACTTCTTTCTCACTGATTCCTTAAAAACGAAACACGCTCGTCTCGTCTTCCTCCCAGCAATTACAAAACAGAGCTCATTTGATTGAAAGGCATTCTCGGAGCCGACTTAACGTTGTCCTTTTATGTCGGAACTCTGGGCAATTACTCGACTTGCCGCAGACAGTATGAGAGTCGAAATGGAATGAAGCCGAAGCGACGTGCACGACGGTCCGCCTTGAGCAAAGTGGGAGGTTTTTCCCTTGGGAAAGGCGGAGTCCTTAACCACCTGATTACCTTCCGAAACGCATCTAGGGTGGGACTACACCGCGCGGCTTCATCGCCGGTAGCCACTTGAAAGGCAATTTCTGGCACGCGTCCGATTGCATCTGCCGTCGCGGCGACGCCCAGCTTCCAACCCTCATTTCCTCACAACTTTGACCGTGTTTCTTGTTAAAGAGTTTGCCGCCGACGTTTCAATTCTCATCGTAACTCATTTTCTGCCCTTCTAGCCGTATCTTATTCGTTTTTTCTAACTCGTACCAGCCTCTGCTTTCTAGCTCAAACTTAACACCTCAAGCTAGGCAAAATACAGTGCGTTTAGACGAAAAATCAGCTTCTCATTGAGCACTTTAACAAGAAGTTTTCATAGTGAATTGGAACTATTTGGAAGTTTAAACAATTCTGGAGTCAGATGATTTGATTTCTAAAATTATTGCGCAGAGTTTTTCTATAAGGGACATTGACTAAATTTGCATTTGAAACACTAAAAAATCCATTAATTAATTGAATATACTTTTGAGCAAAACTATCATACTTGTCAAATGTCAAAACAAAACTATCTTACTTACCAAATGCGAGGGTTCAGTTGGAAAAAAATTAGAAATTTCCGAGCTTCAAAACTATCAAAAAAAATATGTGAACTTTTTCAACTTTTTCAAAACTAATGAAAAAAAGAGAATAAAACAACCTGTTTTTTTCTGTACTGAGTGAGCATACATCACGGGAGCAAAATACAATAAATAATGACTTTTCTTATACCCTGAAAAATAGTACTGGATCAAAAAAAAAACCTCATTGAAGCGGCTCCAAACGTTTTCAACAGAGCTATGCCTTGAGCTGTGGTTGATGGCCGAATCGGCCCAAAATCGTTGCAATCGCGAACTTTTATCTCTCATTTCATAATTCAGATCACATAATGTTTCTAAATAAAATATTTCCGGTCACTCAATTTCCCATTAACACATTCATATATGAAAGTTTCAAGAGAAAAAGGCTCGAAAAGTGGCAAATTTTCGACCGCTTCGCGAACGCGTTACAACACTATGCACAGCTCTGGTTTTCAAGACCTCATGAGGTCAGAGCGCGCCTTGCAAATTTTGAATAGAAAATACATAAAGTGAATATTTTTCGTTTATATTATAGTGTTCATGATTTTTCTGTCGGGAGGCTTCTTACTACTAAATGAGATTCGGTTTCTTGCATATTGCTACCATGTTTTTTTTTTCTTTTAGCCCGCGCATTTTTTAGGAAAGCCCACAAAAAAAAAGAAACACCCCATCCGGAAGGATGTCAAGCTTTTGGCTTATCCCGTGCAAATCCTAGACCGGGACCCACCTGGCTAGGATATCAGCGATATGCTTATATCCGGCGGCGCGGCTCACCCGCGGTCGTCATGCCAACGTCTTTGGAAGGCGGCGATCTATTCCGTTTGATAATTTGTTAAAGCGCCGCGCATCGTTTCCGGCTTCCTGGCCGGATTAGGCAGCGTTTCAATACAATTTTGCCTGCTTCAGGATGGCGGCCGTCGTCCCGACGTCGATGGTTCGTATGGTCGGCATCAAGGTTGGTTAACCATGGTTCAAAAAATAACATAAAATACCTCTGAACTGTGACATGAGCTCGCGAGAATGGTGAGAATGATGAAATACTGTTTCACTCGACATACTCATAGTGATCTTTTTTTCAATGGTGAGGATAGAACAGGGAGAAGAAAGTTTGTAGTATTTGAAGAAATTATCACAAAACAGTAGCCATTGAACTTAGAGCTTACGTATCAAAGATTTTTACGAGCTCTAAAAGGAGTAGTCTGATCGAAAACTAATGCTAGGCGCTAAAAATTCTCCATTTTGCCGGAGCAAAAAATTCATGTCTACTCTGACTTTTGGACTTCACTCAGCCAAAGGTCGAGTGGACTTGAAGCGATAATCTACCGGAGACATTTCTTGCGCTTTTGAATATTACATCAAGAATTTTTGGAACTACAGTATTAGCTTCAAAGAAATCTTTTCTGATATCGCAGATAAAACGAAAAAAGAAATAAGCCATATAAGATCAACTGATTTTTCAAAAGTGACGCTCAAATTTGCATAAGCTCAAAATTTACAAGATCGGCGGTCGTCCTCCGAAAAACAGAGACCAAAAAAGGAACAGCTGCAAGACTTTTTTCCCATTCCCATTCATTTTACGAGCCTTTTTGAATTGCAGAGGGGCGGCAAACGTGTGGTTTCTTTCCTGTGTGCAAAATTATACTCGAAGGTCTTTCTAGGGAAATTTCTCGGCTGATATTATCAGAAACCGTCCAGGAATCCAGTTCCATTAGACTGCCGCCGTCGAGGTCCATTCAATTATGCGCGCCACCTTAACATTCCTTACTTGGACCCGTGAAATACGAGAAGGTTGCGATTTATAGGCTCGCCGAGTACTTTTGGGCGTCTTCGTACTTTCTAATGTTTTTTTTTGACTGTAATCAAACTTGCTGAAAGTTTTCGAAGCGTATTTTAAGCGAATGAGTTTATTCCTCTGAGAGTTTTGGTGAATTCGAAGTTGATTTAACTAGAAAAATAACTTTTTTCTTGGGTTTTCTAGGTTTTTGATCATGCAGGACAGTTTAATCTTGAAAAGTATTCAAAAGATAGCCATTAGTTTTGAAGAATCTCGAGTGTCCCAGATGATCTACGTGGTCAAGTGGCCCTTTGTATTCGGCGTGCTTCTCTTCTTTTTCCATTCTTTACGTTTTGCGATTCGAAAAATCGTACAATATTTTCCTGTAATGCAGGGCGTCGTGTTATCTTCATAACAAATCTCGCTGCAAAAGTTTAAAATTTCTGTTCGAAAAGTCGCGGATGTTTACATTCGACGCCTCCTCATCAGACCGTCATTTTCTTGAGAGCGCTCTTCTCGCCATTTTCTTTGCAAAGTTCAACGGCACCTTCTTTCTCTTTTCTCCACCATCATCAAAACCTTTTTCTATTTATTTGAAATATTCAAAAGCTACTACTTTTAAAATTCTCCGCTTTGCGAATTGTAGAAACGGTTCAAGAGGAAAAAGAATTGTGGTCTGAATCAGCCCGCCTCTGAATCACGTCCGCATTTTGGCTCAAGTAGAAGACGTGTACAACCTTTCAGCTCCCTAAAACTTCACATCCTACGATTTCCTCCTGATTTCTACCGTAATCCGTTGGGATTAGAGCAGCTGTGGAGATAGAAGCCTTGTATTCGTGCTGGGGATTCAGGATTTGTAGATTTGCGCGTTTGTATCCTCTCTTCCTTCATCCCTTCGTTAGTTGTTATGCACGCAAAGTGGTGATATTTTGTCTGCTACACCCGGATCTAACTCGGCATTGATTTCCATCTTTTTGTTTCTTTTTCGAATTCACTTCATTGTGCAAGCGGGCAGCTGTGAGATCCTTCGATATACCCCATTCCGGACCAGATTGTATTTAATAATGACCGTAAACCAAACCGGACCATCCAAAATTGGCTTCCAGACCGTTTTTTTTACAGTTTTTAGAGCAAAATATACGGTAGATTTGTTTCTGGTGTTCTTTTGAAACGTGACCGTATCGCACGGAAAACTTTGCTTTTCTGGCTCAAAGAAGCTTGAAGTTTGCTTGATGAAATAATGTTTTGAAGTTCTTCAATTTTCTTACCTAAATGCTTTTTTCTGTAAAAGTTTTCTCGAAATTAATCATAGTTAGTTCATAGACTATTGAACTTTTTACCATTAACTGATGAACGGCTGAATTAAAATAAATTGAGCATTTAATTATTTCTCTTGCCCACTATTTCCTAATTGAATTCATAGCTCAGAGAAAATACATTCGACAAAAAAAAAGAATCAAACTCCGCCCGAAGGGTTTTTTTTAAGTTCCATTTTTTACGTCTACTTTTTCAAAATGTCGCAAAACATCAAAAGTCTCATTTGCCGGCAATTCCCGAGAACCGATTTTCAAAAATTCTGACGATCAAATGCCGCCGACCCAAGGAGACCGCGAAACGCCGCCTCATCTTACGACGCAAAAAATGGCCTTTTTTGTTTCGGTTTTTGTCGTTCTAAAAGACGCGACATCAAAGTTTTTGAAAGTTTTGCATTTCTCGCTCAATTTTTTCGATTCTCTTGAACAAACAGACATAACTTAATTTAAAAAAGTGGTACGAAAGCCCAGACGGTGACTCACGCAATGTTTGGTGTCTGTGACGGTATTCTTGTTGTCTTATTATGAAAGAACAGAATGTCCTGTGAGTCCGTCCGCCTGGGCTTCCACATGTGGCTTCTGGCCGCTTTTTTGTCCCTCAAATGTTCGTCGGCGCGGCCTCCAGGCTAGCTAACGTGTGCGTGTCCGTGTCGGTGTTCAGGACCCTCTCACTCACTGTTTTTTTTTGTTTTCGGCACCGGCTTCCCTTTTGTTGACGCATTCATAGAAGAAGCTTGAAGTTTCTAACTCTATTGATTATTCTATAGATTATTAAAATATCCATAACCAAGAATATATCATTATTATTTTTTTTCAAAACAAGTTTGATCAGAACTGAAAAGAAATCTTGATTTTTTCAGTCATTACAATCATCAATAGAGTCAAACATCTTGATTTCTTTTCAAAAAGAAAACATGCTATTAGCTCTTTGTAATCGAATGCTATTTCCATTTTTTGAACACCCAATTTTGACCAGATGTTTATTTCCCATCAGAAATCGATTGAAATGTATGATGAATGCTCGCCTCTGTTAAGCTTTTTTGTCCAGATATACATCATAGTTTCAACATGCTTTTTCGATAATTTGTTTTGTTGACTTTTCCAAGTATCAATCTACTGGCAAGGGAGGTGATTCTACTCAGAACTTCAGCTACAAAAAAACATTTCTTTTTAAAACAAAAGATAAAAGAAAATTAGTAGCTTTGAAACGCAAAAAAACTTTAACTTTCAAAAAAAAGAACACTCGGATCCTCAACGGTTCGGTCAACATCAGAGTTCCAAGAAGTTTTCCATGGCGCGGCCCGTTTGTTTCACGGTTTGTTACGTTTCGAATCTGCAGCCGTCGGCTTTTTTCTTCTGGTTTTGTTCTTGCGATATATGTTTCTACAAAAACATTAACATATGATTTGCGCACAACGGAAAAAAAAACTCTGACAATTTGATATTTCGAACACTTTCATTTATGTACTTACTTTTTGTATTGACAGATAGTTTGCGCGGAGTTACCGTCACTCAGCCTTTATTGACACTACCCTTTTTTGCTGCCGTTTCCTTCAGAACTTTTCTGCATTCCAAAATACGAAACATTATCTCCTTGAAGGTAAAAGTTCTCCGTAGAAAAAAAACATAAATGAAACTTAGAGACCCCAAACATCATCATCATCATCATCAATATTTATTGGTTGTTTTAGTCAGATGGAATCGACTAGGCGGTGAAAAAATTGCTCTTTTGAGCGGCACCAACACCGCCTTTGGCGAAAAAGAAGTCAAAACGTGTAGTCGATTGATTTGAAAGCATGGTCTTACGGTCCTTCTCCTCGCTCTTCCACAAGTAGATCCCTCAGTTTCGCGGGTACGGGCACGGCGGAGATGGTGGGGCTCGGGCACGGAAGCCGTGTACACTCTAGGGTAGCCTCGGCCGATTCATGATTGTAAAAAGTTAATTTTGGATGTATGGCTACTTTCTAGTTATCATTCTTTGAGAGGTGTGCTTTCCAAAATATGAAATTTCCGAAAAAAGGAATAAATAGTGAAAATTAATCTATGGCTCCCACATTAACTTCGCCACCACTTTCTCCGTCTGGCTTGTCTGCACTCTCTTTTCCCTCGTCTACTCTCTCGTGTTTACGTCCTATTTTTACTTTGTAAAAGCGGATTATACAAAACCAGGGATAAGTTTTGGTGAGGGCTCTTCCGTTTCAAACAAAAAAAAATTTTCCTTTTCAAAATAGAGCTTCGAACATTTTTCGAAAAAAGGAAGTTTTTCTCGATTTTTAATAAGTAATTCTCACGCCAAGGTTACGGTACAGGTTGTACTATGGGACTGTAAACCTGAAACCAGAAGTGTTGAAGGACTGTTCAATGACTCAGACAGCAAATGTGGAAGTTATGAGATCTGAGCCGCCGGATGCGGCGAGAACGAGCGGCCGATTTGACACCGACTGTTTGCCTGCGGCGGCCGTTGGCGTTCGTCCTGCGGAGGCGCTATTTCGCTCCGCCGCTTCTGTATTGAGGTTCGCAAACATCTTGCGACGGGTCTGCACTTCAGCCTCCGGCCATACTTCACTACTCGGACCGATCTCTGCCTCCGATTGGCTCCGGCTACCGCCGTCTTCCCTCCGACAGTCGCCCTTTGATCCTTGCCGCACTTTTCCATCCTGACCTTTATCCTCTATTTTTGATTCTGAGATGTTCATCAGTCGTTGGTTAAGAAGGCTTTCCCCTAAAAATTTTCTTCATATGGTTCCTTGTCTAGTTTGCCCTGTTTCCAAAGGAGTTTTTAAATCACGAGGGAAATTTCTGCGATTTCGGAAACAAATTTTTTTAAAAGGTTGTATTTTGATGTATACTCTACCGCAAGTTTCAAAATTTAGGAAAAAGCTATGTTTTTAGCGGACTGTTCTGTCGATCGTGCTAGGAACCCCATTGCAACATTTCAAGCCAGGATTCAATTAAAAAAAACGTTGTTTTCTGTTTCGAATCCTTTAACGGAGTTTAAAAGTTTGAGATATCTCAAATCGAAAGTACGTGAGGAAAGTGACATTTCTATTTTCATTGATTCGATTGATTATAAGTTTTTTCTATTTATCCCAATCAATTTCTTTGATTAGTCATGAAGTCCATGATCCATAGACATTCAAAAAATCTCTTTTTTCTGTGTATGAAAATGGAGAACGGTACGGACAGGAAAGCTTTTCCAGCCTTTATCTTGTAGAGAATTTGTTGTTAAAGCCCAAGAAAAATTGGTTTTTAAACGTGGAAGCGTTTAGCAAGTCTTCAACATTAATTCAAAAATATTAAATGTTTTTCATTCCTTTTTTCTGTGGTGTTTGTATATCGGAAAGATTTCAAAAAACCGTTTTCAATCATATTCAAAAACACCTATTAGTCACGAAACTTTGTTTTGGGTTTCGCGAGGCCTGTTAATTTGTTTTTCCCCTGTTTGTGAGTTTTCTCGCGCCTCCTCGAATCCCGTGATGGTTCAGAAGAGCCGAGGAAGTCAGGTAGCTGCCGATTCGAGCCATTTCCTCTCCGATTCATATCGATTAAGTCGGCGCCACAATGTTTCTCACAATTCATATTATTCATCGTCCGTTCCCATCCCTTTTTGTCTAAAATATGCAAGGAACGTTTTTCTTTTCAGAGTGATTTTTCTCTTCTCGTTATACAGTTTCTTTTTCTCATTTTCTTTTTCAATCCTAAAAAAACGGGGTTCTTCTTTCATTCTTTGGAATTTGGTTTTTGGTTTATTTCATCGAGCTTCCGCTGGTATTCAAGCCCCTTGAAATTTTAAATTGGTTTTGAGAGAAGTTCTTCCTTTTTTTCCGCGAATCGACTTGCTATCTGAAAATCGAACTGCGAGAGTTGAGCCTCCACAAAATGACATCTACTTTGCACGAAAAAATTATCTTTCAAATGTGTAAAAAAAGTAGAAAATTCCCATTTTTGAAGTTTTTTTTTGTTGAAAATCAATTATTGATTTAGTGGGCAGCTCGCGTTTGTCTGATACCGAGGCGGCTCAATTTCTAGCATTTTATATCTTCGGATACTCGATTTTTCGAAGTTTCTTCATCTATTTTCAAAGCTGATTTATTTATAGATGCGCTGAGCTTAGCTGCCGGCGGCCCAAGTTGCATTCATGACCAAGGTGAGCGATCAATAGTTCATAAGTTGATAAGTGACAAAAAAACTGGTTACTCTTGGCAAACACTTGAGCCGCACCCCGTGGCTTTCGAAGTACGGTTCTGGGGTTCAGGCCCTCCAGGAGAGCTGATGAGTTTGGAATCAGCAAGTCCGACGACCTTTTCTTAATTCCGAGGGGTTTCCCTAGAGGCTTCCTAATGTTTTCCGGGTTTCCTCGAAACAAAATTGCAAAAAATGAACAAGAAGTTTTACTCAGACTTACAAGTGGGTGCAGTTTTTACTCTGGGAATCTGTAGAGGAAAACAATCCAAATCTCAGCTTAAATATGGTTCGGTGTCTTGATGAATAAAAAAAGTTTCCTTCAATACACTATCAAAATCTGAAATTGAGAAAAAAGATAGATCCGATTTTCCAATATTTGTTTCCCAATAGTAGTACTCTTTTCAGTAAGGTCTCTTCCAAAATCGAAGAAGACGTCAGGCTTGAGAAAATTGCTTGCGGAAGCGTGAGACAAGACGAGAGCAGGAGAAGCTTTGATACTTAATCACACTAATTTTCTCGTGTTTTGTCCATTCAACGCGGCTTCTTCCCGCCTTTTCTGGACATTCTTCTGAGTCCTTTTGTTGTTTCTTTTCTTTTTTCATATCTAATTTTCGAAATTTATAGGCCGAAAGCCTGCTTTATCATTATTCAGCTGCTCAGAGGATACCCAACGAACTGATTGTTAGGAATTCTTTCGAAAATGGCTTTCTGAAGAAAATCAGTCGGAAATTTGAAGAAATTTCTTAATTTATAACCCAAACTCTAGTCCTAAAATAATTGTTCAAAATTAACGTCATTTTAACTTTTTTTGATTTTTTTGAGATTTAAAAATCTTCCGAATATTCTGTTAGTTCGCCACTAAGAGAAATGAGGCGCAGAAACGCCGTTCGTGCTGAAGGAGTGTACAAAACATGTTTTCTTACAATCCTGTATCTTGAGACCGATAAACAAATCAAATCTACAGTTTGCGTTCAAAAAGCCAAGCAAAAACTGATTTATCTACCGTAACCGGTCGAATATACATTCCCATTGGGTTGTTTGCTGAAACAAGGAATCGTACAGCGGATGGAATTGTTTCTGAGAGCAAATCGAATCAAGACTGATGGCCGTATGGGAACAGGCATCAGAACTATCCGGCCGCCATCTTTCCTCCGATCATATAGTTTTCGTTTCGAGAGAAAAGGGGTTGCGTGGAAACTTTTTTGTGCAATTAGCATAGTTTATTCGTGGCCAAGGCCCACACGATTCTCATATTCGCCGCGATTTTTCTCGTCTTTTTCTTGTTTTATGCTTGCCGCGTTCCCGAAAGCGTTCAATAAACCAATTTATATCCAAGAGGTAATTGAGTTCATTGGGCGAACGGAAAGCTTTGGTTTTTGAGTAAGTAGCTTTGAAAATACGAGTTAATTATGCAACAAGGGAGTAGTAGTGGAGAGCTCCAAAAAGGACGTTGATGAGCGAAAAATATTGAAAAGATTGCTGAGGTTTTTTCAGCGTGGACCCGAAGATCTTCAGCTTGCCCTGAACGGCGCCCTCTTTGCCAACGTGATGACAGCCGATTCTGAACCCAAAAAGGTCCACTTTTTTGATAGAGTAACTTAATTAATCTCAAAAATCTTCAGGCAAAACTCGATCCGACGGCTCTGTACTCGCAGTTCTATGCAGCGCAAATGAACGGTTTGGCCAACGCCTCGACGGCTCATTATCTCGCTGGAGCGCCTCTCACCCAGGTCATTCCACTTTTACCGTTTTGAATGAATTTTTTCTCAACCTGAGAAAATGCGTTTCGAAATAAGTACTGTTGGTTGAAAATTATCGGAAGCGTCCGATTCCCTCAATTTCAAACTTGAATTTATTTAGTCATTTTAGCTTATATTTTCAATATTTAAGTTTCCGAAAAGTGAATTTAAGATTTAAAATTTCAAGTTCAAGTTCATCCACCATAAAGGCTTGATTAAAGCAATTTTAAAATACCGCCTCTCATTCCGACATTCAAGTTTTTATTATTCGATATGATGGTAAACTAAGTTTTAGCCTCAAAAATTTTCACGGTTTACTGCTAATTTATTCAGGATCCTTTCAATTAAAAACGAGAATAAAAAAAGAACGAGAATTACAAGACTTTGAAGCAAAAAAAAGCTGTACATTTTGAATCGTCGAGATAAGAAAAAACAACGATTTGTCAATCGCTTTTTGATTATATTAGAAAGAACGAGACTGAAAAAGAAATACTTTTGCTTCGAAACGGTTCGACTTCAGATGCCCGCCCTGGCGTGCAGCGCCTCGTCTTCCACGACTGCGGCGACGTCGGCGACGACGTCCGTCCTTCAGACGCAGCCGCGGTCCAAGGTCGTCCACGTCCGCAACATCCCGCCTGATATGGTCGACGTCGAACTGATCCAGCTCTGCGTGCCGTACGGCCCTATCTCCAACTACATGATGCTCAAAGGCAAAAGCCAGGTTTTCCTTTGCTTTCTTAATTTTACAAGAATTATGGGAGGTTCGTCTCGTCTCAAAAATACGCAAGTGTGAGAAATGGGCCTCTTCGGCCAACGCTTATTCAGCTAGATCCTGACGTCGAACTCTATTGTATTTTTGTTCCTATAGACCTCGGGAAAAGTCATTTCAGTTGAAAATTGAAACACACGTAGATATACGATCAAAACTACAATTAAATCTAGTTTTTGTGAAAAAAAAACAGTTCCGAAATTGTTTGAGCGGTTTTTGAATAATTCGTTCTGCAAAACTAAGACGTTTTTGCAGAATAATACTCTCGAACTTTCACCCAGTTCGTATGAGAGTGTTTTGACCGAGATTTTAAAAAGTTAAGCTCAAAATAATTTATATTATATCGTAATCCTTCGAGCTAACGTATCTCGAAAACCACTCGAATGAGGATATTTTGTTTTGTTTTCAAAAATCCAAAAAACCGTGTTCTACAACAAATATTCTATATAGAGAAAAAGTTACCATACCGCCCATTTTCCAACTCAGCCTGAACCTAAATGGCTGAACAAGTCTGCGCTTAACTAACTTCTTTGATGACTCTATGACTCTATTGAGAAGTCCGGCTCGAATTCGTTTTCCTTGATCGAAAAATGGTCTCAATGATCGATTTCCAGGCTTTCGTCGAGTACGAGGACGAGTCTGGCGCGGTCGGCTTTGTCACATCAATGACTGCCATGCCTATCCAAGTATATCTTCCCATCTTTTGACATCCTACCATTAAGAAGCCTTCAGATCCGAGGAAGAACGATTTTCGCACAGTACAGTACGCACCAGGAGCTCAAGTTGGACAAGAGCAAAAGCCTCGCCGACGCCGATGTCAGTTCATTTTTGTGCTTTTTTCATAATGGGCATCGGTCTGATGGAATTGAAAGAAAGATTCTGTGAGAAGCTGCTGACAGGCCTGCGCTCCGTAGTTGTCAATCACAGAAACCGCAACACGGATGCGAATAATTCACATCTCATGTGCCTCGGTTCATCGGCGGTCGCCGCAGGGGACACATCTGCTTATAATCACGTTAGGCGTGTCGCTCTTCATTGCTCCACACCAGACACCGACGCGTATGGGCGGACGCTGAGCTTCCAAATCTCGTTTCCATTCTCAATTCTCATTTGTTTTCGGTATGATGGCCGTTTGTTGAGCGAAAAAACAAGCTGTATGACTGGCTCAACAGAGCTCGCTACGACTAGACAGATCACTTTGTTGCTGTGACGCTTGCGGTCGCAAAGCGGTTGCAAGTTTTTTTTAATTAGCTGTTCACCTTACGATTGACAGAACCAGCTTTTTCGATTTAATTTGATAGAAACGGCCAAATTAGATGTCGACCAAATGAATGGAGAAGAAGTTAAATTTCCGGCTTCATCATCCAAAATATCAGCTTCGGACTTTAAATACTTTTTAGAGCCTAGAAAAGTGAAGAAAATTTTTGTCGGTATTCAGTTTACATTAAATTCTCTGACTCCGACGTAATGAGAAAATCGGAGACTTATAGCCTTGATCTTTCCTCAAAATAACCACAAAGATTAAGAAATCCATGCAGTTTTGAGTTAGAATCCAGAAAATTTTCAACCTTGTTATCATGGAACCCGCAGTTAAAATTTTTAAAAAAGTGCTACAAAGCTTGGAATCCGTCGAACCACCTGCCGGATTCTCAAACTCTCGTCTTCTGTTTTTCATTATCGCCACGTGCTTGAGTGCACTGAAAATTTTCCGCGATTTTCGGAAAATTTTTTCTTTTGTTTGACATCTCCTTCTGTTGAACATAATCGTGATGATCATCCAACAACTATTCAAGTTTTTGATTTGAATTCAAAGAGCTGTGGAGAGGCTACTTTTGTACAATGACTCCTTTTCATCAAAGGAGGCTCGGAAGTGTGAATTTCCCTGAGAATAGTTTAAAAAACTCCTTGCTGAAATTTTTGAAACCCGCACTTTTGAAAGTTCTTTTTCTGTAAGGAAGTTGGATTACGTTTCTAGGTACTACACAAGAAGATGAAATTTTAAATTATATTTATTGAAAGATCAAAGTTTCTCACAGAAATTAGCTTTCATGTTATCACTGGATATTTTCTAGAATGGAACGAGCTTCTTCAATTTTTGATCATTAGGAAGCGAGAACTGGGCTGTGAGAACTACAAATTGGTGTTTTGATTAGTTTCTGAGAGATTCATCCGTGGAGAAATCCAAAATGTTAGTCTAAAATCGGTGCTCCTCGACGACGACTCATTAATTACGCGGAGGAATCGTCGAAAAAGTTGCGCGGAGCCGCGGCTTCTCATTTTGCAGGCGGAATTAATTTCTCGCGCGTGCTCGCGTGTGTGGACGAAGTGTCGCTACCCTCTCCGCTTCCCTTAATTGGATATATTTATGGCTCCTGCTCGCCTCTCGCCTCAGGGCTCGGCCTCTCGACTCTTTTCATTCCATCAGCCTTTCATATCCCCTAATCCAGATAGCTCCACAGTAAGCCTTCCTGTGCGGATTTGTTCTGCAGCTGGATGGAGTAAACGGATTTCTTCAGTTTTTGTAGAACCTTCCTGGGGCGATCTATTTCTTGGTAGCTTTCTCCACTGACGAATTTCGTTTCAATTTGGAACCACAAACTGTAATGAGAAAGGTTTACGAGCATTCAAATCATCATTTCTCTTATTTTTCAAAAAGTCTTTTTACAGGAAAAATCGGGAATAAAAAAATTTATGACAAAAGGCAGAGTGTCGCCGGCGACGGTTTCCCACATTCAAACGTTCTTTCAGTTTTTTTTAACAAAAAAATTCGAACCTTTCTTATTGTGATAAAGGTAAACATGAGGTTAAAAGAATAACTGTACTCGAAACTGAGCTGAAGTTCGATTTTTCTTCTCAAGGGCTTCTGGCTTCAGACCAGCCACTTTAAAAACAAGCTTCAGAGATGCAGATGATGCACCATGTTCTCCGGAAAGGTTTCTTTAGTTGCACCTGTCGCTTCTTATCAAAACTTGCACGTCAGCCGTTTTTCCGTTTAAAAAGCCAAGAGTTTTGAGCAAAAATGGCCAATAATCTTAATAAGCGTAAGCAGTCTTTCTTTTATTTTGCAACCTGCGAGCTTTGTAGGCTTTTTTGTCGAAATTTGTATAAAATCTGTCAATGAGAAGAAATTAGTAGCAAAAAGAAGAAGAAAAGAGAAGAATACGGGTGGACGTCGGCTCCGAGGCTCGTTTAATTATGCACACCGATCTCACAATCGGCGGCGGAATTCTTCGCGCTCACCTTCTCGCTACAATTTTCTGACGTGTCAAATTGAATTCATCTTTTATGAAGGACAATGTCAAAGAAGAAATCATTCATTATTCGGCTAGTCCTAACACGTTTACATACGACTGAATGAAGTCGTTAGAAAAACACGTCACGCCTTTTTTGCTCACAAGAAGGTCCCAAAAATAAGCCAATATGATAAAGTCGCCATGGTGATTGGACTTTCAGGCAAGCCCTCCCCATCTTTCCGAGGCGACTGTTCTTTTCGGCCTTTTGTTCTCCTCTCGTGCACTTTTCTGCACATGTGCAACGTCTCGCATAAATTTCCGAGGGTAGAAACATTTCCAGATGAGCTTCTGAAAGAGCAAGCTCCATCTTATTTTGAGATTGTAGTTTTCCATGAATGAAAACAATTTCTCTTCATTTCCCATTAGCAGAGAGTTAGATATGAACGTAGAGTACAACATGAATGTTTTTTTAAATTTTCGCTGCATTTATGCAAACTTTTTGGGTCTGAATTTTTTCTCGAAGTTATTGAATGAAATTTTCTGAATCTGCAGAGTTGAGTCCTCCTACAACTTGGAAAACAGGGATTATCCAGTGGAATAAAGCTTCTTACTTAACAGCTTTTAAAAATAAAACGATTATCAAAAACGTTTTTGCGACATACTTTTTCAGAAGCTGGATTTTCGCAAACACAATCACTTCTGAAGTTCCTTTTGCAACAAAAAATTTCCAAAGGGATCCTCCGTTTTTTCCGGCTTTTTCCACCGTTTGCTCCATGTGCTCTTCGGGAACAAACAAATGAGCCCAAAAGCAGCATTAAATTGTAAATGCGGAGGTCCGAATTAAAATGCGAGTCAGATGCGTTCTCATTGGGGCGCGTTTGGACGTCGGAATTAGCCGCAGCAGGATGGCACAAAGAGCAAAAGGAAGGTGTCGTCCGCCCAAAAGCCCATTTTTCAAATCGTCTTCTCGTTTTTTCGGGCCTCTCCTGTTTTTTCGCTGGCAAAATTAAATTCAAGTTGAGTAGTGGACGTGTCAAAAGTCTTCTTTGTTTTCTTGGTTTCACAATAATTCGATTTTTTTTTCGGTTCTGATTCAAAAAAGTGTTTCCGTTTTTCTCTGATTCATTAAAACCATTTAGAAGAACTTATTATTTTATGGAGCTTGTTTTGCCAAATTTACGCTGGCTGTTGTTTTTATTATTGATAACACCGAAGTAAAAATATTTTCAACTCACATCATTTCGCGTAATCACCTTTTTTCTATTGATTTTTTTTGTGATAGCTGCTTGTGAACTATATAAATCTACAAGGTTCGAAAATTTTAGTTCCCTATATTTTTCAAATCGGCAGTTGGTTCTTCAGACTTCCTCCATTTTCATGAACTCAGCGAGAGGAAAACGAGAGAGATTGCGGGCGGTACGAAACTGTGTGAATCTGACCGATTTCCGATTTCACGGCCGATTTGCCGTGTGAAAGCGACAGATGCCTTGGGGCTATACTAAACCTAGAGTTCCTATTATTTCTTTGTACAGCTCGAGCTTTTCGCACCTTCACATCCACAATCGGCCGAGCTTCAAATTTAGAAAGATATTTCCTCTCTCTGGATTTAAGCTCAGTAAGCTGACCATGAAAACCTGTTAGAGGCTAGTTTGTGATGAATCGTCAGAGTTCTTCATGCAAATGAAATTAAGGGCAAATATAGCCTGAATTAAGCTAGTCCGACTCGTGGCGACGTTTTAAACGGACGATTGATTCTAAAATTTCTTTAATTTAGCTCATACGATACCTCTTTTATTTTCATGTGATTTCATACTGATGAGATTGATCTCGATAACGAGGGAGAGTGAACACTGCGAAAAAACTGCCGAATTAATTCATAGAATGATTTTTTCCTGAATTAGCTCAGTCTAACTCGTTGTTGCGAAGCCGTCACCGATCCTAGCATTTTCCGGCTGAAGCCTCATCAAGTACCCTGTGAGCAGCTGAAAAGTGGCAGCAATTTCATTGGCCTGAGGGCGTTTCAGGCCGAGCCCATATTGAGCATTTTCCTCATTAATCGTGCGTGTGTCAACACGGCCACCGGATGAGATAGTTGCTCCGAGCTCCGCCTTTTTCTCCTTCTTGTGCTCACCGAATTCGTGCCGCAATTACTCGATCATCTCAACTCCTTTGTCGTGTCGAGTTTTTTCGTTCCGTTGTTGTTGGAATCCCATTTCGGACTTTTTGCCTCATTTGTTTCTTTATTTTCTGCACTTTTTGACAATTTCCACGCTCGGACTCATATCTTATGAGGTTTCATATCCAGTAAAACGTATTCCCACTTCAAACTTTCCTCTGATATTGGCTGTTCTCTTGTTTCTCTACATACTCCACTTGAACCAATATTTTCATCCCAGTTCTTTTCTTTTTGTTTTCAAGAGAGTGAATGATGGTCTTTTGGGAACTCCCTGTTTCAATGGTTTGAAAAGAATATACAAAAATTTCACGAAAAGTTCGAGGCATGGAGTCAATTTATTTAAGGTCATAAGAGACGTTTGCGCCTTTAAAAACTGTAGTGAAGATTTTTGAACGTTCATTAAATCAATTTCCGTTTTTTTGATTTCATAGAACTTCTTTTATGTGAATATGACAACTCATATTCATAAGAAAAAAGCAAAAATAAGTTTTCAACCTTCCAAAATCCTTTTTCTATTTTCGAAACACAAATGTCTCCCGACGGTCGACTTCGAGGAATGTCTGCTGCCAAAATTAGCGGCTGCAGCGCTTCGAAATCGATTTGATCGGAGGCATCGTGTTAAGATCGTGTTAACGCACTCTCGCGTTTTCGCAAACAAACCCCCGAAAAAACATATTCTTTGTCGTCGTCGCATCGCTGCCGTGATTCTGAATGCACCAACGAGCCTACAGTAAGACGAAGCGCGCCGCGATTGCCGAGTTGAACGGGACGGTGGCGCCGAAGAGAATGGCCGCCCAGGTTTTGCCTGACCCCTACACGCTGCACGACTCGTTTCGCGGTGGCGGCGGAGGAGAACCTCCAACTAGACCGGTAAACACTCGAGTGTCTACTCAGAAAACGTCTATGTTAGAAGAACATCCAATTGAACTTTGTAAACAAAAATTCTGACTCAGATGTAATTAAAAAGTAATTTAAGTGAACAGAAGAGGTCATTGTAATTTTTGATTTTTCTGGAATTCAGCCTACATATTTTTCATGTAAAGGACGAAGCTTCTCAAGGACACAAAAATTAAAATCGGAAAAATGCTGATGAGATAACTTGCTGAGTATGCAGTTCCGAGCTTTTTTTGCTACACGCTAGCGGTGAATGGAGTGTAAGTCAAGCAAGACTCAATTGGCGATTTGTCACAAATATCGAGACATTCAGAGAAGTATCATCTGATTAATAGTGATGAAAAAAGATATTTTCGCTCTTGTTCAAGACGATGCCCATTCCAAAGAAAAATCGGGAAAAGTACCTGAAATGATGATTCAGGCGGTGCAAAATGGGACGTCGCTGTCGTCGTTCGACGTGTCTGGAGGCACTCAGCAACAGCCGAACTCCGTTCTGCGCGTCATCATCGAGAACATGATCTATCCGGTGGCTCTCGACGTCCTCCACGCGGTATTCCTTCTCTTCAATTTCTTCATTTTTCTTGTTTCTTCAGCTGTTCACAAGGTTCGGCAAGGTCCTGCGCATCATCACCTTCAACAAAAACAGTTTTGCGCATTTCATGAATTAAGAAAAAAAAATTGTTTCAGACACTTTCCAAGCACTCGTGCAAATGAGCGAAGCCAACGCCGCGCAGGTGGCCAAACAGAATCTCGAGAATCAGAACGTCTACAATGGGTTTGCTCTTTTTTCAACAATGAACTCTCGAAACTTATTCTTTCAACTGTTTTTTTCCTTTCTTGAGTCATGAAGAAGTTTGTTTTAAAATTTAACTTAACTTAAAAATATCATCTACTATAGCTGATTCACCGCTGGCTTGAGTCATCGAGAAGTGGGTCCTGACACGATAATGCACAAGAGAGTGGCGGGCTCGTGGAGAGCGCAGATTTTTGAATTTTTTTATATGAGACGGCGGTTTGAAATTAACTTAACTTTGAGTTAGGTATGAAATACTGGATGAGGTTATGTCGCATAAATTCAAATAATTTCCTCAAAAAAATACTCATATAAAAGTTTTAAAAAAATCAGAAACAATAAGGATTTTTTTTATTATCTTTCAAGCTGTTAAAAAAAAGCTGCATTTTCAGATGTTGCACATTGCGAATTGACTACAGCAAGTTGAGCACACTGAACGTCAAGTACAACAACGACAAAAGTCGCGACTACACCAATCCGAACCTTCCTTCAGGCGACATGACCCTCGAGCAGCAATTAGCCTTGGGTTCCACATATCCAGCTTTCTTTTACCTGGATGATCTCGTTCAGGAACGATACCTGGTCTGCAGTCACTCATGCCTACGGCGTCGCCTTATAATTTTGCATTCGGCACAAATCCGGCGACCACAGCTTTCATTCAACCACAATTGACCACGACGGGTCAGTCATTGACTTTGACGCACAAATGAAAGAAAATATTGAATTGAATATCAAGAGTGGGCCATTCAGACACATCTGCGCAGTACCTGCCGAGCCTCGGACTGGCGGCAGCGACGGCTGCGGCGGCGGCTGCCTTGTCGCCGGCCATCTCGACTTTGCGATTCCCTGTAGGTCTGCTCTCGAGCACGTCCGTCGTCCTCGTCTCGAACCTCAACGAAAACGTGAGTTCCGTCTTCTTTTTCTACCGGCCACCCCTTCAATCAAAAGTCCCTTGGCTTCGTTTTCTACCTTTTCGTTTAACAATTTCATGATGGCTCGATGCGTGTGGATAGGCTAACATCTTTTTCGAGATTCTTTTCTCCGTTCTTTTTTCCTGATTCTCTACAAGGAATTGTACGCCGAGGCGCGTCAGAAGTTTTCCAAACCATTCTAGTTTCAGCCTAACTTCTATTGGAGAAACTCGTACAAATATTGATTTTAATCACTTTTTTTAGGAGAAGTAGAAAGATAACTTTTCATCTCAATAACCTTCTTGCGATAACTTTTGTTGATAAAATATGCTAGAAATCATTAGAAATTTAGTTTTTGAAGTTCAAAAAAACATGGGTACTTCAATGAAAAGTTTCTGATTCTGTACAATTTTTTAGAAATCTTCGAACAAAAAGACGTCTTTGGCGACTGCCTGAAAAAAAATTTAAAAAACAATTTTATTTCTTTGAATTATGCTACACCGCACTCTTCCCGCTAATTCAGTAAATTTGCATGACTTCAAGACAAAAACTTTAACTTGAGAAACTGCAGAAAAAGTAAATGTAGGTAGTACAAAAGCCCATCTTCACGCATTCGAGGCCAAATCCAATTTTTACTTTTTATTTTCGTTTTCGCTTTTTTTTTTCGCCTTCGATGTACCGAGCATGCACTCTCTAGCTGTGCGTTCGTGGCTTCCTCCTTGACTGAGAAATTAGAAATAAGTGTAGAACGAAAATGAAAAGTGAAGATGAGGGATTCCTTTGTTTGCTGTCGCCTATTTCTTCCTTGATTTCAGAAGGTCACAACTGACGCTCTCTTCACTCTGTTTGGTACGTTTCACGCACGATTCTTCTATTTTTTCCCTTTCCACACCACTTGCCAAACATTTTTTCCACTTTTTCATCTTTTTGGATTGTTGCTATGAGCCTTGACTTGCATAATCAGTTTCGTTTTCTCTCAAAATTGAATTAATAATTACTTTCTGAGGCCCTTAAAAATCGCTCAGATGAAAGTGAAGAAAATCATTAATCAGGCACCTAAAACTAATTATTTTGCATTTGAAACGAGTATTTTTACACATTACTCGCAACTGTGTATTAATTTCTAAATACGGCTTAGAGATGAGATATGGAAGACGGTTTCTAACAAATTGTAAGCAGCGAAATTGATGGCTCAATTCTCGACTCATTTTTGACGCGGCTCTGGTGCGTGAAGTGATGTACGAGTGTGGGCGAAATTTCCTCCTTCCGTTTCGCTTAATTGAGCATTCTCAAACGATACTGCCACCTAACTAAGGACAGCAATTTCATTTCGAAGGCAAATGACACTTTACACTTTTTCGAAATGAGCCAATATACTTAGGGAAGCTTCCTGAAAAACAAACCCAATCAAGAAAAACCGCAGTAAAAACGAAAAAACTCATCTTCAACTGTTCAGTCAAAATCAAACAATATTATTTTTACACATAATGCGAAAAATAGAAAACTCGCTTTCAAGAAGTCATTTTAAACTATTTTCATACAGAAACTTTTTGAAAATCTGTTTAAAATCGCTATAACCATTCTACAATGAAGGAAAAAAGGTCATTTTTGCTGAATACGGTTTCTTTTAATTTTTAAAAACGCACTGATAAGCTTTCAAATGAATAAAATAAATCGAACTCACTAAGTATTCGTGTAATTTGGGGCAACGCTTCCTATAATAATTTCGGGCCGTCAACTCATTGAAATAGGCTTTTCTCCTGGGAAAATGAAGGTGTGAAGTGTGGATGCCAATGGCTGACTTGCACAACTCATCGAAACGTGAGCAGCGTCTTCAGTTCGAATTCTCATCGTTCAGGCGTCTACGGCGACGTCCTGCGCGTGAAGATCCTCTACAACAAGAAGGACAACGCCCTCATCCAGTACTCCGAACCTCAACAAGCTCAGCTCGGTAACTAGCCTTTTTCATTCAGTTACATGAAAAATACGGAGTAGTTCAGAGTAAAATTACCTTCATTTTTTGAAATAAAAAGAAAAAAAAAACATTGTTTTCAGCCTTGCAACACCTAGACAAGGCTCGTTGGCAGGAGCGTGTGATCCGTGTCGCACCATCAAAACACAACAATGTGCAGTTGCCCAAAGAAGGTGGATATTTGGCTCATACCTGAAGCTGTCAAAAACTACACGCCTTTGCTCCTGCCTCACCTGAACTTTTAGGCCAACCAGACGCCGGTCTCACGCGGGACTACTCCCACTCGACTTTGCACCGATTCAAGAAGCCCGGCAGCAAGAACTACATGAACATCTACCCGCCGTGCAGCACTCTGCACCTCTCCAACATTCCGCCCAACGTCACCGAGCAGACGCTCACCGAAGCCTTCGCCGCCGCCGGATACACCGTCAAGGCCTTCAAATTCTTTCCGTTAGTTATACTTCCTCTCAATGCACTGTCCAGGGGGGGCGAAGGATGAGAAAGCTTTCTTTTAATCACAAAAAACTCTTGATGAAAACCTCAAAAAACTTGTTTTCTGATCGTTCCAATAAGGTTCTGATCTTCTACGTTTTAAGAGTCATTGTTCTCTGAAAATTGAAAAAAGATTGCCTATTTTCTTTATATTTTCTAGGATCTCAAGAATTACCTATCGACAGACAAAAATCAGCACATGGAAGACCTTGAAAGGCTTTGAAAAGTCCCCTTTTCGACATACTCAGCCATCAAAAAAGTCTTGTTGCAGGAAAGACCACAAAATGGCTCTCTGCCAACTGGAAGACGTCGAAACGGCGACAGAAGCGCTGATAAGCATGCACAACTACAAGCTGGCTGAAAACGCCCACCTGCGGGTCTCCTTCTCAAAATCGGGAATTTAATTATGTTTTTCATTGCTCTCTAAAGGTTGGCCGGTGAATATAATTTCGTATTTGGAAACCAAAGATTAAGAGTTCATCCCGTCCCTGATTAGCATTATTTTTCTTCTTTTTTCGGTGCATTTTGGTCTAATTTCATTAACCCCCTACTTACATAACTCATCAATTTGTTAGGTTGCGTTTTAGAGTTTTCCATGTCTTTTCGAAGTTTGTTTGAGAGTCGAGATTGTTTCCAAGAATATACATATCTCGTGTGTAGAAAGCTGTTCGTGAGTAACCACACAAGCTTTATTCCGCCTCCATATTGGTTTCTACGCTTTTCTGTATTTTTTACGTTTTTTTTGGATTTATCCTTCTCGTTTTTGTATTAATTAAATTATTTATTGACAGGTAAGATTTAAAAAATACAAAAATAAACTTCTTTAAAGTCTGTGTTTCGTATTACTGTGATGAACGTGAATAAAAAACTTTTAATTTTTAGGCTGAAGGTTGATTTTGAGGCAGTTGGTGCTCATCTCGAAGGAAGCGAACACGGGACTTGATAAAGTCCCAATCAAAATAGCAGCCGGTGAGAGTCCGAGATTTGCCGGGCGCGTTGCGGAACGCGTCGCGTGTGTGCAGAAGCCGTGTGTTCGCCCAAAGGACAGTGTCTCCTGGAAACTTGCCAAGTTTACTTTTTGGATCGGGAGAAAAGAAACCATCATTGAGTCGGATCTTCAACACATTTCTTGGCTGGTAGCAGTAGTCCGTGAATGTTTTCATGGCTCTGAGAATGGATAAAATCAATAAAAAAATTTATTATAAATTAAATAAATTTGGAATAATCAAACCTATAAATTTTTTTGGACTTCTCTGGGATCGCAGTCATAAAACCAACTTCTCATCGCGTTTCCAAACTGTATTTTGACAACGCGACCAGAGTCGTTCGTTCTAAAAAAGAATATCTATGGTCGAAGGTTTGTTGAATTAAGTTGGGTCTTCCGAGGAAACTTACCGTATGACTTTGTGTCGGGCACACATGTCGTAGTCGAATCTGCGAGATTCGGCTCCGATTTCATGGACGTCGTATCCTTCTTCGATAAACTCCATCGAGTAGTGGGTCAGCGTTTCGAAAACTTCTGGCTGTTCCTTCCGAAGCTGCGGATATTCATGATTATTTTCGACAAACAAAATAGCTCGCGAAGGTATTTTTTTTCGGAGTTTCGATCCTCTACAATTTCTTAAGAATTCCAAAAAGTCGGATCACTTTAGGAGTCTCTATAATTCTCAACGAATCAAGGCTCAAAAGTCACATTTTTGAGCTTAATTTCATAAGATGTAAAAAAAAGAATAAGAATGGTAAAGATATGTAAAGAAAAAAACATAGCAAAAGTGATACTTCTCGAATCTTTGCGACATAGTCATAGAAGTCCCTAAAGAAAGCCAATAATACGGATGAGAACCGTAAACTGTTATTTAAAAACAGGAATATTTATTGAAAAAGAAAACAAAACCAGTTCAGCGACGTGAAATCCGTCGACAAAAAGGCTGTTGCCTCCCTCGTCGGCGCTCTGGAGCATGTGAAGCATTTGTAACTGAATAAGAGGATTTTTCCCGATTGTTTCCTGAGTGGATCAACCTCGGGTGGATGAGAAAGTGAGGGGAAATCGGTGTGAAAAGGAAGGCCGCCGTTGGAAGCGTAGGCCATGTTGCTGGCGTCCGCTTTCGTGCTCACTTCAAACACGATCCTCAAAAGGCCGGGTTAGGAATGTTCAGAAAAATTATTCCCAAAATATGCAGTATAGTCCGTTTTTCGCGACTTGAAAGAGCGGGACTTCTCTGCGCCCTCCTTATCTCTCAACGTCTCTCTCATTTTTACGTGCTGTTTATATGTTTCTCTGACCTCGCCGGTGAGGGAAAAGAGAGACGCAGACACGCGAAAACTGTCAAGTCGCGGTGGACGGACTATACTGTTCCTTTTTAATATTGTCTTCTTAAATACGTATTCTAAAACTTTGCTCAGAAAGTAACAATTTCAAGATTTTCTTCATCGAATCCTGGACTAATATCATTCAACTCAAATTGGACCAACTATGAAATAAGTTCACCATATCTGAATAGCCAACAGAGCACATTTAAGAAACTTTCAATTATTATTTTAAGCTTATTTAAAACATCCTGTCCGCACGTGAAATAATTCAAAAGTCGCGATCGCACTGTGGTTCAAACCTGGATTTTTTTTTTCTACTTTCTGATTCTTCCATGCGCCTTTTTACAAAGCAACCGCTTCGCAGCCGCTTTCTAAGCGGACCAAGCTGGAATGTCTTTAAAAAGAATTTAAAATTGCTGAAGATTTTTTTTTCTCTTTCTTCAATACCCGAAATGAGTCTGTCGTATGAGTCCTATGCGTTTTCCGATGTCCTCGACGGCGCCTCTCTTACCGCGCGACGCTCCTTCCAAAACAGCGATGCCGTCGAGGCAGACGGCTTCCAAGAAGTCGTGCAGAGTCTGCAAACTCTTGCTAGACGTCTTCATGAGTACAAGAAAACCTTGCCATCTTGCATCATCTTCTGATGATCGAACCTCTTCAACCTCTTTTCAATCTCATCTTTACCCCATGTCGTTTCTGGAAAGAGATAGACTTGACGGCGTCTGCTTTTCGCCTTTTCACAAGACAAGTTCCGCAGTCGCAGCCATTCCGAGGGATACCTGCAGATTAGGAGTATCTAGATTTACATTGACGTTTTATTTACGGGAAAAATCCTCTATTGCTGAGCAGTCAACCAAAATTAAGACGAAAAACTAATCACACGATCAAATAAGCGCTGAATGTGTGAAAATGATATTTTACTGCTTCAGATGAAGTCATCGAAATGAATTAACTCCGTCGGTCAAGCCTCATTTCGGATACTCTTCCACGTATTCACCTGCTCAAGAGGCCGCTGGCCCACTCAACGAGAACCTCGTCCTTCTCAGCGTCCATCCAAACCTTCTGAGCGGATTGCTCGACGTCGAACTCATTCATCGTGAGATTTCTGAAGGAATTGGACTTCCCGTTCAAACAGTTCACCTCGCCTTCATCGCTGCACTCATCGTGTAAGTCTGTGCGTCCGGCGACGTATCTCGAAGCCAAATCAAGGGAAATTCGCCTCGGCCGCCTTCAAATGAGTGTATGGGGGCCACGGCATTCCATCAAGCGATCGCAGGTCAAACTGTGTGACAGTTCACAAATTTCGGAAATTGGTACCTTCACCAACTGGCACGACTATAAATGAGTATCAGATTTCCTACAGTTCACAGCTGTTGGAAGAAATCGATAACTTGGGGATGACAGAGTGAATTAATCTTTCTTGAAGGCTAAGTTTCATCAAAAGTTTGTCAGGTCAACTTCAATCTCAGCCGCCATCCCAAGGTCGTCAAAAAATAATTGGTTGATCTTCCTGTCGACGATTTTCTCTCATAAGTTCCTTCCAGACTTGATCAACAACTTTTGTACATTTTTTGCATTTTTTCCGCTTATTTATATAAACAATAATGTATCATAACTTAAAAGTGAACGCAGGAGTAGTGCCAATTTTTTTTCTTGAAGTTTGCGGTGAAAATGTTCAAATCTTCGGTTTCAAAGAACATTTTTTGTCTTGCAGATCATCTCTATAGTCTCTCAAGCAAAAATCTGTTTGCACTAAAATAACTTATAGCCGCTACCTCTGCATGAATTTTCTCTGTCGACCGAACGCTAGCATTAAACTCCTATCGGTTTGAACTGTAGACCAGTCATTGATAAGAATGTCCTGCTCAAACGCCCAATTCACAAATGCGGAATAAAAGAGTAAGATGCAAAAGATTATGATAAAGAGGTACTTTGAAGGAAATTACTGATAACTACACTGTTTATAAATGTACATATGAAATCTGATGTGACATTGAGGTCCGCCAATTTCTTCCAAACGTAGGAATGTAACATTTCCCCCGATTTTTAAGTAAGAAATCATTTAAAAGACTCAGTTATAGAAAAACGGCTGAAAAGCACAAACTGAACAAGTGAGAGAAAGAGAAAACTAGTCAAATACACGGCTAAAATGAAAAATCCCTTGAATAGCACTATGAATGAACACCGTCATTTCTGTACATTTCTCGTTATTTATGGCTTTTCTTGTTCTCGAATGAAACAAAATAAACATGTGTTCAAAAAGTCTTAGTGATCTTTCAGAAGCGCTGAGGCTTGGTTAGAAGTTTTTTTTAAGAAACTGCTGTCGTAATTTTCTAAAACTTGAAAATTAGTGGTTGTTGGTGTGAAAGCTCACAGGACATGTGCCTTGGACTTTCGAAAAGTACTAAAGAAGAGTAACTGACCATCGTCCCATTTGACGGTAACGATGCGGTCGGGGCATGGACCAGAGACGCTGGAAAGACGGCTCCCGAGACGAACTGCACTGAAGCCGATCAAATCAGTTGCAGTACTGCCTCGGGTGGTTCAAAATCGAAAAGGAACCGACCTGCGTAAAGCGCGTGAGAGCATGTGTTCAGCGGAGACCCAGGGAGTCGCAAAGGGCGTCGCTGTGCAAATGCCTACCAACTGCGTCCGTCCATATCTACAGCCATCAAACGTGAAAAGGTAGGTCTTTGTATCTCCCGAATACCTATAGTTCTATTCAACCTATATCGTTTTTGTATCGCTTTCGAACTTTGTCTGGACGATCTTTCCGTTCGGGAACCAAAAAGGAAAACTCTATAGAAATTCATCAACCGAAACTTTTCTTTTCCAGCTCAAATCTAGATGTGATAGCTTCCAAACTCTTTTATTTTTTCAAAAGAACTTTTTAACGATATCCCACCAATTCCAATTAGAACATAAACTTATTTTTTGTTGGAAAACTTCTCAAAATAGAAAAATGAAAAGAAAAAAATTAATCTAATGCCTAACGATCGCAAAGCCTCGATCTCTTCTTTTAAAAAAAAAGTAGAGCTTTTGTAAGACTTGTTCTTCGTTGTTTTCACTCAGACACACAACTGTAATGTGAGCGCATAAAGAAGATAATTAGGAAAAATACGGTTAGAACTCTTTCTTTCCCTTTATATGCATTTCCTCGAGACTTTTATCCGCACTTTCTCCATGAAATTTAGACCCAACTTATGAAGTTAATTGAGAGCTTTCATTGTAACGTAAAAGAAAAGAAAATCTGTACTTTTAATAAATTTTCACTTTTTGATTCCTTTGAGTAAAAAACCTCTTTTAACTGTCATTCCAACCATTAACCGCGCCCATATTTAAAAAGATTTCCACTGGATTCACAGAAAAAAGGGATTCTGAGAGCCTCGGGGCAACTGAAAGAAGGCGGCGAGAACCATTTCGGGACGCGCAGATGCGAGGTCCGATATTCAGCCATGTACTCGATCGCATCTCGTTTCAACACTCATTTTTCCTCTTTTTCCTTTTGTCTCTCATTTTTGTTTCTTAATTTCACGGACCCGTGTCACTGGGTTACCATGTAGAAACGCTTCCTCTCCATTTTTGCATGAAACCCTTAGCTACCAAGCTGCTTTTTTTTCCAGTCTCTCTTCTTCAAAAACTTCAATGCCTTGTATTTAGTTTTTTTTTTTTGAACTAACTGATCGAATTTGAATAGATCTAAAGAGCGACAAAGTTCGCAACATAATCGAAATACGTTTGAAAAAGCCCACATAATACCACCACGCGCTGAAATCTCTACTCTTGCTTTTTTCATGAAAATTATCTCGACTATTCTCTTTTACCTATTTAAAATCGTGAATATTTTTAAAAGTTATGAAAACTGACTTTTTTTCGTACTTAGAATAAAAAGAAATATCCTCACTTCTCAAAAATAAATCGATCTGTTACTTCTCACCCGTTCTCTCCGTTCGGTTTTGTGATGCCGCTGCAAAAACGAAACATTTTCCAAATGCTTCAACAACATTTATTTAAACGATCAACGTATATAAAACAAGGAAATTGATCAAAATTTATTTTTACATTAAATGTCTTCATCGAACTTGATTTTCAGAAAATATAAAGCAGTTCTTTGTAAACATCTTTCTAAAACTGTGCATCTTGATTGATTAGTTTTTTTGGAGTTCAAAAATTTTTTTGAAAAAATTAACTTGGTTAAGTTTTTAAATATTGAAAAAAACCAACAAAAATAATCTTATTTAATATTTAATGAGCTCTAAGATTCATTCTTGTTGGTTTGATCAATATTTAAACGTAAAAGTAGGTGATTTTATTTTTTTAGTAGTATTCAATGAAGTGAATTCAGTGAGACCTTCACACTTTAAGCAAAAAAATGAGTTCACTAAGTTTCAAAATGCTGAGAACATATGTTAAAAAAATTATGCTCCAAAAAAAAATAATACGAAAAAGGACCACTTCTCAGTAAACGCGCCCCATGGACTGCTTCGCGTCCGTGATTTTTGATTTCTTTCTTTTTCAACGGTAGGTTGTTGTTTTCAATTCATTTTGTGTTCAAAGCTTTGACTTTAAAGTGAATTCCGCGAAATGCAAAATTATATGTGACTCTCCAAAAGTTTGTTACCTTTTTCGCTCTCTGACTGCTATTTCGAGTTTCGCAGAATCACTTTGAACACGGCATCAACCTCTTGATCTCTTTCTACGAATTTTCTTCTTTCGGTGTGCGAAGGAGTCTTGACTCATCTCTGAGAGCACAGAAAATTGTTTTCGATATGAGACTTAAGCAAAACTCCCTTTCATTCATTTTTTTTAAAGGCATTGTTAGGGCTTTTTTAACAACCTCGGGCCTCGGTAACAAAAACCGGACGCGCCGCGAATTTTCGTGAGAATTTTTGATATCTTCAGCGGCTACAGCTCTCTTAACCACAAAACCTCAGAAAAAAAAGTTGAAAAAAGTCTTTTTTTTTAAACAGAAACGTCCGGTTTACGTTACCGCAGGCTTGTGCGTCAGGCCGGGCTTTAGGCCTACAGTTTAAAAAAAAAAGCCTGCGTGGGCTCGGGCCAGGCCGGGCTTCGAAAGAAATCTCAAATTTCATTTTGAGAAAATTTCACGGAAAAGTTATTTTTACTTGTTTAATCATAGTTTCTAATAACTCTATGAGAAAAAACATAAGCAAAAATACCCCTTTCTCGTAAAAAAAAAAGGGGGGAAAGTTCGACTTAAGGCCCCCCTATGGCTGGGCCGGGCCGGGTTTGAAAAATGGCCGGCCCTCGCACAAGCCTGCGTTACCGAGGTCCGATACTGTCTGTAAATACGATAATCTAAACGGGTCTCAAGCCAGGAAGGTCGAAATATATTGATAATACGCAAATTATAATGGTATTGATTCAATTAATAGCTGTACGATGAATATTCCTGAATCAAACCTGTTCTCTAATAGGTATATTGAAGAATTTATGTTTTATAATCGAAAAAAAAAAATTCAGAAAAAGTATTTGTAAGTTTGTAACGATTTTCCCGATGCTTTTTTATTGCTTTTGCCGTTTGGGAACGTTTTTTCTTTTGATCGTGTCTTTGGCTCGTTCAAAGCGAATTCGCGATTCGCTGCATCTTAGACGTACAAGTTTTATTCAATTTAGTTTTTCGAAGCCAGTAACTATTATTAAGTACTACTAGGCTAGTGATGTACTCGCGTGGCGAAGATTCAAACGCGCCATTATATTAGGATGACTACTCCTAATTTTCTGCTCATGCATTTCAGGGTTCACATGTGAATTACTTTGAAAAAATGGTGTTGTCGATTAATTTATAGCAGAATATAACGTGCTTCGTTTCTCATTTGCTCATCTATATACTTTGTTTACATTGAGAGGTCACTATTCATAAACATCCCGGTGCACGTTCCTTCCTAAAAAAAAAACGTTGTGCAAGTTAGGAGTGAAGCCGGGAAGCATTCCTGGCAGCTTTTCAGTTTCCTGCCATCCAGCGATAGTTCAGCTTTTGCAAATCATTGCTGCAAAGTACGACTGTGTTTTTTTTTCCGTTTTCATGCATCGAATGTGTGTGCGAGACGGTCTTCCCAGAAATGTGTTTTCCCACCTGTTAATTTTATCTCTTTTCTCTATTGTGGAACTTTTCCTCCAATGTGCAAGCAATTTACAAATTAAATAGCCTACTCTCATTTAAAATTACTTCCTCTTTAGTAAGTTCTTGATTTTATTCCACGATCTCCTATAGGAAAATGTTTATTTATTTGAACTAGTGAGATTCATTTTCATAATCATTTCACTAGTATACCGAGTTTTTTTTAACTAGGAGATGTCAAAACTAATGAACGTTTTATTTTTTCAATCACGATATGAACTTAAAAATTCGAAACAAAAAAAAATGACGTGTGATGCCATTTTTTGGGGGCGCATGCTTGAACACAGCTTAAAATATGCAGCTTAATTTTGAGCTTGGGTGAGGTTTAACCAGCTAAACTTGAACTTTTTTTTTCAAAAGTGAGCGAATTTTGTAGACTGAAAGTTTTAAATGGGAGTAAAAACAGAAAAATTTAGTTTTAGAAACTCATTCATGCCATCGCATTTAGCTGCGTGCAGTTTCATGCACGAGACTTCGAAATCAGTGAGTGAATAGATCTTGAAAGTTATTAGATATAAGTTACAGTCTCACTTATTTTGGTTTGAGAATTTACTCCAGCAAAGGTGTTAATCGGATCATGTCTGTTAGAGAAGAAGGGCATCGAAATAGCGACCAGAGTCCTGCGAGTCTAGGAGATCCGATGAAAGTCCATTTGTTCAGCTGCAGTGCACCGCGCACTTCTGGAATTGTGCAGAATGGAGCGGACGCCGTAGTTTGCCCTGATTTCTCTAATTATCTGCGTTTAATCGTATTGTATCGCTCGAACTATCGTCAATTTTCCCATCCTTTAATGTTCCATGTTTGTGAGAAACTCTCGCGAAATCAATGGAACCCTTCTTTTTGATATTTTATTGTTGTACGAATTCGCTTGTCGGTTGCAGGGTTTTTGGCTTCGTTCACCCTCGAAATTTGGAAAAAACAAAAGACTCGGAGAGAAAATGGATGAAGAATGGTCCCGAAATGAAGTCATTGATAACGACTGCATCATATCTTCTACGGCAGACCCTGAGGTTTTTTTGCGGGTGTCCTTAACTCGTACCGTTTTTTTCTGCTCAATCTTAAGAAAACCATTGAATTTTATTTATTTATTGTTTTTTTATTTAGGGATTTTTTTCGAAATGATGAAAAAAATGTTATCAGAAAAAGAAAAAAATTCTTCATTTTGTATTTCAATCATAGAGCTGTGACAAAGCTTTTTTTTTTTTGAACTCCGTTCTTCGTTCCAGGGAATGTATTCAAGCAATTTGTTCGAAGACTTGATCGGCATTGTCAAGGTGGAACCGACAGACGACGCTTCAGGTAAAGACTATTTCTTCCAATGTAGTTCTTGCTCTCTGAGAAAAGTGAATGCTGAATGTTTTTATCGTTGTTGCGATCGCAGTTACGCATTTGATGTACATGGGCCGTGGAGCGATAATGAATGAGTATTTATCAGTGTTGATGCGCAAACGACAATGTACTGATAAAGTGTTCTTGGATGCTTCGTTATCCGGCATCGGGAGTGCTCGTTGCGGACAAAACTAGAAAGAGACTGTTTATATCATTCACGAACTTTCCATAACTGAATTACTACTATAACAATCTTATCATCATCATCAATCATCAATATTTGTTGGTGATTTTTGTCAGCTCGAATCGCCTAGGCGGTGAAAAAATTGCTCTTTATTAGTGTTTTTCAAATATTTCAAAATTAGTTTCATTTTATTGTTATAATGAGAATTAATAATAATGCACGAAGTCCTTGTTTTGTTTTTCCGTTAAAAAAAGCTGGATGTGTTGAATTTTTTTAAATGCATGATTGTTTTTTTAAAGCGTTTAAAGGTTATTTCATGATGGAACAGTCGCTATCATTATTGAACACACGTAGTTATTAGAAACCTCAAAGAGATTTAGAAACATTCCAATAATGAATTGGATTGTACCCTTCGAGCCTCGTTTCCAAAACCTTTTCAGAATTTTATATCTTTGATAAAAGCTTTTTTGTTTTCAAAAGGATCTGAGCGTAGGCTTTTCGCGCAACACGTTTCTGCTGTAAAACGTGTAACTTTATTTTTCTCTCTTCATTCTCTGGTTTTTTATTTCCTTCAAGCTGCTGCCGTGTATTAGAATCAGAAAAAGTACTTTTTTCTTGTTTACTGTCGCGAAAAGCCTAGTCTCCAGGATCTACTTATCACCGTGACAAGACTTGAGTCGTAATATCAAGCCGAAAAGGGGCGAACCGCAATTAGAACCGATAAAAAGGCATGCCATTAGCGCTGCCGAAGCGTTCTCTCGAGTTTTCGTCTTTATCGCTCTTGCTCATTTCGTTAACACCTTTTTTTCCTTACTCGTGCACATTCTAACAGTTTTTGCAGCCACACGTAACCGCATGTCTCACAAAATTGATGATGCTTTGTTTTCCCGTCCTTTCCACTGTGGCTTCTCTGTCCAACCTGATTCTACGGCTCCTGGTATTTTCTTTTTCCGACTTCTTGCAGATGAAAAGGGCTTAATAGGTGCATGGAAAAGGCCTGTTGACTTGGTGCATATTGATAAGTAGCGATTAAACGATTAGTGATAGTAATCGTGCGTTCGCCTTGGAAGTCGGAAGCTTATAGTTGTCTTTGCTCTTTTCTGCTAGTTACTTATCTTTGGTTTCTGCACTTCATACGTAATCAGCCTGCAGCACGAAAAAGACTGCCTTCTAATGAACGGTTCCTGATTATCTGAATTGCATGCCGCTTCATTGTGTCCTTGTCTTGCACAACTACTTGTACATGATTCATTCTCGATCTTTAAACTATCAAATTACTCTCAGAATTACAGACTACAACGGCTCCTTGTCAGCCAGTCCGTCTTCGTCCCTTTCTTCGCCGACCGACATGAAGGAAGAGCCGCTCGGGATCGACATCAACTTCTATTCCTCCTTTCCTTCCAATAACTTGAGTCCGGCCAGCTGTTCCAAGTAGATCCTGTCCTCAGTGCTGGATTAGTGATATGTATTCCTTCAGTAGCCCGTTCGGTTTCATGCCAAGTGGAAATGCTCATCGCTACTCACAAGAGCATTCGCCTCTTCCCCCAGTAACGCATTTTTCGCAGGTCCATCCGCAGCCACCAAGTGTAGGATGACCATTTTTAAATGTTTTGTCATTGCCTAAGGATTTCAGGGCGAACGAAGCAGCCTAAGTCAGAATGACCATTCTCAGTACTTTCTTTCTGGGTCCAACTTCCTGCTGAGATCAACGGAATTGTATCCCGATAGTAAGTTTTTTCATATTTTTTTGTGACAAAGCTAGAAAATTTATATTGAGGACAACATAGGCCGAAAAAAATAGAAATTTTTTTTGGTTTTGTCTTCGAAAAACCCATTCGAAAAAGTTTATTAAGCATTTTATCCATTTTTTTGAATTCAGTGTAGGTGCTGAAGCTTTTGCGCACTTCTTTTATTAAGAGAAAATTCTTCTTGAAAAAACTATCAAAGCTATTTTTCCTCGGAATTGGTGGTGTTGAGGCGGCATAGCCGACTGTTCGCCGTCGCCGCCTTCTTCTGACCGCAGCTCGCCGATGGACGGCGGTCTCCACTCGAAGATCCCCAATCTTCTCTACGACGTCGTTCAACAGAGCACGATGAGTGAGTACACAGGTCGGTTTCATTTGTAAACCAAAGAAAAAAGTTGCAACTGGATTCGCCACGTGGCAAGGGTTGCAATACCACTATTTTAATTTTACCAGATTTTTCGTCGAGAGGATTAGCATTTCAAGTTGCAGGCCGAATGATGAACGGACTCGCCGCCGCTCAGCAGCAATTGAAGGTGAGGAGCAAAATGCATGAAATGGCTGTCCAGCAAAGGCTGATCACCGACCAAGTTTGTCGAGAACTTCGCTCGATTTCTGATCTTTCTGTTCAGGACCCGCGCAGCCAAGGCTCAGTACAACTGTCGGCCGAAGAACGGCGGACGCTCATTCAGGTTTTTCTTTTCGTTTGATTTCCGTGGATATCAAGCTCTGCGTTGTAGGAGGGCTATCCAATTCCTACCAGACTTCCTCTCAGCAAAAATGAGGAAGAAGCTTTGAAAATTGTTCGTCGCAAGATCAAGAACAAGGTTTTGAGTTATTACCGTCAATCTCAAGTTGAAGATTTATTTCAGCTTTCTGCTCAAGAATCGCGTCGCAAACGGAAAGAATACATGGACTCGCTGGAACTCCGTGTCCAGGGCTACATCAACGAAAATAATCATCTCAAAAGTTTGTCTGCAAGCTTTGAAAATCTCTAGATTGTTGGAAACCATTCAACTGGAATTTCTTTTTTTTTCTTTCTAAAAATACTATTTTGTTAGGAGTACCACACTGACTACTGCATTGAGTCGGAAACGATTTTTTTTTAGTTATCAAAAGTGAAAGAAGTTGATTCTTTGTTAGTCTTTTGAATGAGGGAAACTTTCAGGTCGCATGAGGCAGCTCGAGCAGACTAACAAACAACTGATGATGAAGCTCCGTGACTACGATGAGCCTCATGAAATCAATCGGCAGCATAATTAGCTTCTTTTTTTATTCTTCCAAAAAATTTTTTGTCCAACCTAATTAACTTTTTTTTTCAAAATTGAGATAGTTTTTCTCGTTTTTGTCTGTGAAATTTTCATATAGGTTTATCAATTTAACCCAAATTTAATCAAAGAATTTCAATGTGGTATACTGCTGTGATCTTCATGTAATATTATTTTAGATTTTGTTTGATAATTAAGAGAATATTAATCTTTTCTTGTTTTTTTTTAGTTCATACCTTTCAAAAGTGTGATATATATACATAGTATATTATTCTCGGTTGCCTTTATTGTGTGTAGATGTAATCTATAATCTTCTTGAGAGCATAATAATGAGTTTTTGTAAAGAGATTTCTATCGATTGTTCCGCTGCGTCGGATATTCCATATTTATTGCCAGAATTTTGTGAAAATGTACACTATTGCGCCCAGTCTCTTTTCGGCTTAAGTTCATTGCAATTTCTTGTTTCAATTTTTTCTTGTTTTTATTTTTCCGCTCTTTTTTGTTTCTCAGAAATATAGCCAAAAGTTTCGGGCCCTGTTTTACCTTCTTATCGTTTGGATGTCTCCTCTTATCAGCCAACGGTAATAAACATTGTGGGACAATTGTGATTTGTCGACTTTTATCATGTAAAACGACACGGCAGCTTCGAGTCAACAACTTTCTTTATGGCCTTTTTTCGAGAAAGACGCGATAGGAAAACTTCTGAGAAACTGAACTATCAATTTGGTTCTATGAGTCTCAGGATAAAAGAAAAGTAGCGAGTCAATCTTTTGGAGACAGAAAAGCTGAAATTATTGAAAGTTTTCCGAAGCTATTGAAACTTCCACTAAATATTTATATAACCTTCTTACTTTTTCTGTCGCTTTGGACCTACTGGTTCTTTTTGAAGATCTGATATAATCGGTGACATGACACGAGCGCGTTTTCCATTTCCGTGTTTTTCAAGTTGCTTTTCCCCTTTTTAATTCAATTTTTTTCAATGAAATTGAATTTATAGTTGATAAATTTTTCTTTCTGTCGTTTTAATCTATTTCGATGACACTCAAAATCCCAATAGAAAACATGCGTCCGTGTCCTAGCACTTTTCTAATTTTTGACTTTCAAATAACATCGTAACTTGTGCAATATCCTTCTGTTTTTTTTTCATTCCAAACCTGCTGCTGAGTCAGACTTCGTAATTAAAAATGTTTGCCTATATCGAAAGAGATTATCGCGGAGAATGGGATAAAAGTCGGCCAGAACGATTCTGACATTTCCTCATGCGACCCTCTGCCGTTTTTTGTCTCGTCCTCGCATTTTCCATTGTTTTGATTCAAGGTTGGGGTGTTTCGGGAGTAAAAGCTCAGTGGTTTCAATCTTTCGGGTTGCAGCCTTCGAAGAAACGCCGGACCTGCCTTCTGAAGAAGAAGAATTTCCTGCTACCGTAACTCTTATCGAGGAACCTGCTCGTTAGTCAAACTCAATTTTGCAGAAAAAAAACTGAATAAAAATGTTTCAATTTTTCTAGAAGATTTCTCTTTCCTGTCTAAGCCGCCAAAGAAAAATTGAAAAGGACCTTTCTTTATGTCAGAGATTTTGATTTATAAACATGTTGAAAAAGTTTTGTGATGTACAAAAGCTCTAGCTGGAGACTTTGAAAAGAGTAGACGGAGTTCACCGCGATAAAAAGCCGATCGCAGTTTTGTTTTTGGTTAGGAACGACTTCTGGGCCTTCAAAAACTCAGCAAGCCTTTCTGAAAATGGCTCTGATTTTCAGTGAACCTGAACGAAACTTCTCGGAATGCGACCGCCGTAGAAACATCAACTGGAGGTTCGTTTTCCGAGTGAAATTTGGGAATAGTGCAAGAGAAGCCTACGTGTTGAATATTGTAAAGCAGAGATTTGCAGGCGGCTTCATGAACTGGATTCGCAACAAGCTCGGCTGAAAAGAAATGAACTCGAACGAAATAAAATACCGTTCTTGTAATTTTTCATTTAATTGTTTGCGTTGTTTCAATGAAAGGGTCATTCTGCAGTTGAGGTGCCGTCTAAACATGTCTGACTTCCAGTACAATTTCCCCAAGTTGGTGTATCTGAGCCGTGGCGCGCAGCTCATTCTCACATTGATTGAGGTAAATTCGGCTGGTGAAAAAAATAAATAGTTATTCCATTTATTTTTTGACCTCCGTCCAAATGTAGGGTCGCGTTCAAATTCGAAGCTGTCTCAGCAATGTAGTCAATTTTCCTTTGAAAAAAGCGATGGACGCAAGTTTTCTGTGGTGGCTTCGTGCGATCGCGACGCAGCTTCTGGCGGGAAATACGAATTCAAACTTGAGCGAAGAAATCACTAGGGAAACTGCAACTTTCCGTATTTTTTTTCCAACAACTAAAGTTAAAAAAAGAAAATAAAATTACTGAAAGAATATTAGAAAAAGAAAAAAATTTATTTTTTGCCAGAAGCTGCCGGCGATCGCAGCAAGTCCCTCCGGAATAAGTTTCTTAGTCGCTTTGGAGTTGGAAAAAAATTGACTTCATCTCTCGTTTCAGTCATATACTGTGGTTGATGTAGCCCAGATTTTAAAGGGCTGAACCGAAAATGGGCTTTGATTAACTAGTTGTCGGAATGTGTAATCACAAAAGTTAAGGATTTTTCGTCGTGTTTTTCTGTACTACACCTACGTTAAAAAGAATGGATGGTGAAATTTTGCTAAAAGCTGTGAGGGACTCCAGAATTTAGAAGCTCCACAGACAAAAAAAAATAACGTTTAGAAACTAATCAAGAATTCTTACTGAACTTCACTAAAACGAGTTTCAAAACCGTCGTTCAGGCGCTGATTCTGTTCTCAGGAAGTCTTAATCTGTCTTCCATCGCCACTATCCTCTTCCTAGCGGTGCTGATCGTCGATCTTTACATCTTGATAGAAAGAATGTTAGTAAAAAAGCATAGCTTTTTTCAGTTCCTGGTTGATCTTTTATTCGAACTTTGCTGGAAGGTTCTTTAAAATCCCCTAATTCCGAGAAAAAAAAAATCTTGTGAGGGTTCTTGTTTCCGAGTTCTGACGCTATCAAGTTTTCAAAAAACAACTGTTCTAATATCAGAACTTGAAGGAATATGTAAAGTGAGAAACTTTTTCTGGTTCTACCGTAACTTCCAGCCAAGTTCCACTAAAGTTCAAATAGAGGATAAAGAAATTCCCCTGTCGGGTGTTAATTCAAAACTTTTCCTCAGCTCAAACAATACCGACGGCCGTTATGACTTACGGCAGATCAACGTTGTCAACTCAATGGATCTGCGAATACGCTATATCATTGGCAAGCCTAGTTTTCGAGATGCAACTTTAAAGTTTCAGTGGTTTTCTACCCTGTCGTTGCCGCCGTCTTCCTCTACTTCAGCGTCTATAATAGCCGTCTGTTCTCGACGTGCGCCTTTGCCCATTCTTCGGCCGCCGTTTTCCTGCTGCTCGTCGAGTTCTACGAAGTCCTTTATCGTTCTAGAACCTATCACTCGCAATCCATTTGAAATTGATAAATCTTCGATTGGCTTTCGTCTTGTAATCCGATAAATCAATATTAATTCGTCTTTTTTTTTATAAATATCTGAAAGAAATCTCAGCAACCGCTATTGGCCACCTAAAGTGTAATAGGAGAAGTGAAAAGCATTATTTTTTTTTTGCTGATCGTACCAGTCCTTTTGAAGTTAGGAACGCTAAAACAGTAAGCCATTGGAAATAGCTTAATGAGGAACAGAAGGAACTAAATAATAATGCAAAAATGATCGTGGCGTGATTCGAGCTCTCATTTCGCGACATAACTTGCACGCTAGAGATGGACTTTCCTCGCGACTATCCAGAGTTTGCGCGTTTGGTTCGCTTCATCGTCACTGGATGCTCGGCTCTGGAGGTTGGCAAGGCGTGATTTACTTCTGACGGTTTTCTTGAAGATTTTGCTCAGTTTCTCGGGCCTCAACGAAGTCAGCTCACTCCGAAGCATACTCTACATCGTCTTGGCCGCGGCCAGTCTTGCAGTCACCATTCATAATTTGTGAGAACCTGCCGATAACTTTGACTGGAGCTGAAAAGGCCAAACTTACAATTTTTCGAAAAATAAAGCATAGGCAAAGTCGGAAGGACCCTCCGAGGGTCCATAAAGGACCATAGAAATGTTCCTTTTAGGGTGAAGAAGGCTCTCTTTTTGCTGCCTTTTTGCACCATTTTCTCAGCCCTTATGCACCATTTTTGCTGCCTCTCCGTTTCTCCACCATTTCTCGAGCCTTTAAAATCCCAGAAAAATGGAAGGCTCGATAAAGGGAGTCTCTTTGCTGCCTTTCGCTGCCTTTTTGCTGCCTGTCTGCGGCCTTTTTTGAGCCTCTCCCTTTTAGCAGCCATTATACACCATTCCGACTTTGCCCGAGAGTTTTAGGGCTCACAACATCGACGGCATTCACGAATTGAACTCGGTGGTGTCGGACCCGAACAAGGATTTCCGCAAAAGAGCCGCCGCTTGTGAGTTTTTCATTGATATAGCCAGTTTCACTGAGTAATTTCTAAAATAAAAGTTCGCTGAAAAAAATAAATTAGATAATGGAGCAGAAAGCGATAAACTCAAGAATGAAACTGGAAATATTGGTTTGACAGTGGTGTTGGTGCCGCCGTCGACGGCCCTTCTTCTGTTTTTGTTCGTTTCGAACAACGGCTTGTTTTCTTTGACCGCCTTCGTCCATATGGTCGCCGCAGTCGCGCAACTCGGCTACGAGGTCTACTTGGTGAGATTTCCGTGTTCTTCGCTCACTAATTCTTTTTTTGCAGTTCAAAAACAACAACGGCAAGAACAACTTCACGGTTGTAATATTTTTTTTTATTTTGAATTGATTTTAAAGTTTTGCTTTTCTGAGACTTTTCATCTTATATCAGATTCTTCTTTTATACTGGATTATTCAACAAAAAAACTACTGTACCGTAAGAATGGGAAACACCAAAGATGTTAACGACTATGTAGTCTGTTCAGATTCTAAATATCAAATCAGCCTCAAGCTCCGCCCCTGATTCCGGGGTAAACCTATCAGAGATTGGAATGACGTCATTTATGCCGTGTTCAAAGTAATTTCCGCGAAATGCAAAATACCCGTTAGAGAAAGGAAAAAATCACTAAATATTGGAGAGTCAGAGATCATTTTGCATTTCGCGGAAATTACTTTGAACACGGCATTAGCTTGGCATTCAAAAAATCTGAACAGACTGTATCACCTCATATTTTTAATTTCATAATTTTTAACTTGATTCGATCTGATTTTAAATTCAGCCGAAGCAAACGGGACCGGTCTCTAGTCGCGATCCCAACTATGAGGTAACTTCCATTCGATAACAAATACCCAATCCAAAAAACACTTTACAGACACTCGCCCGAGTCAACGACCAAATTTTCCTCAATAAATAAATTAATAAATCCGTCATTTCAATCTTTTTTCGTTTTTTTTTTCCACAGTTGCAGTTACAAATATTGTTTCATGTTTGCTTCAGTTATAAATAGTACAAAATCGCCAAACATTGAAAATTCAGTAGAATGAATTTCAAAGAATTATTTTCAGTGTAATGCGATTACTCTGCGAGGAAGAACCTCAAGTGCGACAGACTTTCAACAATACGTACTATATTTCCAAAAGCCACGACATGCTTGAGCTATGTACTTTTTAGAAACATGGTTCACATATTTTCACACAGAAGTGGAAAACTAGTTTATTCAGGCATTCTGGAATGAACGAGACGATAGAACATCATGAAAATCGATGCAAAACCGGTGTGCGGGCAATAAAAACTCGACTAGATCCAAAAGGACGAAAAAAGAAAGGCGAAAACTGGGCTCAGGCGAGCTCAGGCTTGTAGACGCGGAACAAGTTTGTGAGTTCGTCGACGAGTGCCTCGTGGCGGAAAGAGACGCGGATGTCGGGCACGTTGGTACGGTGGATGTCGTTGCTCAGGACGCCTTCTTCTTTGTAGTTTGGTCCCAGCCAGTGGATTTTCACCTGGAGGTTGAAGCGATGATTTCGTGTCTTTTATGTCGTGTTCAATTTGATTCCGCGAAATGCAAAATGATCTCTGACTCTCCAAAATTTAGTGATCTTATCCTTTCTCTAACGGGTATTTTGCATTTCGCGAAATCAAATTGAACATGGCATTACAGTCTTCTTTTCGTCTCATTTGAACATCTAGTTACTTCTCTAAAATACTTCTCTTAAAGAAAAATAACAGAAAGGCACTAGAAGTTTTTTTTAGGGCTTTTTGTGCTCTCACTACGTTTGGAGCCGAAGTTAAAACTTATAGAAAAAAGTTCAAGAGCCGTAACTATCAGAAAACGGACCTCAAATTACGGAAAAAAGACTTTTCAAAAAACTCCGAATGAAAATTTTTGCGCTATTTTAGAAATACGACGTTTCATAATTATTTTTGTCGTTTCACAAATAAGTTATACAGACCTTGTCCTCGAAACCGCTCTGAATCACGCTGTTTCTCGCCAACTCACACATGTCACAAGAGCTCAATTTCCAAACCTGAAACAATTTGAGAACAAATGAAGAAAAGGGTTTGATAGAGAACCTGGGCGGCGATCGAATACTCCTCCATGAGAGCCTCTTTTGTGTAGTGAAACTGGAGAGGGTCATCTGTGGAGAGAGAGACGTTCAGTCCCTGAAAAAAGCATAATCATGCCGTTTTTGAAAAAAGGCCACCTTCTGGAGATACTCGGGCAACGGATTGCGTTGATAGCTTATGAAAAGAGAATTGTTGGACAGCGGCGACATGGCGATGCCCATTTGAGTCAAGTAGAAAAGGTATTGAAGCACAGGAACCTGCGATTTTCAGGCAAATTTCGACAAACTCATGTTTCCGAAAAAACCTTTCGCAAGAGGATTCCGTGAGCAATGCTCTCACTGGTGAGATAGCCGGCGAGAAGATGGGAGATGTGTCCAGCTTCTCCGCAATGCGGCCGCAGGGAGAACGTATTCATGCCACGGGAAGCACGGAACGCGTTCAGTGCGGTGATGTTGGCGTACATGTAGAAGAGGTAGTAGTTGTACGGCGGATTCTCCAGATCCGTGTATTCTGGCGGAGAAGGCGTTGATCTGTCAAACTGAAAAGAACAAGACAGTGAAACGGTAACATGCTGAGGAACTGACGTGAACGAATTCGTGTTTGCTCTCGTCGTCGACAGAGTCGATGCCCGAGACTTGTTGCAAGAACCTGTACAGCATGGGATGCGACGAAGGATCGTTGGTCACCTTCAAGTTCTCCTTAGAATCATTACAGAAGGTCTTCCTTACCTCGAACAACGGAGTGAAGATGTTGTCCAGGATCTGGTCAAAGTTCTTGACCATGTCCTTCGCCCTGTAGATGTCGCTGAAATCTCGCCTTCCTTATCGGAAACGGTTCTTGGAACATACTAAAGCCTGGGTATTTGGATGAGCCAGCGGACGTTGGGACTCCAGACGTCGTGGGTGATGGCCCACTTGGCGAGCTTGTCCCACTCGTCCTTGCTCCGGCCGTAGATGGAGAGCCGCGGCTCAGCGTGTTGGTACTTGGAGTCTTCGAGGTCCGACAGAACCTCCTTCAGCACCTCGGCAAAGTACTTGCCGCCAACGTAGTTGTCTGTCTTGATGAAGATTTCGCGGAGTGTCGATTCTCCAACCGGATTATACCTGAAACACAAAGAGTGTGGTTGGAATAGCACAAGGTATGAACGAACTTGGTGTTGAACTTGTCGAACCGATGGAAAGTGTTGCGGTCGGCGTGGACGTCGAGCATGTCGACAGACAAGTCGTAGGCGTCGATGCCCATCTTCTTGAACACCTGCATCATCGTAACGGGCTTGCCGTCCTGGAAAATATGATGATCCGTTCAGGGGTGATTGATAAAGAGTTCGTGTTTTCTACTTGGAAAATCATGTGCCATTTCTGATTGAACCCTATTTAGTTATTAAAGTTTGTTAGTAACAAATCTATAAATCCGAAGTGAGAAAAAACCGTCGAAACAACCAAGAAGCAAAAATAAGATGAAGTGGGAATTTACAAACTACGGCTTTCATTCATAAACTTCTTTAGTTAATATATTCAAGCTAAAATAGCCGATATCTGTGCCTTTTCTGACTCTGGGGGCATGGAGATTAACAATATGGGAGAAGCTAACAAGGGCTTTCAGAAATGATCAAAATTTTTTGCTTGAAAAAATCTCTTTCCGTAAATTTTAAAGAAGATAACACTTTTCTCTAAATACTGTCTAATACGGTGTGAAACTTTGTAGGTTGAACTTTTTCTATTCGTTTTTTTTTTATTCAGAGAGGACAGGATTAAATAGCAGACGAGAAAGCAACGAGTTCATGCACTAGCAAGGAGGGCAACAGAGCTAAGCACGCCACCGAAAAAGGGAATATTGAGAAAGTGCCCGCCTCAGGTTCCTCGACGATAGTTTCGTCATTCGGCCTGTTTTCGTCTAAAAGACCCTTCTGCTCCTTCCAGATCTTCGTAATTTCATCAAGCATTTCTTGACGCGGCATCTGCAGCATAAATGTTGCCTCAACCGAACCGAAAAGGGCCAGACCGACTGTTAGGAACATTGGTACCTATTCAACTACCATGCTAACTTGGTTAGGAGACTTAAAACCCCAAGATCCGAAAAGGACACCGAGTCTTTGAAAATTCAGATTAAAGAAACATATTTGAAATTTTAACTCAATAAACGTGGACTGACAGGAAAAAACAAAAAGAAGTCGGTCAAGACGTTTTTTTTTCGTAATTGTCTTTTTCTAGAGTTTTTCGAGAGATCTACTAGTTAATAGAAAGGCAACATTTTCAGAGACTCCAGACACTAAGAGATCGAGAAACCAAAAAGAAACACCTTTTCGAGGACAACGGTGTTTGCCTCGGTCTTGATCTTCTTCTTGATGAAACGGAGAAGGTGCTTCTGATTCATGGACGACGCAGCGTGGATGTGAGTGTCGACCTGAAAATTTATTTTTGAAGATTTGTTTATTTTAAACCACTTCAATAAAAAGAAAGTCTGAAATGTCTAAATTATATGTTGTGATAGTGAAGAAGGCTTTTAACCTTCCGAATGTTGTAAAAATCGCGATGAGAGACGCCTTTCTGCTCGTGGAGCTCTCTCAGCTCATTGAGCAACACATGCAGCTGGAACTTGTTCTGCAAATAGGAGAGACGTCGGTAACAGAACGATTTGCTGAAAAAAGCCCGAACGTTTCCAATGGGAGACGAGAATCTTTACAGAGGTCCGTCGACGATCATCGCTGTGAGCTTCTCCGTGTCGCTGAGGAACTTTTCTCGAGTGATGTACGACTTCCGAAAGCGATCGCAGAGTTCACCTTTGTCGTCGCAAACTTCGATCTGAAAGCGACTTTCTTCTCAATCGAAAGGCCCTTCTCAGAAGTCTGACCACTCCATTCCTCCTGTGCAGCTTGTATTTGACTTCGAACTTCGGAGGATCCTCAAGAAGACCCCAGTGGTCTTTGGGCGGCTCTGGCGGGTTGAACGAAGTGCTTCCCACTGAAGGTAAACAGTGCTCACTAGTAAAAACGCCATTCTGATTCAAGGTGTGAGAAGTTTGCCAGAGTGTGAGGTCTAAGGTCCACGCACATTGTGTTATAATGTCTCATAGAGGGAAGAGAGTCAATCGGTTACGAACTCTACACTGCAGTGATAAGAGACTTCTGGCAACGTTTCGCCGCCTGTGCGTGCTTCTTAGCGGAATCGAAAACCCGTTAGTCTTGTCATGCACCTCGAAGGACAACTTTTTCAATCGGTGAGATTCGTAAGAATTCTTTTTTTTTTTTCTGCGCTAGAAAAATTTTAACACTCTTTGTGCCGAAAAAATTCTCTAAAAAACATGTTCTGAACAATTTGTTCAATGACCGTTAGGAACATAAGTTCGGTGTGTTTGGAAAATTGAGACCATCATTAGAATTAATGCACCGAGCGTTACGAGAGGAAACTGGGAGATTAGCGGAGCCAGCTATTCGTGCTCCAAGTTCAAAGATTATGATTGTCGAGCTCGGTTAGGTTGACACGGCAGTACTAATTTACCAAGAGGCCGTTCCTCATCGACAGTTCGGCGACTCGACCTATCTAAACTGCAGAAAGCCCTATCTGTGACTCCATTAGAAGGAGAATTGTTTTATTTTCCAAAAAATCTTGCCTCTGTGTAATATAAAAGAACAACTGTGCTAGTGCCTCATCCCTTACGAATTTTTTTTTTTGCTGAAGTCAATATATAGGTGTCTAGAATCAAGTCTGCAGGCACAAGAACCTCGAACGTGAAATTTTAACCTTCTCTTCTATCTATGGATCTCTGAAAATGTTTTGATAAAGCTTGAAATGAATAAAAAAGAGATTAGCCTTTTATATCGATCAACAACTTTTCATTGAACAAGCAAGCCATTGGAAAGCATGACTAACACGAAAATTTTGAAAGAAGAAAAATAGGAACCTTGGAGAAAGAGTTTGTTCGGCTGAATTTCTACGTCCGAGATCTAGAATATGCATGAAAGTAGCACAAGAAACTCTGAGGAGATCAAAAGATGAGAGGCTACAAATTCGGATGGATTAAACAAACGTACAAAAGCGCCGCACTGAATACTAGCCCGAATAACGACCAACCGACGTTGATTGGAGTTAAATAAGATTATTTATCATGGTAACGAATGGCTATGAAGGCAAAACGAAAACAACGTACTCGACTCGGTGTTCTTGACGCGGTGACGCGGCAGGTCTTTTGGATACTTTCCAGAGAGGAAATACCGAGTCGTGGCTGGAAACTGGTTTCCGATGCGCTCCATGTACTCGGAGCGCAGATGAAGCGCTTCGATGAGATGTCCAGCGGCGGTTTTGAGATCTTCCAACGGGACCTGAGACTGCTACTTTACTCGTTAGATAAAAATATTTTGGGATAACTCTAGAATTATTCAAACTATCATCGTCTTGTAGATTATACATCTATAGCTGAAGTTATTTTCTTGAACTTTTTTAGCTCGTTCACTCAACACCACAGCTAAGGACTTTGAGAAGATCGCACTCAAGAAATACACCTTTTGTTCAGATCTACTCGTTATTTTTGAACTCTAGAGACAACATCAACGTGCAGAAAAGTGTGCGCGACTTCCAAATGTCAAGTTCCGAAAAAAAGGTTTTTTATGCGCATACCCCACTGAGATCTTCGCCAGTAATGGCCATCCGTTGATAATTAACGTCGATTGCATCCCTAAATTCGGCTCTTTTTTAAGAAAACTTCACCAACAAACCTGAAAGTGTGCATCTCGATCAGCTGTGGGCTCCTGCAACGTTCGTCAATTCCTGAGAGGTCAACTCCCGATTTAACCGAGCCCGGAGACAAGCAACACTCATTCTGCGACTCCAGACGCGCCCTACATTTCTAAGCTAATTAAAAACAATTCGCGATTGGGGTGCACAAAAAAAGACAGACGGTGTTCAGGAGTGGCTATCAACTGCACAACAGCGTTACAAAGTGGATGAAACCCAGAGCATACGCGACCAAAAGAAACAAAATTGAAATTCTTCGGATGTGCCGATGAGAAACTTTTAGTTGGAACCATGAACCGAAATTTTTGCTTCATTTGTTCAAACTTTTTTTCAAATTTTCGATTACCGAGTTTCTTTGAGTTTTGATGCTAGTAAAGCACGATTTTACTAGAGCATGTTTTTTTCCCGAAAAAAAATAATCGTAGAATAATCTTATAGAATAAATGATTAATCTAATGCCGTTTATTAGCGTCAAAAAAATATTAATCTGAAAAAAATTATTTTTTTGAACATTTTTTTGTTTGAATTCTACTCACAATGAATTTTTTTGATCTCATGTGTAGAGAGATTTGAATAAACCAAATGATACTCAAATATGAAAAAAGAACTGATGAATGATCTTGCAGAATGATTTCACTACATTAATCGTGCAAAATTTTTCGATTTCAATACTTACAAACATGACCATCGACGCGAATGTGCGCCCTTTTGCCTGAACTTTTATTTTGGAAATAAATAAAATCATTAAAAAAATCCAAAAGCGCAACGATGAATGAGACTGAAGCAAAAGAGAAATAAAAAATATCGAGAGGGGCCCTTGCAAGAAGAATTTTCTGCAAACCTGTTGGAAATTTCCAAAGTTTTCAGCTTGCGACTTTCATTCACTTCTATAGGCGTCGTCGAAATTTCGAAAGGATTCGCTGTAGAATGGTCGGCCGTTCCAATCTTGAAAAATTTCATTCAGACAGGTTTGATATACATAATTTTGCGATACTAAATTGTATCATTAAGAGCAATTTGAAACAAAAACTTAGAATATGGCATTACCTGTTGGAAAAATAAATTTCAACCAGTTTTTTTAAAATAACTATATGGTAAAAAAATTACTGATAAAAAAACTAACTGCATAATTCGGTTTGAACGGCCCCGTGTCAAACACTTCACTATCCACAGCTTCTGAAAAGATCGTATAACTTTTTTTTCAAAATTAAGTATTTTTGATGCCCCAAAAAGCAACGACTAGAACGACACTGCCTCACCCATCATGGTCGACGGCTGTTGGGCGTTATCTTAAGGTTGTTGAGGGTTAGTTTCAAAATTTGAGCCGAAGAGTTTGGATTGAAAAAAAGGATAGCATTCGTGAAAACATCTATTGCGAGATGATTAGTCGCGGAGGGTGTGTGAAAAAGATGAAAATTAAAAGCCATGCAACGAGAGTCACAAACATCGATGTATTCAGGGAGCGTGAAAAACTTAGTGAAAACATATTTTTCTATTTTTCTATGAAAAATTGTTGAGACCTGTGCTGGGAATGCCACGCGGAGTTCTCAAGCTTTCTTCATCGTCTACTGCAATCTTAACATCTGAAAGAACAAAGGGAAAGATCAGGAAGAGAAAGACGAACAAACTATTGGACTGAATCGACGAAATTATTTTTTCTTTCGAAGGTTTCGCCTCAGGAATAGCAGCTTTTTTTCTTCTTATCACTAAGAAAAAAATAAAATTTCATTTGCTTAAAATTAAGATCAAAGTTTATCAATAAAAATGAAACAAAGCACAGATATATTTTTCTATTTACAGATAACAAGAATCTTTGAAAGAGTTTATTACTAATTCTAGGGAGCAAATTTCAATTACTTTAAAGATGTGTTTTAAAAAAGAAAATCATAGCAAAAAGAAAATGTTTCTGTTGTTGTTTTATTTTTCGTAACTTCAGTTCATTGCAAATATTAACTTAAAAATGCATTCAAGAACGAAAATAGGAAAAGTTAGTGTTCTTCCTTTGAAAAATGTGCCTTTTTTCCAGATTTAATCGAAAAAAACGTTTCAAACTAGAACCTCAATCTATTCAAGCGGTTGTCGTACTCCGGCGGATCCGAATTTGGTGGAGGTGACGGCCGACGGCTCTTTTTCCGAGGCGGACTCGGCGAAACGGCCGTTTTCGAAGACTGCAGAGAGTTGAGGCTGTTGGTCGAAGTCTGCGAAAAATATTCCGTTCGTCGGCCCTTCACCGAGGCCTACCGCAGACTTGGCCTCTATCTTCGACGGCTTTTTTCTCTTTGCTCGACGTCAAACTTTCCTTCGACTCCTTCATTTTCTGGCCACTCAAAGGAGTTGAAGGCTCGGGCTCTATAGCCAAAGGCATGTCGTCGAAAAGTTCCACCGAAGGCGTGACTTGGGGAACTGGCGCAAAGGCGCTGGAGACGCCGCACATGGTGTAGGCCGATTCAGAGAGCTCTCGGTTGAGACATCGTTCCTTTAGGGGCGGACTTTTCGTCGAATTCCCATTCTCCTTCTCTTCGCTTTTCGTGGCATTCGGACTTTTCGAAGAAAATTGCGAAACGTCTTCGTTGCTATTCAGTGACCGTATTTTCTTCATATTCCCAACGCTGCAACTCATTTAGGCTTTGACCCATGCAGTAAAAAAAAGCTAGGCGTGGCTAATACGTCACACGTATTAATTATGTTTTTATACTTTTTTTTTCTACGTTTATCTGTCATGCCGTCTCTGCTTCTGAAGGACTTTTTCTTAATTGATACGCACATATAGCGTTTTTTGCGTAATTTTTTTTGTCAATCATTTGATTCATTGAAAACTTTTCAAAGAATAACGACGGAAAATATATGAAAAATTTTCTGCGAGTCTTGCTCTTTTAATATTTTTCATAGTTGCTAAATTTTCGCCGAGTATGAATAATAAAAGAGGTCAAAAAAAGTTAATGGGCCTCCGATCAACAAAACAAAGACACAAACCATCAACGAAAAAAAGAACACACGGAAGGTTAATCTTCAACCCGAAAAATACACATGCGCAAGCAAACAAAATGTGCAAACAAGCCGATTGATAACAGATTCGGGGCTTTTCGAGGTAGATTAGAGAAAAAAAAACTTACTCAAACTGTAGTCCGCGACTGAGTCGAGCGGCGATACTGGTGTTTCGTGGTGCTAAAAAGGAATGATATCGACTTTTCAGAGATCTTTAATGATATCTATCAGAGAATGGGGAGCTGAACAGAAAAAAATGGTTCTCAAAACATTTGGACTGACCTCAACTAATGACTCGGCACCCTGCTCCTCGCTATCCGGTGGATTATAAAATTTAACTCCGTTTGTCTTCTCTGGCATCTGCAATCTGGAGTTCAGCCACACCGAACAATCGAAACAAAATAAACGAAATCTTACACGCCAGGGTTAACAAAAGTTCAAACAGAAAGCTGTCAGGTGACCTCTGACGAGACCGTCAACAACTCGCCAAAATGATGACTCTAACAAACGTTGCAATCCATTAATCACGTTACAATTACATTTGTACTTTTTCTGATCTATTGTGACATTTCAACAAGAAGGAAACCAAAAATATCGGAATCTTTTTGCAATAACATGAAGTTTCAAATAAAAGCATTTGGAGTTCTTATTTTCCAGTTATTCAATTGAAGGCAACTCTAAACAGTAAAATTATTATTTCTATTAACTGTTTCTAATTATTTCGTATTGGAGACTGGAAAGAAAGTGAGAAAACCATCAAAATCAAATGCGCGGTTTTTCAGGAGTCTGTCAGTAGAAAGATACAGCATCACTGATGATTAAAATGACAGTGAAGATCATGATAAGGTATGAAAAAGGTCTCGAATGTCTGCGTCCATTAAAAACTCATAAAGCGATGCCTTATCGAGCACGCAAACCGCCGCTTTGGAAGATATCAGCGAGGGAGATTCGGCTTGAAGGAAAAAAAAGAGAGTGTGATAACGGATAAGGACGAGCAGTTATCGTTATGGCGACCATCAAGGCCCATTTATTATACGCCTCTGCTGGCGCTAATGAAAAAGTGCCCGACGTCTTCTTTCCAAAGCTTTGAAAGCGGATCTCATTGAATCTATTTTCCGACTTTGTGTTCGTAAAAAAGAAAAAAAAACAAATACTTTCAATAAACCTTGTCAGAGATCTTAACCAATCGCAAACCTACAAGATAAAATATGGAATAGACAAAAATTGTCGAGTTATGGTAAGGGAAAACTCAAAAAAATAAATAAATAAAACTCATTTGCGTGTTGTTTGCGACATTTTCGCTCTGCAGTTCATAAATGTTTTCCCTTAAGGGGTCGCAACGAACAGACCTGAGGCCGTATGCAATAAAGTGGAAAATGCCATTTTTCCGCCATTTTCCTGCAAATAGGAAGAGCCTCATACTCACAATTAGCTCAATAATTTCGACTTTTTCTAATTTAATGAGGTTTATAAGAGCATTAACATACGTAAGAACAATTTTGAAAGAAAAAAAATACTAATTGAAGTCATTTTCGAATTTCAGGAAAACGGCCGAAAATCATTTTCCACTTTATTTCACACGGCCTCTGCTTTCTAAACTGCGGGCTCTCGTTCTACCGAAAGAAAGACATTCGTTCGAATGATAATTTCAAGCTGCAGAGTCTTTGAAAGAATTAAGTTTTTCACTCATTTGACAAAAATCATATAATTTAAGATTGTATTTTATCTGGATATCATTCATCTTTGCAAATTGTAGTTTATTCATTTCTGAAAAATCTAATATGAAAAATATGTTCCCACAAAAAACACAAAACAGAATTTATAACCGCAAAAAAAGGAAAATACAATTTTTGGACTTTCAAAAGAGAGAAAGAGAGACAGATGAAATAAATTTCAGTTAAAATCTAACTTCGACTGTGTTTTCGATCCCAAAATTAATCCGCCAATAGACAAACACGAGGCGTCGTTTTTTTAAGCCGCAAACAAATCAAGTGATGGAAGGGGGGAGCGAGAAAAAGCGAGACTGGAGAGAAATAATATGAAAAAGGAAGTTATAAACGCAAGATTAAGCACTGGCAGGCGCCGCCGCTCTTCATGAACTCGCTCATGTCGATCTCCTTGACTTTCTTGCCGAGTCGCGCCAAGGCTTCGCGAGTCTTTGGTGCGACTCCGATGGGCGAGAGGACGCTGTCGCGGATCGTGATCGCGTTGCAAACGAAAGCCGACGCTTCCTCTTCCGACACGGCGATCGAGTTGGGCAGCCGTCTGAGAATCTACAAACAGAAGATAACTTAGAAAAAACAGTCTGGTTTTTCATTCTGAAAAGTTCAGAGACAAAGTCAGCTGTATCAGTATATCGTGAATTTCATATTAATAGCCTAGAAACGACATAAAATTCATCATCAGAAGTAGGACTTTACTTGGAAAATTTAGGCTTTTGTAAGATTCATAACAACCTGGTCCAAGTGGCATTCAAAAAATGTCCCATACTTCTTGAATTATTTGAATAAATAACTCGATCCTCTAAAAAGTTTTTCAGGTCAATTCTGTCTCTCTAAACTAAGTTTCTCGTTCAAAGTCTTATTCGTACCTCCTGCTGTGTTTTTTCAGAAAATGCCTTGGGGTAATAAAGAGCGGAAGTGGCGTCGACCGGAGCGAAGCAGGTGTCCAAGTGGTAGAAGTTGGGAAGCACCATGTCACACATCACGACATCGAACTTTCCCAAAGCTTTTACCTTTTCATAGACCTTAAAAAAAGGCTGTGAAAAGAAAAGTGAAATATTCCAACTCCTTTGGAGCTTCTCTCGCCATAACCGGCCCACAAGGTGTTGGGATCGGTGAAGACGGCGTCGCCGCCTCCTTCGAAAACGTCTTCTTTCGCTTCGCCGTGCAATTTGAAACCATTAGCTTTGAACCATTTCAAGTAGTGAGGCTCTTCCCCGTTTCTAAAATGATCTGCTGTTTCAAAAAAGCTTTGGATGAGAGCCAAAAAAGTACCGTTCTTTATGTCTGAAGCGCGCCAAATAAACTTTGTCTTCGTAGACGAGTCCGCTGTTGCACACGAAAACCTGGTCTGGCAGACCGGCAGTTTGATCCAAAGTGAGAACCTAACAGTTCTCAAGAGTTGCAAGGAGGATATGTCTCCTAACCTGGACGCCTTCAGCCTCGATGGCCGACTTCAGTTCGTTCCATTGCTTCTGGGCTTTTTGCTTGTCAACGACGCCACCCATCCAAGGATTTATAGCATACTAGAAACATAAAACTTTCTCTAAATAAAATACTATTAGAAGAATCGAAAAAGAATTCAGTTTTCGAATTCCCGAAAGAAACTTGAGGTGTATTTTAAATCATTCTTCAAGTTTTTTTTTGATTAGAAAAAACAGAAAAAAATATTCAGTTTCTGAGGTTCACCTCTTGACTTTACCTTTTTAAAATAATTTTATGGAAAAACGCTGCCAAAAACCCTTTTTTGGGAAACCTCTTGTTGATACCAATATGAAGAAAGATGTTCTTGAGTAAATTAGTGGAACCTTTAGGCCCAAATCCCCAGTCCTGCATCTTTCCTTCACGCAGTGATTCTTGTGAGCAAACTTGAGACAAACCGTGGAAAACCCTTCATTCTCATTGAACTCTCAGAAATATAGGTTTCATCAAGTAAATTCGTATATTTGAGACTGCCAAAATCACTTTTTCAAACCATCTCTAAAATTTTCCTCTACTGACCTCGACGGTGAAGTGCTGCGGCGGGACCATCAGAACTCGCTTGATGAGATGAGCCGCGCATCTGGAAGCCATCTTCGTCCGTTCCACCACGTCTTCCGCACCGAGAAAGCGAAATGAAGAGAGAAACTACCAGCGTGAGACGTCGTACGGTCATAAATCATTTGCGAAACCGCTCAATAAATCTGCCACGCTACCTTTTTGGGGTCAAAAAGGTCTGTATGACCACTTAATGTAAGGTCTTTTGCTCACCATTGACTTGGAATTATAGTTTATCTCTGCAAAAAGCAGGAGACTACATTGAGGCAGTCGAACTGCGATAAAAGACCAAGGGAGAAGGCCATGTTGATAAGGAAACAAGTTGGAGCGACGGGATGGGACGCATTGAACTATACTTCGACGTCATCTCGCCCTACAGCTGGATCGCCTTCGAAGTCAGTAAAAAACCCTCTTTTCAAAAGATGAGTTTCATCTAGGCTCTGACAAAGCTGAACGAAAAATGGAACATCGAGATTCAGCTGAAGCCGTTCTACTTAGGGGAAGTCATGAAAAGAAGTGGTGAATTTCGGCTCATTTTTTAAACTCATACTCATACAACTTTTTCAAGGATCTCGCCCGCCAGCTCTTGTGAAAGCTAAAGGAATTTTCATGGTGGCCGATTTGGATAGAAGTTCAAAGTACTGGGGAATTCCATTAAATCCGTGTCCTGTCAGTTTTTATCATAATGCGAAGTTCTCGAAGTTGCGGTTTTTTATTTAAAGTTTTTTATACCATTTTTCTTTTCCTGTAGTCTGCATACATGTACTGTATAGCAGTTTTTGGATTTGATCTTCGTATTCCATTGAATCTTTCTGAATTGAATATGTATTCAGAATATCACTTTGAATGTAGAGCCCAATAGTCTGGCTCATCAGACCTTTTTCGACCGATAAAAACAGATTTAAAGTTTTCAGGAGTTCATGAGATGGATGAAAACTTATACAACGGAAGACGCCCAAAAAGTGCTTCTCACTTTGCAAAAAAATCAACCAGGTATCAGAATATAGGAACATACTTACTTAGAAATTGAACTCTAGAACTTTTGGAAGCGGCGGCACGCGAATTTTGGCTTCGATTATGGTCAAGAGGGCAGAAAATATTCGAAAAGAACGATCTCCTGGAGGTATAGTAGAAAAAAATCTATCATTTTATCTAACGACCCTACTCCTACTTTCAATTTTTGATTTTTTGAGGTTCTTAAAACCATCGGCGCTCGAGATATTGAAGGAACGCTCACCGAATCGAAGAGCTCGGAAGTTGCAAATCTTCTAGAGGAAAATATATCAACGGCTGTTGATCAAGGAGTCTGTATCTTCTTAGTTTTCAAAATGATAACCCGTTTTAGGCGTTCGGAGCACCATGGATCGTAGTTCATGATGATAACGGAGACGAACACTACATCTTTGGTTCAGACAGAATGCACCACATCGCGGATATTCTGTCACTTCCTCTTCTTTCGAAGATTTGAAAAAAAAAACTGCTGCTTTCTTTTGAATAAACGAAACTTTGGTTTTTTTTTTCATTGTTGCAAAAAAAAACTTTGTTTTTTTCAAAGAAATTGTTTGATTGAAAAGTGTGGGAACTATAAACAAAAGTTATCTTTGGATTTTTTTCCGTTACGGTATGCGAGAAATTGGTATACACGCTGGAGTCAACATCACAAAACAATTTTACGCGCTTTTGGAAGAAATGTCAGAAATAAAAATAAAAACTTCATCTTATCAATTTTTCTATATGCTCATGATTATTCTTGATTGTGTAAACTTTCAGAAGTTCAATATTTGATGCATCAAGAAAAAAAGTTCTCCTTTTTCTCCTATTCTGAAAAATATTTTTTTACATCTTTCTTCATTCCGTTCATACTTTTTTGCTCTCACTGCAGTGTACTTATGTTTTGACAATTTTGCCAGCAAAATTGCAACGTTCCGAGGGGATACAATGTAGCGCAAGTGGTCTCTCGCGTTTTAAAGTGAAATATCGTTGCACATATATTCTTCCAAATTCATTAATTTCATTTTTTGTTTTATTGAGGCATGATTCAAGGTCGCTATCTGCAGAACCTTTTGAACAACTTTAAATGCGTTCAGTCTCTGCACAGTTTCAGGTATTTTTGCCTCAGAATTCTTATCACAGCAGGAAAAAAAAAGGTAAAAACCAGTTTTCTCAAGAAGTATTTGAAGGAATTACTCATCGTCTTTTGAAACAGCTCAGGCTAACTTGAAAAAGCTCAAAGAGGAGCCGGATGTGGAGACCAAGCTGAAGCTCTACGCTTTATTCAAGCAGGTTGAATGATGAAATATCGATAGTACCGATTGGACTATATTGCAGGCCTCTCAAGGTGATGTCCAAGGAAGCCGCCCTGGTATGATGGATTTCGCCGGCCGAGCTAAGTTTGACGCTTGGACCAAGTTAAAGGGCGTCACTAAAGTTCGCTTTTTTTATCTATCTTTCCATCAAATAGCTGTCCCACAGTGTATTCCAACAGGCATTGCTTTCTCGTTATAACGTTATTTCTTGCCATTCTAATCATTTTTGACCTGATAAAATTTGATAGGATTTTTCACTCACTTGGTGAAGTTAAAAACCACGAGAAACATAATAATTTTTTGTGGCCCAAAAACACCCTGAATTATTGCAAAAATGTGTCTTTTATGTTAGCTCTGATCCAGGTTTTTTTCAGAAAATAATATTCTAAAAAAACAAAATAAAAAAATATGATTTCTAGGAAGAAGCCGGTCGCCAATACAGCGTTGTTGTCAATGGCCTACTGAAAACGGAGCAGTCAGAGTCGAGCTCCTCGCCGTCGGCTCAGCAAATCGATGGACTGAAGCCTGTAGACGGACTAGATGTACTTCTTCTCTTTTGTACTAATGATAAAAATCTTTTTATGTATCCGTCGATGGCAAGATTTTCAAAATCGCACTCAACAGACCAAGCAAATTCAACGCTTTGACTCTGGAAATGTATCGAGGATTGACGGCGGCGTTGAAGGCGTCGAGCGAGAGCAAGACGACGTCGATCACGGTTGTCACTGGTGAGCTTTCTGCTCAGAAATCGGCTTTTTTTTAGTTCTCATGGGAACAGAAAGACTTATATCCCATTGTTTCAATTCGAATCCGATCGAGCGATTCTATATCAGATTATAATAGAAAAGACGAGTAACGTTTCGTGTAATCATTTTAAGCATTTTGTGAACTGTTGACCGAACTTTACTTCGGCTTGTTTTTTCGCTTATTCACAGAAGTTGGTTGAATCAAAAAGCTAACTTTCTCCAAATTCCACTGATGTGCTTTACTAATTTCTGAAAAAAACCTATTTGAAAATATGATGAACTCAGCGAAAAAAGTTTTAATTTTGAAGGCAATGGCAATTATTTCTGCTCCGGCAACGATTTGAGCAACTTTGCCAAAATGGGAACGGCGCCGAAGGAAGAACTAGCGAAAATGGCAGCCGAAGCGAGGACAGTTCTCCAGGAGTACGTCCAGGTATCCGAAAAGCAGCGATATTTCAATCTTTCCAAAAGGCTTACATCGACCACGAGAAGCCTCTGATCGGGCTGATCAACGGTCCCGCCGTCGGAATCGCCGTCACAGTTCTTGGGCTTTTCGACTACGTCATCGCGACAGATAAGGTGAAAGAAAACAAATTTTCTCCTCGAATTGTGCAGTTTTTTTTTTTTGAATGAATTTTATTCACATGGAGACACAGGAAATTGGTTTCAGGCTACCTTCCACACCCCATTTGCGCCACTCGGCCAAAGTCCCGAAGGAGTTTCCAGCTACACGTTTCCTCTTCTGATGGGGCAACTCCGCGCCTCCGAAGTAGGAAAAACTAATTTTCCTGACCAATCAGGATTATTCAGTTGCTTCTCGTGTGCAAGAAGATCAGTGCTGCGGAGGCCAAGGAGTACGGTCTCATCAATGAAGTCATGCCTTGCAAACAGTTTTTTATATGGTTCTTTCTGATTTCAGATCATTGAGGGAAGCGAGTTCAGCGAGGCAGCTCTGAAAAAGGCGCGAGCTTTCTCAACGTTGCCGCCCGAAAGTTTGCGTATCAACAAGGTCCTCATGCGATCGCTGCACAAGGAAAACCTCACCAAAACCAACGAGGTTAAATCGTGTCATTTACAAAAGTCAACCTGTTCTCTCTTCAGTTGGAATGCAAGACAATCGAGCAGCGCTGGCAGTCTGCCGAGTGCCACCGCGCGGTTGCCGCGTTCCTTTCGCGATCAGCCAAAAAGTAATTCAGTTTGTGTGAACAGTTGTACATGACAGACATTTTTATAGTTCTTATTTTTTCTTACATGATTAAACAATTTTCGATTTTCTAACCAAATTTTATGAAGCTCATTGTAGTCAGCGCGACTGCTGTTGTTGTTGATATTCACTGTCGAGTACGATAATTTTCTCTTTTGTACAGGAGTCGCAGGCCGGTAACCGTATAACGATGTAGGCAGGCTCTTTTTGATATACCTAAACTTTTCATACACTAGATGAAAGTTGAAAAGAATTTTATGAAAGCAGTATGGAAATATGAATTGAACTTTCGGGAGGAACATGAGAATATAATCGCTCACTTTCTTGTCGCACACAGGACAACAGAAATTAGGCTCATTAGGCTGATATCGCTTGAGAAAAGGAGCTCCACTGCTCTCGTCGCAGTCAACTTCCGGATGCCGTCGTTTTTGGGTAAAAAGAACCCGCGACTTAGGTTGTTGAGAATAACTGAAAAAATTCGGCAAATAAGATGAGAGCTGGACGAGCTACTCACTCCTCATGATCTGTGTTGCGTTTTCTCGAGACGAGTTGCCCTTCGTTCACCCACTGAAACGTGCCATCTTCCAGTTGAACCTAAGACACAGATGCTATAAATGCTATATTTAAACAGCAGCGCAAAAATAGAAATAGAATTTTAATGAAGTGGGACACCGATTGAAATCCTTCATAAGCTACCAGAGGTTTTCCTTCCTTTAACTGCGGTATCATTTTCGGAACAAATATAAAGATGAAGACTTTGAACTACCTTCTCGGAATCGTGCTAACACGGTAAAAATAAAAAAGACCTTGTAAGAGCCTTCGTTTCGGATGTAGCGGACAATGGCTGGCTGGACGTCTCCTCTGGTGTCTCTGACGCTCACTTCCTCGCCTACCTGCATCACTCTCCCTTCTGAAAACCTTCCCAATCTTAGCAGAGATCAAAGTCTCACTCTGAACGGCGTATGAGGAAGTTGGGTGGGAGCTGGTTGCTTCTTGGTAATCTTCCATGATGTTTGGCTTCTCTCCTCTCGTTTTCCTGTAATTTTTTTTTTATTTGCTATCATTCCTCAACCAATTCATCATTTTACTTCGATGAGAATTATTCAAATGGGAAAATTAAGAAATATGAAGCAATTGGACAGTGTGAAATCTGAAAATTCATTGAGAAAATTTGACGAAAGATTTGATCGTAGCAGGAAGAAAAAGGGCGTCGCCTGACCGACCTAATTTATCCAAATTTTTCTCAAAAAAATTGGATTGTTATGTTATTTTACTAATAAGACCGGTTTTTTTTTTCAATCGAAAGCTCACGAAGTCGTGGGAGGCATCGCCATTTGGACGACGTGCTGAATGCTGTCGTCTGTCAGATTGTTCACATCGATTTCCATTTCTGCCAATTGCGACGGAGAGAACTGAATAACAATATTGTTTGGGCGGCGAATACCGGAAAACTGACATAGAAAACTTGGCCAGACGTGTCGGAAAGCTTCAAGCCGCCCTCGCCAGTTATCATTATTGTCAGTGAACTATCGGCTGGGAGAAGCTCTGAACTATTGTGTGAGTTATAAAAGACCTAGGACTGCTACCTTGTTGGACAAAACCCTCGTGAATGATGGCTTCTTCGCGGATTTCAGGTGCCGAAACTCCGTTCGCGGCACCGTGATCGTTATTTATTTCTGTGAAAGGTTTAGATTAAACTCTTATGGGATCAAAATTCGCTTTCTAGAGTTTTAAATAAAACTAGAACATACTATTCTTAAATTTGAAAACACTAAAAAGGCTCTTTCTATTTTGAGGAGATTCATTTCATTTTAAAATTCAGAGGACCTTAAAGTTCAAACAACCTCAAAAGACAAAAAAAATTATAATATATCTGAATTGCAGTATTTTTTTCAACACGAACCTAACTGCTTAGCAACGCGCTGTTCGTGAATCGCAATGAGGACAGTCAATTGTTCGTCCGTCAAATGCTCAATGTTTTCCGGATCGAAACCTGCCTCGTACAGATCTTCTTGGGTTATCTGAAAAAAATTTTTTCTTTTTTTTCAGAATCCCAAAAATTCCTAATGGAGTTTCCCTTCTCCATCCCTGAAAAATTTCCTTCTACGACGACACTTTTATCACAGAATCTTTCCAAAATTGAACCACAGATTACTAATTCAACTGAATTTTTTTCCATTTTTAATGTTTCAAAAGAGAGCGCAATGAACTTTCGAAGAAGGGAATGAATCGAAACTTTTATGTAAATGTACCAGTATGGAATTGGGTTCCTCAAGGAGTTGTTCTGCAGTGACGCCGTGGTGAGATATATCGGAAGTGGAAGGCATCGAAACGTCGTTCGCGACCTCGTCGGCATAGAAAACTTGCGACGGAAGCTCCTTGATCCAAAACTTGCACTTTTTTTTTGAAACATAATATATTAACTAAGGGTCTTCAAACCTTTCCGAGGTTTTGTTCATCTTTGTCCATAACATCTTCGCCAGTCTCCAGTATTTCGCCTGGGAGGCTAAAAAAAAACATCATTTTGAAACTGAATAAAAAATAACGGATACCTCTCTTGAAATTCCAAATTTTCGAGTACGTTGTTCGTTTTGAGTAAAACTGCGTTGTGCTGCGCCAGGTTCTCAGTCATCTGGTGCAAACATTGTTTTCAAAAGCTCCTTGACAACAAAGAATACGACTTGGTATGAACCTCGCAAAAATAATTTGAACGAAAATAGCCAAGATAACAATTTTATAGTAAACAACTAACAACCAAATATACAGAACAACCGAATATATACAAGACTACTCAATAGTCTTAGGAGGCGTTGGTAGACACTCGGTTATGACCTTAAATTCGATATTTTTCGTGTTGAAGTCGAAAGAAAAGCTTACATTTACAAGTTCCTCAAGCTCGGTTTCTAAAGGAAATCGCTCTTCTGTTTCCTCAACAAGAAGTTGGATCTAGAGATGATTTAATGAAATATAAATAATAAATAAAACAAACATCTGTTGGTGCTGAAGGTCGCAGGTTGATAATTTGCAATAATTCGGCAGAAGTTAACTGAAAAGGCTTTATCACTTCAACAACCAAGAAATACAAAAAACCTTGAAAGGCTTCAACTTCGGGATCAATTGATGAATAGACTCTTTCGTTTGAACGAGTGCCGGTGTATTTTTTAGATATTTCGTAGTCTGAAAAAATAGTATATTATTTTCAAGTTTAAAAAATAAATTAGAAAACCTCATAAACTACCGTTGAGAGCTGCTTGGAACGCTCGCCTTTCGACTTCTCGTCTTCAGCTTTTTTGACTTCTTTCAAAGTATTTCCAAGACTTCAAAGTTGGTTAATGCGCAAACACGACATTCCACAACTTCCATCAAAATAATTCAGGTAAAGAGATTCAGAAAAAAAAAATAATTTTTAAACTTTTAAAATTTGAAGATGAAAAAATGGTAGAAAGGCAAGTGCGCTCAGAAGAAAAACTATCTCCCCAGGGGCCTCTTAAGGAGATAAACTCCCATATTTTGAACGGCCTTCTTTGAAATCTGTTCATAAACTTTAGAAATGGGTGGCTTCATAATATATACTGTTTTCAGTAATAGATTGCTTTGTAGAAAGCTAATATGGTTCGAAATTTCGATATGTAGTTCTTTATTCTGATCTTTTTAATTAAAAAAAAGCGAAACATAAATTTATTTTTGAAATTTCACCAAACATTGTACAGAAAATATTTATACAGAAAAAAAAACTCTGGGCCACAAATATGTCTTTCGCAAGATTCTAAACACCGGTTTAAAACTGAAGACCAGTAAAAAGAAGAATGTGAGAAGAAAAGGGTGATTTCATATAATGTCCTAAAAGTATATGTCCAACAATTGAACACTATTTCTGGTATATCAACTATACAACACACATTCCTAACAATTGATTAATAATAAATGGAAAAAATTCACACACGAATAAGCATTTTGCCGATGTTCTTGCCCGACATCATGTCGATGAAAGCCTGTGGAGCTGCAGAAAGACCGTCATAAATTGTTTCTTTTATCTGAAAACGGGATAAGATCCTTTCACAACCAGCTAATCCGAACTTTGATTTTGTTTTCTTGAAGCCAGCGCGAAAGTTGCTCCACGGCTTCATCCATCTCGTTTTTATAGGTTAAAACAAGGAATCTTTCACTGAAGTAGAAATGAACTTTTGACAAAGTGAACGCAAACCGAATGATATTTCTCCTTTGGATCATTTCTGCGGTTTCATGGGGGATCGGAGGAGGATAAGGCAGATCTGTGTTGTAGACGGCAATTTGTCCACACAACACTACGCGCCCATTCTCATTCATCTGAGAAGAACAGTTCAGAGAAAGAAATGGTGATTCTATCAGGCAAAAAACACATTTTCCGAGTTACTCGGGACCTGTTGGATGACGGCATCGCTGATGAAGCCTCCAACGTTGTCCCAGTAGATGTCGACGCCTTCGGGAGCCAAGACCCGAAGACGCTCTCCGATTGGCTCCGCTCGATAGTTGATGGCCGAGTCGAAACCAAGCTCCTCCCTCTCAAGAAAAAATCTTTCTTGAGGCGTTGCCATCAAAACTTTACCAGAACTCTGCATTTCGCTTCCGACCCGCAGATGCCTATCACTTTCGAGCATCCTTCAATCCTAGCAATCTATGAAAAAAGTTTTTCATCAATTCCACACAGCCCAATTTCATATTAAAATTCATCAAAACTTGATAAATTAGAAGTTCGAATATTATCTTAAAGGGAGGTAGAGAACTAGTCCAATTTCTATGAATCGATATTTTACATCCTAGCGTTAAGAATTATTATTGAATTTGGTGAAGGTTTTATTCATTTTTGTATTTTTTCTGAGAAGTCAGATATTTTTTCTGAGGGGCAGAATTTAAAAAAGTGAGAAATGAACCTGTCCGGCCAAAGATCCGCAACTTCCTGCGGCGCCCGATACAACGATTGTTTGTGGTTTGTTCCTGTCAATGCGAGCCTAAAAGAGGGAAAACTGAGCTCCTAGAAATAGAAATGATCGGACTTACCCGTTTCTGAATTCCCAGAAGAGCCGTCATGCCGGACAGTCCCACGGCCGACAGAATAACTGACGGCGAAAATCCGGGGGGCAGATTCACCTAGAACTCAATTGTGAGAAGGAGTGAAAAAAATATCTTACTTCTCAGAAAAAAAATACAAAAATGAATAAAACCTTCACCAAATCACTGCAATCGGCGACAAAAAACTTGGTCCACGTCCAAAGATGGGCACATGACGTCACGATATCTCCGACTTGCAATGAGCAAGATGAGCCGGCTATCTGAAGGCAGGACGAGATGAAGGTCCATTGATGAGAAAAAAGGTTTCGTTTGAAAACCAGGATCATGGAAAAATAACTTTTTTCGAGATCTTTCATACAATTTCACAGCAAAAAATATTCAAGAAACTGATTCTGCATTTCTGGCGGAAAATTGAAGATTCACCTCGACTATTCCGACGCCTTCCATTCCGTCAACTGGCTCACCGATAACATATGGACCCAAATAATCGACGCCGGTGGAAGCGTTCATCCGACACCTCTGAAAGGCCTTCTTTCATTCTTGCTTTTTTTTTTAATTCATAACTTTTTCTGCAGACCTCAGTCATACCGAAGTTCTAAAAAGAAAAGGAGTTTTTTTTTTCTAAAAGCAAAAAAGTCTTGCAGAGGTCTAAACATTAGAGTTCACCAAACCGATCGTTCGACCAAACGTTCAACCAATATTTTCATGACATGTTACCAAAAATATGATTGATTAACATTTCTTGCTACCGAAAGATTAACATGTCTCATGATTATGATCTCTCTTTTTTTCGACATGTCAACATTTCATTCAAATGAGAGATCATTTTGAATCGATCGTTCAGTTTTCGATTGATCAAAATGTTGTGTTAAAAATTTTGGTCGAAAAAATAATCGATCAAAATGTTGTGTTAAAAATTTTGGTCGAAAAAATGATCGATCAAAATGTTATGCTCAAATTATTGGTCGAAATAATGACTGATCGAAATGTTGTATTGAAAATATTGATCGAAATAATGATTGATCGAAATGAGTTTTTGTTAAAAAGTATGTTTGAAACTATTGTTCAAAACCCGCTTCGCTTTCAAATGTTCTTCAGAATTTCGTTTTTGATTTTTCGTAATGAAATATCATCATCGTTTTTCTGTTTCTCTGTGTTCACTGGTACTAAAAAAAAAAATTTATACAATGCTGTATAGACTATAACAAATAAGTTCAAGAAAATCGCAAAAACTTTAATTTGTCGGAAAAAAAGGAAATATTTTCACCTTTTTACTAGTACTCCGAAAACCTGCCCCGTGTGAGCGATCTGTTTTGAAAATCGATCGCTCGGAATTTCGATCGATCAAAATGTTATGCTCAAAATATTGGTCGAAAAAATGATTGATCGAAATGTTGTATTGTAAATGTTGGTCGAAAAAATTATTGGTCGAAATGTTGTATTGTAAATGTTGGTCGAAAAAATTATTGGTCGAAATGTTATCCTTAAAATTTCGCTCGAAATATCGATCTATCAAAACGTTAAAATCCAATGATTGATCATTGATGTAAGAGATCAAAAACTGACCTGATAAACGATCTCTCAAAAAATGACATTCTAAAATTTGGTTGAACAGTGACATGTCAATAGTTTGATCAATTGAAATGGTTGAATGATCGGTTTGGTGAACTCTACTAAACATGGTAAGCATCCGACTATGGACATGCTCTTTTTATTTTTTTCCAAAAATGTGCAAATTTTATCAATTTTTTTTTGAATTCCATCCATATTGAAAAACGGCCAATAAGGTTCAAATTATATTTAGCTTTTATTTATAAACAACGTACGACCACACTGAAGAAGCTTATGACTTTCATCAAAACGATTTCACCTTTTTTCTGGGAACTTTTCCGAAATCTTATTTAGATCTGGAGCAGTACCTGAGCGGGATCGACGGAGAGGAAAAGAGTCCGGATGAGGCATTGGTCGACACCCACGTCGCTCGCCGTCGGACTTTCCACGGGAATCACCGCGAAGCAGTCCACCGTCGCCGAGTTATTCTCACCTGCCATCGAAACTCTTTCAAAACCCGATACTCGAAAAAAGCGGAAGGTCATTCTGGAGTACATTAGCTCTCCTCTAATATCACTATCCAAAAAACTCGATGTTTGAAAGGTTTGAACATCCTGATGTTCTAACAGACTTTGATCTTGACAATGTTTTCAATCCCATTTTTATGCTACATACCAAAAAAAAAGGAAATCTGGTAAAGCATAGCGAAGGACCTGGTCGTTTGGCGAAAAGGACGACGTGGTTGTCGCCGCCAGCACGTTGCTCCGACGTCATCGTGCTGGCGTGAGATAATCCCCACGTTCGCGAACTCTACTGCAAAAAGAAGTTTTGTAAAACTAACTCGTTACGGACAGTGCTCGAGCTTGAAACACTTCGTGTGTTCAATTCAATTCAATTTATTCAGTCTTCAGAGTAAGATGAAGAAAATCTCTGCTGAATCATGGTATAATCGAAGAGTTAGTCGTCGGCGCGGGTTACGGTCCACAATCGTTGTCCAATACGTCCCGGAGTGACAGCTAGTGTCGGGAAATAATGTGGGCCCGTTGGTAGTACCAGCGAATAAACTGCTTCACCATGTTGGAACAGTACGGCGTCCAGCTTGTCCGGGGCTGACGGGCGTCGGAATATTATCCCATGAGAGAGCGGCAATGAGACCGACCAGTCGACGTGATGAAATGAGATAATAATAACTTCGTGTGTATTGTAAGGAAATCTTTTTTAATAAAAAAATTGACATGAGGTATGAAAAAAATTAAAATGATCAAAGTATCACCAAGTAATGGCAAATCGATCAACTTCGGTGAAGAAAACTCGAAATCTGTTTACTCTTAGCAAATAGGTTTAACATTTTGGCTGTGAAAAAAGGGCCTAATAAAAAATATTTTAGACACATCCAAATTCAAATGTAGGCATTTAAAATCAAAACCGAATTTACAAAGCAATGACAAAAACTGGCGAAAAAAATCGATGTCAAGAGAAGGAATTTGATCTTTTTCTGGAATTCGGTGCTACTGGGAAACTTCTATGAATTCAGAAGAAGATGGTAAGAGAATCGAAGAATCAAAAGTTCAAAGGTTATTGGCCGAAAAATCAGAGAAATGGGGTCGTCACCTAGAACTTTTGGTCTTGTTCTTTGACTCGAAGTTGTTTTCATTGAAGAAGAGGAACTTATTTGTCATTATATTTTGAGAGAGCTCGATGGGTGATGAATTATTTGCGAGAGGAAAGGACAGACGAGAGGTCAGAAGTCGAGGAAACGACGGCGGCGACAGACGAAAGAGGCGAGAGCCGGTCAGCCTCCGGCGCCCGATTGTAATGCGATTGCATCGATTGATAACACGCTCCTCACCAACCAAGGTAACGCCGTCGCGATCGCAAACAACGTCCATGCCAATGACAGGTCGTCGTCTCTCTCTATATTTAGCAGCTCTCCCAAAAACGACGCCATCCTTCAAACGAAAGTAGCAAAGAGGTGCGGCAATCAATTGCCGGTCTTTTTTTTTTAGGTGGTAGGACGGAAAATTCCTACCTTTGAATGTGGCACCTTTCAAATGGAACCGTTTCAATACGTAGTTTACGATATTTTTGGTTTTTCTCTCAACTTCCACAGTAGGTCAACACTAACCTTTATTCAAAATCCTCTTAATTTGTAAAGGTGCGAAACCTGAACTAGTACTCACAAATTCTTCTCGCATGGAGGCCTTCATTAAATCTTTCTGTTCTGCTTTAAATCTCTCAAAAAAAAAGTTCTAAACAGACTTTCATCATTAAAAAAAATTTCGAAGCGTTTCACTGAATATTTATTCATGACTGATTTAATTTTTACTGTCAATCAATTTTTTAAATTGCGGCGCTCTAATTTACAGCTGTTTCATTGATTTATTTCTCTCATACTTCTCAGATTCTTTTTTTAAATATTTGAAAAAAACATTATTGAAAAAAACAAAGAAATTTTTGAAGTGGAACTTAAAAAAATAATGAGCCTAACTTAAAAAGTTGAAAATTTCGAGTATAGGACAAAAGCGCCGATTCCAAGAGCGCCGTTCAAATTTAGCGCCAGTCCGCAATGCGCCGTCGCGTGTATGCGCCGTGTATGCAGACGCCGCTTCCTTTTGCGCCGAGTCCGTTTGCGCCGTTATTGCAAACTTTTATTTATTCGCTCTTTTCATATTATTTATTAATAATTGTTCACTACACATTCATATACGACTCGGCTAATTTTTCGCGCCATCCGTTAATGATGAGTTTTAGGTCCAGGTAAAATATTTGTACTACACAATTAATGAACAATAATAGAAAAAAAGCAAATAAATGAAAGTTCAGAATAATGGCGCAAAACGATTCGGCGCAAACGGAATCGGCGCAAAAAGAAGCGGCGTCTGCATACACGGCGCTTACACGCGACGGCGCAGTGCGGACCGGCGCCCATTTTGAACGGCGCTCTTGGAATCGGCGCTTTTGTCCTACACTCAAAATTTCTCAGTTAAATCTTATTGAACAAGGTAACTAATAAGAACGTCTTTGGGATTTCTACTAGATATAATGAATCCTTTCTCTTCTTCTGTACTTTTTCGCACTCCTAATACTTCTCAACAAATTTTATTTTATAAAACTCAGGTAAAAAAAAAATACCAGGACGTATTGAAGCAGCTCGGAATTCTAACCATTACTCAAAAGGCTGAAGGGCACAAGTTTTCCAAGTAAGTCCAAAAATTTCCAAATAACGAATGACATCGCATCGGCAAGCACTGTACAAAAATTTAAACAACTTAAAAAAATATTAAAAATTAATTTATTAAAATTGAACATAAAGCAAACGATATTAGTAAAACACTAACGTAACGAAAAAAATGAAGCTGAAGACCGAAGAGAATCACATCGGTGAAAATGAGAAACCCGGATCGACATATAACAAAATATACAACAAACGTAGTGAACACATAAAACAGAAGAATTTTTGATTGATAGGAAACATGATAAGGCATTTCTTTACTCATAAAAAATCAGAAGCCTGATAGAACATGGACCAATAAAGACAATAAAAAATAAAGCAGAATGATAAGAACGGGAAGCTGTTTATAAGGAAAGTTATTGTACTTGTACTATACGAAGTAAAAAAAATGTCTCAAATACTCCCCTAGTATACTGAGGATTCTAAAAAGTCACGCTATCTCTCTTTCTCTTAAAAATTAGCAAGTTGTGCAGATAGAGACTTTTATAACAGTTAGGTTTGAGATTTAAAATAAAAAAGTCTTAAACTAAGAAAGAAATGTCTCTTTTTGGTCTTCTCTATTCATACATCTGAAACCTTCAATTCAAGTCTAATAGAACAAGAAACTGAGGAAACCTAAAACTCCTATGAAACGTGCAAATGATTCTATTCCCACTCGGTAGTGCCCGGAGGTTTGCTGGTCATGTCGAGGAGGACGCGCGAAATCGACGAAATGCAAGCAACTTGTTTCGCCATTTCCAGCACTGTCTGAAACAAATAGTTATTAGTAGAAATTATGCCATGCATTTTCCAAAACTCACTTCTTCTGGCAAATGAAGATTTGGGACTGCGGCTGTTCCAGTCATAAAATCTGAGGTGATGAAGGGTCTCAGAACGACAGAATGTCGATATGAATTTATGAGCTCTTCGTCACGATCGAAATCAACAGGAATCAGAATCACAGGCATCTGGAGTTGCATATAAATTATCATTGAGCTGATAGATCGTGAAAAAAAAAATCATTTTCTCATCCCTATAGGTTGTTCGAAGAACATCAAATAAGCAACTCTTATTTCTTTGGCTACATTATTTTCTGAGAACTTTTCAAGCTTTTGATTTCTCACAAAAAAAAAATAGAAACCTGTTGAATTTTCAGTCCAACGTCGGGAAGAATCTTCCCATCCGTACTTTTGACGCGGCCAAATAAAACATCTGTTGCGACTTTGTCCACCTGAATGCTTCATTTAACACACGTTCTCTGAGAAAGTCGATGAACTAGTTCAACTTTCTTCTCTTCAAGAAAAAATAGAAAAAAGGATAGAATCAATACATTTTGAAGTTTGGCGATTGTGTATCTTGCTAACGTCGTGTGAGTAACATTTTGAACCGGATATCGGACCGGATCCCCGAAGACGTAAGCGACTCTGTTAAAAAATAAGAAAATAAATAAAATCTGCGAAAAAATAAACCTATTTATATTGTGAAACAGTTTCGGAATGATAGCAGCGTATTGGAAGAGGATAGTCCAGGGAATGGGTCGGTGGCTTGTCGACAGAGCGGCGACATACGAATAAGACCTGAGGCCAGGTTTTTGATATAATGAAGAGCGAGGTAAAAAGAAATCTTGTTAGATTATTTTTGGATATATTCGAACGAATCGATCATTGAAGAAAAAACTTTTTGAACAATCAGGGAAATTACTTCTAAACGCTGAAAGGTAAGTAGAAAGTGAAAAATCTAAATCTCTGCGCCCAACTTCCATCACACAAACTTTCAGCTAGAAAATTTGAAAAAGAAAAATTCGTGGAACAATAGATGGTGATGCGTGCTTTTTTGGTAAATTCCCATGAGCAATTTTGGCAAAGAACTCGACCTAGATATATCGAAAGATTTGTTATCATCAACTGTATATACGCTGCTGAGTAAGTATTAAAGAGATTTCGCCCTGTCGTTTGTGATAATTTCATCGTTTAAAAGTAATGCGAAAGGCTCTTTAATTACACGTGTTTTTGACGCCACAGATCTTTCTGTGAGCGAAAAATAAACATTTCATCATAAAATCGGAACCCACCGCGAATCTCCCTGGACTCCAACGCTTTTGATAGGAAGAAGAGTGGCTTTTATTCCGAAAGTCTGATGCGTCAGGACCACTTTCTCGTGGATCGATAAAGCCGACATCGCCTGAGAGAAATAACTGAGCTCGTGAAAACAAAATAAAAAAAACACTTTTTCGCGGCAGTCCACTTCAAACTGATCTTTTGAAGGCAGTCCAAAGTTGACGACGACGTTGAGTCCCCTTTCGGTTGTCTCAAAGTCCTCACATTTGAAAGCTTTCTGTAAAAAGTTATGGGTTCCTGATAACGTTCCGAAATCGCTTTAATATTACCACCCTGTTGCAAAAGCTCAATCAAAGTAAGCCATGTTTGTTGTTTGCCAAAATGAAAAAAACAAATGAACTTCCACTGACAATAGTTAATTTCTCTTTTTAAAACTCTCTAAAAGTAGTCAGAACAACTTTTCTCTATCTACCAGATGAGAGTTAAAGAGCACCCAACTAGATCTTTTTTTTAAAAGAAAACCTCTAAAAATTTCTTAAGTTTCTCCATTGTCTATTCAATCGGCGCAAAAAAAAACTTCATGAATTTTTCTTGGGATTCATTCGCGGATTCTCAGAAATTTGGCAGGTTTTCCAATTTTCCGAGAAATAATCAGCGAAATAATTGGAATCTAATTTTATCCTTTCTGAGAGTAGAGCTTTTTCGACTGAAATTTCGACACACTTCAGCGCAAAGAATGCGAATGGCCAATCCAGGTCCAGGGAAAGGATGGCGGTTGACGATTTCATCCGGAAGTCCCAGCTCTCGTCCCAGTTCACGAACTTCGTCTTTGTGGAAGTCTTTCAGCGGTTCTATCACGCGGCCCTGTACGACCGACTCTGTTTCACACTTCCAGTTCAACGGAAACCTGTCGACGAAGTTGTCTAACGAGTTCCGTGTCGTTATGGTGAGTTTTGATGGTATCTGCGTGACCCGAGGCGAGGGAACTCGCGCTTTCGATCAAATCTGGCCTCAGCGTTCCTTGCGCCAGGAAGTATTCATCTTGATTGAGTTTCAGCTAAAAATAAAACCAATGAAAAACATTTAAAAAAACAACCAGTTTTTCTGATTATTTTTTTTATTGGAGGAATAGGGGCAGTAAAAAACGGAATTTGAGGTTAAAGCATTATCTTATATAGATTTTCATTGCGAATCGAACGGTGTTATAAAAAAAATACAAATGTGACTACTTTTGAAGAAAAACGCGATTTTACTTTCCCGCCTTTTATTTTGAAAAATGCTTTGGATCGGTGCTCAGAAAACTGATTACAGTAGCTGTGCACGCGATGTTGCGGACGTCTCATTAGACTCGCATTTTGTGAGAAATAGCCGGATATCTGCTTCAAGTTGAAAGTTTCTTTTTTGAAAAAAACAATAAGTCGAACAAAAAACACACAACGAGAACAGAGAACAAACACATGACGAAAAGAACTTTGGTGGCAACAGAAAAAATTGAAAATTGAAAGAAACGAAGAAAAAAGCAAAAATTCGAAAAATGGCGAAGCCTGTTGTCCATAGAGCAACTTTACTGCAAAGGCCCTTTTGGCGGGAACTCAAAGCTTTCCTTTCTCCAACTTTGAATTATTTTTTCTCCAAAACTAGGAAATTAAAAACACGTTTCCAAGTTCACCGTTCGATTCGCAATGAAAAACTCTATAAAGTACTGCTTTGAACTGAAACACCGTTTTTTACTGCCACTATGCCTTTAAAATGAAGAAAAAGCAACATGATTTCATGAAATGAAAAATGTCCTTTTACCTGGTGTAACGATACAATGATAACTCCGAAAAAACTCAAAGCACAACTTCGATGTTTCAACAGCCACTCTCGGTAAGGAGAAAATTTAGTAATATTTCAAGTTATGAGAACACTGTTTCGGACGATAAATTGGTAAATTCAAAAAAAATAAATGAATAAAATTTGTTTCGAGCTGGTCGAATCGTCAGAGATTCTATTAATCAGTTCGTTTTTGGAGCACGACATTTATGTGCAACGGAGTGATTTTTCCTTAACTTCCAAAACCTCTTTCATAATGTCATCCTTGACGCGAATGAACTCGTTGCCGATGAGTCGCCTTTTCGTTTCAGGGTCTATAACGCTGTCCAGTCTTGGACTGTCGTCCGTTTCGGAGCTTGTGTAGAACTTGATAGCACAGCCGTATCCTGAAAGAAAAGGACTTTTGATAGGTGCATGTTTCTAAGCCGTATGTTCAAATTTCTTGTCCCTTGTTTGAATTATATTATACATATCTAGTTGAAAAATACTTTTCGGCATTTTTGTAAGCTCATTGGCTCATTAGAAAGTTGAATAACAAAAAATAATAGTTGCCAGAGCATTAGACGAAAAACAATTTTAGACCAAAGACATTTTGACAAAAAATGTTTGCGTATTTTAATTTCTTGAAGGCCTTTTCTATGGTCAACACTTTTCAGGATTTGATTTAAAGGTCACATGATTATTCTATTAGATACACAATGATCCGTGAATCTCACTGTGAACGGGAAGGTTGATGTTGTTCAAGGATTTTTCGACGGCGTCGCTCTCCTCGAACCGCATGAAGCCGTTGTCGATGTGTATGGCGGTGACGCGCTCGGCGCCCAACGCCTTGTGGAGCAGCGCCGCGCAGACTGTTGAGTCAACTCCGCCCGACACCATCACCTCCAACTCCGTCTTGAGCTTCACTTCCTCTCTCACATCCTCACCAACACTTTCTTCTTCCCTACTGTCTTCAAAATCTCTTCTATACACGTTTTTTCGCGACTGAGCATCGTGAAATCTCCCGTGCAATTTGCGATTCGAAACAAGAAATTTTTGATCATATTCACACCGTTTGTTGTTAGATCCACTTCTGGGTGGAACTGTACGCCGTATAGCCTTTTTTCTTCGTGTGAAATTCCTGCAATCTCTCGATTTAGAAAAGGCTACTCGATAAGTGCTTCCGATAGCTTTCTATTTGAAAATTCTTTTTCGGAAGAACGAAAATAATAGTTCAAAATATCATAAAAAGTACGAAACTGTTATTTAAAGTTTTCATTAACAGGTATTTTCAAGATCCCCTACTGATTCCTCCAATATTTTACAGAATCAAAAAACCAGATTTAAAGTTTACTAGACAAACACACGAAGCTGAAAAATCACGTTTCGTTCTCCTCATGTTAAATAAGTGGATATAAATGTTTATAAGAATGGTTTTCATCCTCTCAGAAGCCTCCCTGTCTTTTCCCTGTGAGCGGTGTTGAGTGGCTCTCAAGAGGAAAGGTTTTCTTAAAAGCAAGATAAGGGATTTGATTCCCTCTTCGCGTGTCTACTGTAAAGGCAACAAAACAAAGCTAAAAAACCAACATTTTTCTTCCAGGGAACGCTTAAAGAAAGGCGCTAAAAAGTAAAAATTCACTTGAATCAAGATCCTGTAATATTAGATGGTGATAGACTCACCGGCGACATGGATTCCACTGTTGGTAATGACTTTGAATCCTGGGGCTACTGTAGTCACGGAAACAGAGTCGCCGTGAGTGAGCAAAACCTTAGAAGCGAGAACTAAGGACACGAAAGCGGGTATTGTGAACCAGTTCTTCTTGGTTGAGATCGGCAAACAACGGAGAGCTCGTGTCCAATTGGATTCTGCACTGTCCGTCCTCTCGGATGTGTTCGCGGGTGACGCTTCCGCCATGCAGTTTGTTCATCAACTAAATTGATCATTCACAAACAAATCAGCACTTCCACTGATAATTCCACGAAGCTATCATACAGAAACTGTCTCTTTTTAAGTTTATCCCCATGAGAAAGTAGAAGTTTTTTAGAACGTGAATACGACGAAAAAATAATTTTTTATTTGTAATATATGCGCTTCACAAGAGAAAAAGTTATACCCTACGTGACTTCGGAAGACTGAATTACCTGAAATCCGTAACAAATTCCCAGAACCGGAAGGCCGCAAGTAAAAATTTCAGGGTCGACCTGTGGCGCATTTTCTGCGTACACAGAATTAGGCCCTCCTGATATGATGATAGCTCTGAAAAAATGTATACTCCAAAACTCGTTCTTTATTAAATCGATAAAAGAAACTAGACTACAAACTTGAATCCGCCAAGGGAAAGCAGCTGTTTCGCGGTTGTGTTGAGCGGGAACATCTCCGATCGCACTTTCAACTCTCTGACGCGTCGATCGATGACCTGAAGGTAACATGAAAGTTCACTCCAAGTAAGCGAAAACACACTTTTCCATACTGAGCTCCGAAATCGAGAATCGCAACACGTTCTTCGTCTGTTTCTGTCGGCAGAACTCTATTCTCTCTCAACGGTACAACACCAGAATTTCTCCTGTTTCCACTCATCGCACTTCCGGCCGATTCTTCGGAATCATCCAGAACATCGCTTATCGGGCCACCTTTTGAAGATGATTGGAAAAAAAAAACTCACGATTACAAAAATTCTTGTAAGATCAGAGCAGACCTTCTGCCTTGTCAAAAAAAAAATTTAAAAAATTGGTAGATTTACACAAGTTAAAATCTCATGTTCTATTTTGACATTCAGGTTTGAAAATACTAGCAACGTACCGGTATCCATGTTAGCTGAGTTAGTTTCTTTTGAGGGACCACGAGAAACTTCGTCAGATCCACTGCTAGACGATAATAGTGGACGTTTGGCTGGGCTGGAATAAGAATCCTGAAAGCTGAAACAATCAAACAAAAAGAAAAAAAAAGAAAAAAAGAGAGATAACAGAAAAAAAAGAGAAAAAGAAAGATTTTTCTCATTACTTCCTCGAGAGCACAGTTTAAAGTTTTGAAACCATGCACACGCTGTAACGTTGCTGAAAGAAAAGATGGAGGGTGAGTGGGAGGCCGAGACAAATCGAAAAACAATTGCTTGATACAAATCGCATCAACAGAATGGAGTGAAAATTGAAGAAGAAAAGAAGAAAAACCGATCCGGATTGCTCCTCGTTTCCCGCCTTATCACTGGAAAAATCTCTCGTTCTTTTCATAACAAAAGGATCACACGGAGTAACTTGGCTGACAGCCAAGCTTCTTTCAGTGTGCTGAAACACAAAAGAAAAATAATAATAATTTTAACAGAAACTTATGCGGTTTACGATAATTACGTTTATTAAATGTCCAAGCAATTTTGAAATATCTGGAAAATCTCATCTGTAAATGTGGAAAGTCATGTTCTGTTAGCACTCTTATAAAACTTTTTAAGTTCTAAAACTTTTTAGAGACAAAAATCGATCTATAAAAATCTTTTTTTCTTATGCCGTGTTCAAAGTGATTCCGCGAAATTCAAAATAGCCGTCAGAGAAAGAGAAAGATAACTAAATTTTTGGAGGGTCAGAGACCATTTTGCATTTCGCGGAAATTACTTTGAACACGGCATTAGCCTGTCTCAATATTGAACTTTAAATGAAGGAAAAGCAAACTTTCAACACAAGAAAATGCTCTAAATAAATTTTCGTGTAGCAATGATATTTCTGTTCGATTGCTCAATTAACTTCACAAAAAAGACATAGACAATTGAAACAATGTTTCAATGAAAAGAACGAAAATTTTCGGCAAAAAAAGCCTTTATTTAAATAATTGCCATTTTGGCCGTTTTGAAATTTGAGTTTGTGCTACTCTCGCCACGATTGTTTTTGAAAGAGCGAAGATACGGTAGTCTGCAAGTCGCCGGCGATTTTATCGAGCGTGAGGTTTTTGCTCTTCGTGACTCATTTTTTTTTTGTGGCATGCTGGAAAGTGCGCGCTGTGCGCACTCTTTTCTCGTGCGCACGTAAGGAAAATGCGCACTCTTTTTTCAAATTTTGTACAGGAAATTGCGCGCTCTTTTCTAACATCAGGAAAATGCGCACGGTTATCAAATTCCGCTCTTTTTCAAGATTGAAGTCCACATAAACCATCTCACTTTTTTCTCTTTGTCATGAAGAAATCTTTCAGCTAAAGATGAATTGAACATCTTTTTGATTATTTGATAATTTATGGAGAATATTTCTTATCAGGAAATGGTCTGCGGTCACTTCGGAATGAGACCAGGTGTATTTTTTTGCAAAAAGTGAGATGTTTTCTTTTTGAGACCAAGCTGATTCCAAGCTTGGTCTCAAAAGCTGCCGCGAAAAATCTGCTAAAAAAAGTGAGATGCTCTCAAAATATACAGATCTTTTTCCATCTGATAACATTAAACAATACAGGGTGGAGGAATAATTACTGCGACAAAAGTTTTTTTAGCATTTGCTCGCCGACCCTGAGCTCATTTTTTTGTTCCAGTCATTATTCCTACCTTCATCAAGCCTTCTTCTATAATATGATGACCGCCGTGCCACGCTGACTTTCGGAAAAGTCGTTTCTGCCTTTTGGGCGTTTATGGCAAAGCAGGCAGGCTTTGGCTATGAAGGCCTGAAGCCCCCTAGCCCTTGATTTTTTTAATTTCGAAAAAAAGCGCGGGCTCGGGCCAGAGATTCAAGAAACTTTTTATTTCATTAAAAAAAATTTTTCACCGAAAAATTATTTTTACATGTTTAATCACATTTTTTAATAACTCAATGAAGAAAAATAAGCAAAAACCCCGCTTTTCTCGTTAAAACAGCTAAAATTTCGAAATGAAGAAAATTTGATTATTCGATAAGGTCGCCCTGAAGCTCAGTTTGAACGTATTTTTAAGGTTTCGATTCTCGAAATTGATAACGATTCACGTCTATGTAAGCCTGTCAATTGACAGGAATCGAAAAAAAAATTGAAGGAATTTTTTCCGAAAAATAGACATGTGTCTCTACTTGGCACGCTGTTTGGATGCTCTTCATAGGCGAATCGAGAAAGGTTATCGCGAGACCCTCTGAGGCATATCGCAGGGTCTGAAGCCTATCGATGGTAACCCGAGTATACCTCTGAGGACTTTGAGCAAAATGAGATAGACTTGAGGGAGACTCTAAAGTACCTCCGAGATAGCTCCGATATAGCTAAAAGGTATGCTGGAGGTCTCACGATGGACACATTATGGGGCCTTCACGATCCATTTTGAGAGGAATTTTTTGTGGAAAAATAAAGGTGCTCCTTCTGATTCGTCTGTGTTTGTACAGACAAAAAAAGTACATCATCGAAGCTCTCAAGAACGGTCAAAAACCCCAGAGTATTTGCAGCAACACTCACTGTTGCTAATATTAATGATTGGGCTATTTTTACTATTCTATCATCCGAAATACGCTATTTTGCTTGAAACTTCGTAAAACGGCAAAACTCAGCTTTTTTTCGAGTCTCTGTAAGAGATGAGGTCAACTCAGAGAGCAGTAAACAAAACAATTTGAAAGGTGTGTACCTTTTTTCTCAGTACCTTATGGGGTTTAGCAGATAGTATTGCCTGTTTTTAAGTACCCTTACTTACTAGGGAACTACTCGGACTCGGGTACGCGGATCGAATTCAAACTTTAGTGGTTTATAGACCTAAGTGGGAACACTTGAAAACAAGTGAGAATATCTGCTAAACCCAATAGAGAACTGAGAAAAAGTTATTAGAAAATGTGAAAATTAGACCTGAAAATTTTCAGAATACTGCTTTTTACCTTATTTAATATTTTAATAAAATCGCCTTGAATGATCCGGCTATGATAAACACTAAAAAACTTTTTTCCAGCCAAAAGAAGGATGAAAGCAAAAATTTGATAGTTTTCAAGCCTAAACTGTTCATTTTCAAAAAGCTTTTTCTCAGAAGCCTATAGGGTTTAGCATATAAACTCTCTTGTTTCCAAGTACTTTTACCCGGGTCTATAAGCCACCAAAGTTTTAACTCGATCCTTGAATGCGAGTTCGCGTAGTTCTCTAGTCAGCTCAAAGCCAATTTTCGAGTCCTTATCGTAAGGTCTTATCCGGTTAGAAGAATGGAGTCTTGTTCTTTTTCTGTTATCCCATTGACTCCAAAATTTTTGAGAAACTTCAATGTGCCTCTTGTAACAGTACACACCAGTTTGCCTACTGACTTTTGGCCGTTCTGCTCAAAAACAAAAACTGATTTCGACCATCTGCGTACCGCAGTCAATTGGGTGCCACTACATTTTCGAGCGGCAGTTCATGTTAATTTTTTGATTAAATCCCCTGTAAAACTTTATAAAAATAATTGTGAGTTCCCGGTCTTTATTGACTATTGACAATTGACATATTGACAGCTCCTTCATTTTGTCGCAGTAATAATTCATCACCCTGTAAATTTTTCTTCAGAAATATTTTTGAGCCTCGTAAGGTCCTTTTCTGATTTGTATTTCACATATTTCCCTTTATAATATAGTTTGTCCATATTTTGAGTTTCAAGCAGCAATCTCTGCCCCAAACAAAGCCTGTGAGTGGCTCTGTTCTCTGATTGGTTTGATCTACACATAAGAGGCGGAGTTCGACTCGATGACTTGATATTCAAATTCTGAACAAACTATAAACGCCGACTTTGGCTTTCTTTCGGAAAAATAACATTACAAAAATTTAAAAACACATTATCACGTGAAGGGTAATCAGTCTGACCAGTCTAGTGACCGCCTGGTATTATTATTGAAAAAGATGAATGCTGAAAAATCAGTTATATAAACTTCAAATAATCCGAAAGGACAAGATTTGATAACCGTGCGCATTTTCCTGTTGTTAGAAAGAGAGCGCAATTTCCTGTACAAAATTTGA